AAAATAGACTCAAATTTGACTTTTAACAATACAACAAAATGAAAAACATTTATTATTTTTATTAGTCAAATCCAAAAAAAAAATAAGATTTATAAATAAGCGAAATTCGTCTTAGTTTTTAAGTAAAATTTTAATCTACATTTTGCGATCGAGTTTATAATCTTTTGAATTCAATCTTGCCAATAATTGAATTAACTGCAAATTAATGGTTGATTCCTCCTGCCGTTAGACTACCTTTGCCAAAAATCCTTTATCATGCCAAATATATTTTTCCTTTGGGAGTAATAGGCATGATAAACAATATAGAGAATTAAAAAATTCGTATCCAGTGAGCCACTCATAATTTTCATATTTATCGAAAAAAAAACTAGGAAAGTCTATTTTGATTTCCTTTTTAAAGTTTTGCAAAATTGGTTTTGGTCTTCCTTACGATAATTAATTTCTTTACATCAAAATTTTTTTGCCTAAATTATTTTTTAAATAAATATTCAATAATACAATTTCAATTATTAGACATATTAAATTAATTTTTGTTTAAAATAAAGGAAATTTTTTATTTAAAAAAAGAAAAGATAAAAATATAATACAAAAATTTTTTTTCTTCTTGTTAAATATATATTTTAACTTTTTATTTTTCTTTTTAAATGAAATGACCTTTTCGCAATTCTTTCTTTTTCGTTTTTTTTTTGAAATAGATTTATATAACCTTTTAAAAACTTATATGTAAAAAACTTACTTGTAAAAATGTATATAAAGAACTGTAAATTTTCAGTGTAGATAGATATAAAAAATAAAATAAATTTAAATTTTTGGTGTCTTCCATTAAAATTTATTAAGGTGGCAGAACTAGAAGAAAGAGGATTATGGAAAATGATGTTAATTTAATTCTAAAACACATAAGAGATGATTAAAATGTAAAATTAAAAATAAATATAATAAAATTTTAATAATAAAATATTTTAATTATCAATAAACCTATATGGGACAATAAGAATAAAACAAAATTCATAGATGAATTAGAAGATATTTAATATACCATGAGAGTAAAGATGTTTTGAGTTTAACATTTAATCTACCAGATGACTTATATTTTCTTATGGACGCAATGTTACCGATATATGTAGTGTTGTTAAACGGCTCGATTTGAGCCGATTTTTAAAAACGGCTAACTCAATATTTTATCAAAAATAATATTACGCAAGTCTGAAGATTTTGCTCATAGATGGCACAAAGGTCTAGACATCAATTAGCGAAATTTCGAGATTTAGGTAATATTTTTCTAGCTAAAATATGGATTTAGCCGTTTTTAAAAATCGGCTCAAAATGAGCCGTTTAACAACACTAGATATATGGAAGTTCAAGTTATGATGAAGCAATATATATATTAAAATGTTTTGGTAATTATAATTTTAAAAGTCAAAATAATAAAAACTAGAATAAGATTGAATTATGTAAATTAATACCAAATGTTAAAAAAGAAATAAATTCTTATAAATTAAAAGAAATAAATCATATGATAACAATTGAAGAAACAATAGTGATTAAAGAAAATAATGAAATAAAAATTAGAGAAAATAATAAAATAAAAAAATTTATAATTAATAAAAAATTAAAAATTAAAAAAAAAACTTTAAAAATAAAGAAAATTAAAACAAATATTAAAAAGAGAGGCAAGGTGATTAAATATCTTGATGTTGAAAAAGTTTTTAAGAATATGATGATATGGAGATCGTATGTTGAAAATGGAAGGAGAAAGAGAAATTTTTTTATAAAGAACAAGTTGAAGATAAATTATGATATAAAAAAATTGTTTAAATTGAAAAATAAAGGAGTAAAATTTAAAAATAAAAATAATTAAATAATAAATAAAAAATTATTATATAAAACGAGACAATTCCAAATATTCTATTATTCTATATTCCAAATTCTTATTCTTATGAATGATTTCTATAAATTATTTATTCCATTATCATTTCAATTATTCCAAAATTATTTTATTTGAGATATATTTATCATAATATATATTTACAAACATTGATAAATAAATAAAAATGATAATAAATAACGAGATGAACAAGCTAATGGATGATGTTTAAGCGAGTGATTAGACGATAACAAGCTAAGAACAAATCAATGAAAAAGATATGACTGAGGCTAAACAACGAACATAATATCAAATGAAAATTCTACAAAGCTGAAAAAATTTTTAAAGGGGGAAGAAGTGAACAAATTCAAGTTCAAAAGCGAGAATATGACTTACGACATAGAAAATGATTGTTATAAATAAATAAAAATTTTGTAAAAAAAAAATATATATAAATTTTTGAAAGAGAAATGGGATGATCAATACAAACAGCAAATCAACAAGCAATGTTCAACCAACGATGTTTCACAAACGATGTTCAATAAACGATTCAACAAACGATAATCAGATGGTCAAACAAACAATCTCAAGATATACGAATAAATATAAATGACAAATGGAGCAATTGAGAAACAAAGACTGGAACTGAAGATAAGAAACGGAGGAAAGAAGACATTAAAAAAAGAGGGAAATGTTAAATATATTTTGAAGGACAAAACTTTTTATTTTTCTTTTTAAATGAAATGACCTTTTCGCAATTCTTTCTTTTTCGTTTTTTTTAAAAATAGATTTATATAACCTTTTAAAAACTTATATGTAAAAAACTTACTTGTAAAATTTTCCGTGTAGATATATATAAAAAAATAAAATGAATTTAAAATATAAATTTTTGGTGCCTTCCATTAAAATTTATTACTTCTCTTATACAGTGAAGGGGGGGGGGGTATTTTTTACCAGATGTTAAAACAAAATAAATGATATTATTATATTTTTATTTTAATCATACTTAAACATTAATATATGTTAAAAAAATATTAAACAACTTTTTTAAATGTCACACTTAAAAAAATATATTGTCATTACATATTTTCTTTTACTTAGTTAAAGATATTTTATGTAGAATAATTTTAAAAATAATGATAAAATATTCATTTTAGATCTTAGTCAAAATCTTTTATTTCTGAAAATAGTTTTTTTTCTCCCACTCTATTTTATCATGTTTGAGTTATAAATTATTAAATATTTTATTCAATTCATATATTACATATAAACAATATATAATAAGAAATATATTAGTAATTTCACAAATACATGAATATTGATTATATAAAATATGAAATATTTAAATGGTAGTTCATAGACATCCCAAATTTTCTGCTAAGTAGTACCTATTTAATTAAAATATTAAAAGTTAATCGTAATTTATTATATAAATAGTTTACTTTAGTCAATTGGTAGTCTACAATAGCCCAGCTCCAAATAGTAATTTGTCTTTCAATATTTGAATTGTCCTTTATTTTTCTCCCTCTTTGTTTAAGAGTGAATTCTTTTAAGGGATCACCAATAATTTCTGGGAATGTATCCAGTTTTATTTTATGAATCGAGGCTTTCGACATATTAACAAATTTCGCTATGTCCTTAATCTTAATCTGTTCCTCCTCTGGCATAGCTAAAAATTTTATTACCATGTCAATCTTTTCTTTGTTCCAATAATGGTATGTTCTTTTGGATTTAGGAATAATGGAGGAAGAGGATGATTTGTATTTTCATTAATGATACTAGTAGTTAAAGAAATTATTTGTGGAAATGTTAGAATATGATTGATAATTTTCCATCTCATTCTCATCTGAGATGAGCAAGGAATAATTTACAGCAGTAAGTGAGTGGGAATAGAGGAGAATTATTAAAGTTATGAGATATTAAACATCGAAAAAGTAATTAATTAAATTAAATATGAAAATTTTAAAAAATATTGTAAATACGCTTTTTATGTAAAATTAATTTTTTTTAAATTATACAAACTTCAAGTGCGGCATTTTTTTTAAAAGAGTTGTTTAATATTTTTTTTAACATAGATTAAGTATGATTAAAATAAAAATATAATATTATCATTTTATTTTGTTTTGTTTTAACATCTGGTAAAAAATATCCCCCTTTCACTGTAATATATTTAAAAATTAAGCATTTTTATATTTGCTTCTTCAACACTTATTTTTTAAAACGTTAAATTACACAGTACATTCACATGATTTTCTTTCTATTTATTAAAAATATAAGCAATTTTATATTTGGTTTCTAAATGTTATATTTATTAACTCAATAAAAGAATTACCAAAAATATATCGCATGTGCATAAATTTTTTCTATTTATTTATTTTAAAAATAAACAATATTAAATTTGCTTCCCTTATTATATATTTTTTTAATAAAGTAAAAATAATAGTATTTTTTTATATTAATATTATTTTTTTAACGTTATAAAAGTAATATTCTTTGTCAATTTTTAAAAACAGCCCTTTTAAGATTTAGCCAAAAGAATATTATGTAAGCCCTGAGATTTGGCAAAATAGTCGATACCTTTCTGCCATCTATGAGCAAAATTTCCAGTATACATAATATTAATATGATTAAAATAATAATCATGCCATTTTTAAACCCGTTACTCTTTAGTTGGCTGGCCACACATATCTGAAGGCAAAAAAATGCTAAGACTGTCATTTAAACGTCTATAGCCGATGAAAATAAAGTGAAAATCTTTTTCTAGAACATATAGTCAAACCCGAATAACTGCGACACATTTGAACTGAAAAAATTTATTTTTCGCACTTATTCAATTTTTTGCAATTAACCGATTTCTATTTAAAAATATATTTTAGCATTATGCCATTGTAGATTTTAAAAAAATGGCATATTTTTTTCGCATTTTAGAGTTTTTATTAACTATAATATGATATTTTAATATGTTGATACAATTTGTTTAAAGTGAAATAAACATATCTTAGAGATATATAACAAAAATAAATATTTATAATATAAAATAAAAATATAATAAAAAGGTCAATCACATTAATAGTATAAGATATAGATATATATGACAATCTCAAATTAAAGTTTTCTATATGACCATATGATGCATTAACAACCCATATGGTTAAAGGTAACACTCAATTTGGATTTCGTTTACCTTTCTCACGTTTTTTTAAATGGCCAGAAAGTCATGAATATGATTTATATAAAGAGACCATTGAACTTTCAACATTACATAGGAACAAATTTAAATCTTTTAAGATAATAGGCTCACATAAATTTATTGATAAAAATATTTCTAATTTAACTTGGTGTGATATATGTGGTGTGACCATTTTCGGAATCAATACTAAAGCTAATATGTGCATGGGTAATTATAATTTATTAAATAAAATATATTTTTATTGTTTCTAATAAATAAAGATAATGTCCTTAAAGTTTTTTTTAGATTTTATTACTCCATATGTTAAAAAAAACAATGCCTATACTCTTTTTTATTAACAATTTTATTCTTTTCCTCCTCCAAGCCACTGTCAATATTAATCCCACACCCCCTACCCCCAAATAAAATTGCCCTCCTACCCAAAATAAAAAAAAATCTACTCTCCTCTCATCCCCCCTCCAATCAATCTACCCCATTGCAATGACAATTCTACATTATGCCCCGACCATCCCATGGTAGAAGTGTCTAGCAACCTATAATTAGGAAATTTTGCATTTTAGCACCCCTAAGAGCTAGTGATATCTCTGATTTTGATAACACTTCGCTTATTTAATATATTATTTAGTTAACTGACTTAAAAATATAGTTGATTCTTCACAATAATATGTCCTGAATTATATTTTTGTAAATTTTAATTGCATATCTTATTTGCTTTAATTAAATCAGGGTTGTGCATTTGACAGTAGGATTCGGTTAGATCGATGTTTGACTGGTCAAATATAATCATATTCAAATAAATGTTTTTTAAGACAATATTAACTATTTTATATATAATTAATGAATCTATGTAATATTAAATAATATTTTTTTTAAATTCTATAATTAACGTTTCATTTTCAGTGGCAGAGTATTGTTCTAATTTATATTCAATTTTATCTTTTTTAAAAATATTTTTAATCAATCTTAGGTTATGATATACTCTTACCAATTTTCTGGTTATCGAGATCTTCAATCGATTTTTCTTCATATGAATATTACCCCAAACAGACCAATTTCTATCTGAAAAAGAAATATAACTATGAATTGTTAGTAAAATGTTAGACATTTTTCTTAATGTTCAAGGTGAGCAAAGCTTATTCCAACAACTTGAGTCCGAATCTGATTGTTTCTTATGAAAGTTACTGCTTTCCACATATTTTAATGTCTAATTCTTTTATCATATAAAATGTTTCATCAATTACTAAAAATAATCAGCAGTGTGAGAACATGTATCAAGATTGTTTTTTCTTTTTCAAATGTAACCTTATTTTTTTTTTCTTCAGGTGGGGAAATAATAGAATCATGACATGATTGAATTATGTGTTTTCTAAATTAAGCATCTCATTAATGAAGGTACCTTAATCCCTTTTCACTTACAAAAAAAAATAGCTAAATGTTTATAATAATTTCATTTAATATATTTTTGATAATTTATTTCAGATAAATATTGAACTTCTTCAACCACTGCTTTCAGAACTTTCTTGCAGATTTGTATTTGCTTTTACATTTTATTGACGATGACCATCTTGTTTGAATAATTATAATACATAAATTGGCAATTATTAATTTTCTCTAACCATGCTTCAGTAGCATATAATTAATAATGAGAAATATTTTTTATTTTTATATTTCAAAATGAAATTTTAATATTTTAATATTCTTATATAATAATGTAAAATTATAATTAAACCTATGCCTTGATAATGCTAATATATTTTTAAATCAATTGTATCCTAATTAGATTGATAAACATGGTTTAAATTCATATTAGTTAATTAAATCAATATATTATTCACCTATAACATTTTAGAGTATTTGACCAGGTACTCCTTCAGTCAATTGACTGGCTTGTCAAGCAACCCTGAATTAAAATGTGTTCTTAAAATGTTTTATTTTATTATCATTGATTTTTTACTCAAATTTCTTTTTTTAATTTTTTTAAAATATGAATATTAACATTTTATTACATATGAATCTATACAATTTAAAGTGTTTATAAATGCCTTATAATATATTTTTTCTCCTAATGTACAGTCAGCCTAACGTTTTTTTTATAAGGTTAAGAAAATCTTATTTTTATGTGCCTTGCCTCTATAATTTTTTTTAAATTATTTATTTTCATTTAGCAAAGTTTTTATTTTCTGAATAAGGTTAATCATTTTTATTTTCACCCATATTTTTAAACGTTTCAAAAAAATTAAGTTTTGGAAACATAAAGAGATCAGAGAATAAATAACCAAAATTTTAACATAATTTTATAAATCTAACAATAAAATATATACAATTTCATGATATTTAACTCTTTAAGGCTTAACTTTTTTAAAATAAGTATTTTTACAGAATATTTATTCAGTAAAATTATTATAAGGTAATTTTTTTAATAATTGAAACACCTTTTGTTCATATCACAATTAAATAGAATTAAAATTATAAAATAATACTATATTTTATAATTAATATTTTTGGTTTAAATTATTATGGCATCATATTTTTGAATATTTTATAATTAATATTTTTGGTTTAAATTATTATGCCATTACATATTTTTGCATATTTATCTTCTTTTCTGCAATATATATTTTAAATTTGTTATAATAATAATTTTGAATATTTAGTAATAAATGACATTTAATGATATCAGAGTTGTTAATGACATTTAATGATATCAGAGTTGTTAATGACATTTAATGATATCAGAGTTGTATATGATATTTCCTACGTACAGACTCATGGCCAAAAATATATCTAGATGCTAATATATTTTTTTCAAGAAACATTTAAATGCATTTTTACTATATGTAAAAAATGTCAAAATTGAAAATCTATTGCTAAAACTTATTGAAGGGAACCAAAGATTTTTTAATTCAATTTGATAATTTATTTATTTATATATAATTACTAAAATTTGTCATTCACTGAGACATTCCCGTTTATCTGTGCACATTTTTAGCCACAATAAAAAGTCTTTAAACTGGTGCTATATTTCAAGCAAATTATTTAATTTGATTATTCGTATTTTATGAATATGAATAACAAAATTATACTGTTCAGAAAAGAATATATTATTTATTTAATAATATTTTGCCAAGTATTTGATAGAATTAAAATTATTTATATAATTAAAATTTTCATATAATTTGAAATTGTTCGTAGTTAATCAAAATTCTTGAGAAATTTTTTTGGATACAGCACACCTTGAACTTCTTTCTTACTCCAAAAATATTTATTACTTCATAGCCCCTGAGAACCTATCCCTGCTTCGTGAAAGAATGATATATGAAGACAACTGCCCCCACACGTTCACATAGCCGAAATTTTTCTACACATGGTATGTCGTGAGAAACGGAACATGAAATATGAAATCATTGGACATATTATTATTATTGAAAGCGAAAAAGAAAAAGCATTTCTAAAAACAGACTAATTTATTTTAAATTGAGCAATATTATGACTAATACTTGTTGAATACAAGGTAGGCCATCTTAGACGACAAATTTTTTTAAAATTTTATCAAGTGCTGATAAGAAATCTATAACAAATACTATATTTCTTTCATATATAGTTATATTTCTGCTGTGCATCATCAAAGTCATGCACGTATCCAAGGTGGTACAAAAATTTGTCTATACTCTTAAATATCATTTAAAACTAATAAAAATCACCCCCCTTCTCCCCCCCCCACCCAATAATGTATATAAATATATCACTATATATAATATAGATAAGAAAAATAAGTAAAAGTTAATAATCGTATTTTTATATATAAAAAAAATGAAAATCGAAAATATTTTTGTAAAAATATAATATAACCAAAGGCTTACAATAAGTTGGTCTAAAGACCTCCAATAAAATTCTAAAGACCTCCAATATTTTTTTTGGTTTCGATGGTATATTCATGAGTTAAAAAATTTGCTTAATTTTGTTAAAGCTTAAAGCGTTAAAAATGAAATCTCTAAATTTTTCTCAAACTCCGATAATTAATGATCAGCCGAACACTAATATATTTTTTTTAAAGATTCCACTACTTTCAAGAAACTGGTTAGCTAAAAAAAATAAAAACATGAGATTTTACAATATTTATCCAGATGCTTCCTATGAGATAAAATTTTTTTTAAGCATCCATAAGTTATGGTGGTATTTCCTCTTTAAAAGTTCGATTTTATAACAAATAAATTTTCTGTTCTTTTTATTTAAAATCGATAACGTTTTTATTAACGAAAACATGAATATTTTTTGTTTAAAAATTATTGATTTTTTTTTTATTTTCGCCACTTGTTTTATGTAATTTTTTTCCCCCATATAATATGGAATGTTTTAGGTTAATTTTTTTTACATCCTAATTTTTTGATTCCGGTTTATCCAGGCTAGCTTCGAAAAATGATATTGCGTTTTAAAGAGGAGCTCTTCAAAGTTATTAAACACATTTTGTGGAATTTTAATTACTTAGGTAACTTATCCATAATATTTTAAAAATAATACATTACAGCAGAGTCTCTATAAGGTGAAAAAGATTAGGGCTGTTAAACAGCTTGATTTTTAAAGGCTATCGCAATATTTTAGTCAAAATATATTGCGCAAGCCTCGAGATTTCGTCAATAGATGCCTAAACCTTTCCGCCACCCATGAGAAAAATCTCCAGGCTTGCGTAATATTTTTAGGCTAAAATAGTGGATAGCCTTTTTTTAGAAATAGAGTCGTTTAACAACACTAGAAGAGATCGCTCATAAAATTTAGACAATAGAGAGATCCTGATCACCTTATCGAGGCAATTCTTTTTAGGGATTCACTGTATTTAATTAATTTAAGTAATATAATTACATTGATAATTTATTTTAGACTGCAATTATACTTGTCACACGGCCTGCAAATCTAACTCGTTCCTTCCATGTGAACCCTCCGATAAGTCTGCATCGACAAACAACGTTGATAATTTCCAAAATTTTACACAAGAAAAATTCCACTATGCCGTGCTAGAAAAAGAAAATTGCAATGGGTCGCACCAATGCGTCAAATCCCAAATGGCCGAATCCTTTCAAATCGATGATAATTTACTATCAAGCCCATCATGGCAACATTTTCCCGATCACCATTTAAACCAAGACACCATGCAAAAAACAGTTTTTATAGTGCAGGAACAGCCGGCCTCAAACTTAGCTCCTAACGTATCCATAAATATCATGCAAAGCGATCTTGATACAAATGATTTCGATAAAGTACTTTACGTTAGAGAACAATTTAAGAAAAATCTTATTCATACGCACAAACGTTCCAACTCAGAATCATGCTTATCACTACTTCCCAATAATTATCGTCCTCCCTCTTTCACTCATTCCCTTCTATCTTCCGTTCATTCCTCGAGAACCTCTATTTTATCGACTGCTAATTACTACCACGATCCCGGCACGATGCTCAATTTTTCAAGCTGCCACTCTTTAGAAGAGCCCGTCAGAAGTCTGCAATCTTTGAACGATTTACAATGCTTAGATTACGATGAAATCATGACTCATTCCTATGTTAGTTTCGATAGAGCCGATGACACCCCTATTCTGGAGGAAGGGGTAGATAATTCTTACGATTGCATGCATTTAGACCCCTCTACACCGGATTCTTTTGAGGTTGTTTATAAATATATTTTAAAAATTGAAACTTGTTTTAACCTTGTACTACTACTTAGTATTTGTCTCATTGTCTGAAACGAATATGAATTCTTTATAAATAAACCTGCGCCATACCACCCCCGGATATTAAGGAGCGAGGTCATTCTATTTCATAAGAATCATTGAAAAATTAAGCTAATTTTCTTAAACATCTTTATAGATGCACATGAAAAAAATTTTGCAAGGTATTTTTATTTAAAAATGGAGTTTTTATTTTAGCTAAGTTATATATTACATGATGTCAAACCTGGAAAATATTATTTTTCCTATGGTTAGGACTGGGCAAAAAAAACACTATTCTTGGTTTTATTTTTAAAAATGGGATAGAAATAAATTATGTCAACATATCTGCCATTTGCGAATATGAGTAATGATACGTTTGCCCTTTTTACGTAGTCGATATGCTTTAAAAAAAGAAGATTAGTATTTAATATTATTTTTAATATAAATTAGCACGACGACAGTTCTGTAAAAAAGGGATCTAAAGGCTTGTATATAACGATAGGCTTTAATTTGCTGAGACCTATAAACGTTTTAACCGAGCTTAAACACCAAACTTCCGAAGAAATTATCAATACATCCTTACGTTTCGATCATCAACAAATGGACCAGTCTATGAATTCTATAGATGATTCCGGTTATGACGGGGTAGTATGCGAAAACGCAGCAGCGGAATATTCAACATTTTTTCTCCCTTCCAACATTACGAAATCGATTTTTATCACAGAGTATAAATAAAAAATCACATCTGTTTACTTTTTCCCTCCCCAACAACAACTTTTGTTGTAAAAAAAACAATTACATTTTCATAATTTAGAGTTCATATTATCAGGGGCAGATTGGGAGGCTTACTCTCAGAGGGGCGCCAAATGGCCAATTATCGCATATTATTATGGAGTGAAATTAATCATTTTCTTTTAAATATTACGAATTAAATTCCACATTTGAAAATACGTTCGTATTAGGTCTATTCAAAAACGAATCAATAAGTGCATTATTCATATTCGATTCGTTCTATTCGTGTTTGTGCGAATAATAAAATTATTCAATTCAAATTATTCGAATAATAATTCATTTTTTTTTGAATATTATATAATAATTCATACAAAAATATATTGATAAATTTTTAAAATATTTTTTACGGTACTTAAAATTTTAAACCGAAAAAAAATGATAGTAATCTGATTATGAAGAACATGCGATCAAGTTATTAACGAAATTAAATTGCATATTAATTTAATATATAATGAATGCCAAGCCAATATTTAAGGTAACAAGTTTTTATTGTTCTTCTCTACAAGACATGCGATATTTCGAAGCAAATTGGTTTCAATTGGGAAAAGTCTTTCACAAGCAGATGATACACCTTATTAATCACATACCTTTTGTAGGTTATCAATAGAAATGACAATTATGATTAAAAAACATATTAATATTCCAAATCTCAAGGGTCCAGTATTAAAAAATGCTGGGCCAGATAATTTATACACAAAAATCTCAATTATCTGATTTTTCGTTAATCTTGATGGGACAAGCATTAAAATTTATATATATTTTTGAATCTCAAGCTAATATATTGATTAATACTATTACAGGTCTGTCCGCGCAACTTGTGCAAGAAATCTTAACAAGCCGGAGTTTTGCAGATCTCTGACTCCGAATATATTCCTATTCGAGCAAATCAGAAATGAATAATTTGCTATTCGTTCATTATTATTAGATTTGTTTTTGAATATGCCTAGTTCATACTAAGATCGCCATTATAATATATCAATTTTTATTTTAGGAAAACAACAGCACTAAATGTGATAATAAAGTTTTTATTCAAATTTCGCATCGTTGACAACCCCCGCAAATTTTATCTTCATGAAAAAAAAGTTTCCCCTTCTACCGGAAAAGGTTCATAAATTGATCATCTTTAAGCTTTTTGGCTTAAGCATATTATATTAAAAAAACTAATATGCAAAGTATCTAGCCAAAGTATTTATATTAATTTTAATTTATAAACCTATTTCGTTTTGAAGATTTTCAGTGTCAAACCATTTGATTTATCGGTTTGGGTTCAGGAGGAAGAAAATATAAAGGTTTAGAGGAATTAAATTTTATAAAGATAACCTTTATTGAAGATTCAGTAATTATTATTTTTTTATACAAGGTACCAATTATTCATAAATTATAATTTATATATTTCTTTTAATACAATAATTCAATTGCATAACCTTTCAGACATAATCAGGGGTGTATTGCTATAGATCTTAAGCTCCCCCCCTGCCGCCAAAATTTTATAATATTTTTTCAAAAGTGTTAAATTTGAATTCTTTTTCTTGTTATTATTGTTATAAAAATAAAAAAAATTTATATAGTCAAAAATTTTTTTCATATTTTTTTATAGCTACATAGAAGATAGAAAAACAAAAGTTTTATTTTTTAATATTTTTATGTTCATTATTTTTATATAAATTTTTATAAGTCACCGCCGCTTCTGCTTTGATTAAAGTATAGAGTTAGTTTCATCACCAAAACAAGTAGTGATGATAAATAGCTCCATTTTTAACCAATTTTGAGCGAACTCTAAAAAAAGGGCAAACCAAATTTTTAAGCGAAGCTCAATCTTGATAAAAATATACTTTGCCACAAGTCTAAGCGAATTTATTCAACGGTTAGGATTTAGCCGATTTAACAACTTTACAGACAAGAAATAGACCAATTTTAACAAAATCTTTTAAATGTTAAAATAGGAATTTAAACCATCAGGCTATTCGGTGTCCTTTTGCCAATTAATCATTTTTTTTATTGATTGATCCATATATAAAAATATAAATCATTAGGAACATGTTGACGATAATATTATATAATATAAGTAAATATTTACAGATATTGCTCGATTCAGAAATTTTACTTTTAAAAAATCTAAAAACTAGTAAGATATAGACCAATTTACAATTTCTCTAGAAATCATCATGCAGTCGCGTCTAATTGATAGCTTTGAGGGTAAACTTGAATTTTAATAAAATTTTATTTTATTTTACAAATTCTTTCCTATATATATACACTTTATTCAAAAAGAAATTGTCCTAAGAACCTAGATGCGCAATTTGACGAAAAACAAATAAAAAGATATGTCAAAAATTCAAATTAAATAAATATCTATAAAGATATTCCTAATGAAAATCTTTAAATTCCCTAATGTGTATATACTTATATGTTCTTAAATATTATTGGACCTTCGATATTGAAATGGATTCCAGAGCATATATCAAAATATTGAAAAGGAATTATCACGGGCGAGTGAAATCTTTTTAAAGAAAAATACTGAAATGAAGCATATTTATATATATCCTAATTTGTAGATATTGGTGGTATATAATTTGTTACATTATTTTTAAAATATAAAATAACGAAAGAATTATTCACATTCGTAATAAAAAATAAATCAATTATATATATCCTATTTTTTGATAATATATTTGGAAAAATCATATCTCCCCCTCCTCCGCCAAGTTTTAAAGCAATACACCGCTGGACATAATACAATGATGATTATGTAAATCACGGATAAATAAAACATTCTGTTTTCATTAATAAATAACCCAAATATAATTTTTAATAATAGTAAAACTATTTTATAAAATACAACCTGATCATTTAAAAAAACATATGACTATGATTACATCACTTGCCCTTTAGAAAACCGACTCCTATATACCTTGAAATTGGTTAGACCCTTTATTCCATATTCTCATTCCAGTTTCTTTATTCACTGCCAATTTGATTATTGTCTACCTAGAAAGCAGTCTCGGGACATAATTTAACCATATGATTACCTACACACCCCATCTCATCCGTCCTGGCATCTGATAAGGGTCCGTTCTTTCCCCTCCCTTATCTTCGCATATTCGTTCATTTTTCAATACATTCTTATTTCTTCTTCCCTGGCGGCATTAACCCATCTTCTCGATTACTTTCAACCGTCTATCTCTAAAATCTCTATCACCTTTTACCCCAGCCATGTAAAAATTGCATATATAACCTCTCTTTTTTTTTCCTTTTTTCTACTTCTCCTTCTTTTTATTTTTATTTCAATTTTATAAATAATATTCTCATCCTTTCGGGACTCCGTTGTTGAAATGTATATCACCTTTTCTTACCCTTTCGGGGATCGGGGAACACACCCGTTGTTGAAAAACAATTGAGATTTCTTTATTCCATTCGTGTTTAAACTCCTGGTCCCTTCTGTTTGATATGTCTTCTTTTATTTTTACGTATTATAGGTTGGAGAACAAGGTGATATAGATCGAATTTAGAGAGATCGACTGAATCGAGAAGATGAGTTAGAGCTTCCAGGTAAGAAGCAGCAAGAATAGTTGAAGAAATGTTGAACAAGACACAGAAACGCGAAGATCAAGAATGATGGAAAGAACATAACCTTGCCCTATACCACAACGGGAGATGCTAGGCATTTGAAGGTAATCATATTGTTAAATTCTGTCGACTGATTACGCAGTATATAATAATCAGATGTTTGCAGTGAAAAAAGACTTACGACAGGGAATAGAAGGTATAGCCAATCTCCCTGTAATAGGAGTCGGTGCAAGGGTGTTGTAATCATATTTTTTTGTTTAATGATTATGTTGTATTTTTAATAAGATAATTTTATTATCATTATATGTTGGGTTATTTATTAACATGTTAAAATTGAATGTTTTATTTATCCGTGATTTACATAATCAGATATTGTATTATATCTGAATAATTAATTATTGTATTAAATGAATATGTAAAAATTTATGATTTAGTGTAAAGATGGAAATTAAAATTTATTCGACACCATTTTTTATTTCGCATTTTATAAATTAATAAAGTTATCAGAACCCTTTCGATATTTATTTAAATTTTAATAAAATCATTATTTAAAACTATGATTAATTAGAGTAATTGATTAAATAACCTTTTAAACTCACTTGGATGGCCAATTGATACATAAAATATTGGACCAAAGTAAGTTCTAGAAAAGTAAGGAATACTAAGAAAACATTATTAAAAGACATCGAATCAATTTCCTCCTAGTGCTAGTATAGTTCCTAAGGCATCCTTAGTCAAAAAGAACCTTTTTCGAAAAATATGATTTTTGAAAAGTGAGATATACTAAAAAATAAAAATTTCATTTTGTAGCTCTACTAAAAAGACTTTTAGTAAATATTTAATGATTATTTTAAATAATAATGGAGTTTTTATATGTTATAAATTTTGAATCTAAAGGTTCCACATGTTTAGCTATTTTTCTTTATTTTAATTTTATAAAAAATTCTACTTTGATCTTTTCCACTTTCTTTTGTTTCATATTTTTTTTAGTCATTAGAGATATAGCTAATTAATTTAAAAAATATTATTAGCCAAAGCTATTTAAAATTGACTGGCTATTAGTCGTAGACATAAAAGCTATAATTATTTTTGTTGGCGAAGCTTTAACTTAGTCCCCACTTAAAAATAAACTTTTTTATTTAAAAAAATGTAAATTTAAAATCAGGGATATGAATTCTTCTACAAAAAAAAGGGTTCAGGTCCGGGTACAGTGATAAAATTTAAAAAGGGTCCGCGTTCGGGTTAAGGGAACAAAATAAGACTTTTTTCATTCATTTATTATTATCCTTCAATTATATACACATTCATAATTTACAAATAAAAAATTTAAAAATGAAATAATTTATATTTTATTTAATCGCACAATTATAATATCTTCTAAAATGTCATCATTTAGATTTCCACGTAAATTAGACAATTTATATTTCAAAAATGAAAATCCACGTTCTACGCTTACCTAAAATAGATAGTTATCTTATTGTACTTCTGTCGCCGGTACAGCCATGTCGATTCTAGACAAGATATATAATTCTGGATATTTTCTTCTCAGAATTTTAAATTATTTTTATCCTTATTTATTCTCTTAACTTCTGAGAACTTTTCTATTAATGAATGCAATCGGCATTTTTTGATCCTTCTTTCTATCTGATGATAATTTGATATTTTTTCTCTATCTAAAAGTAAAATTTCAAGATCATCAATGTTGCTATCATTATAATTATTATCACTACAACCAGTAGGTATTATTGTCTCACCAATATATTGTAAAGGAGTTTTGTGTATGCCATAAATCCTTAAGATGGGCTTTAGCCATTTGTTTTTGCTCAATACCGAGCGTCTAAATATATAGAAGCATATACAATAATATTTTGCAAATATTGTTGCTCTCGAATTTTTATGTTTTCTAATATTTCGTATGAAAAAGGACGAGTAAATCTTTCTAAATCTAATTGACATCTAATCCATATTCTATAAAAATCAGAAACATAATTGTTCTGATCGTAATCTTAATGTTGTTATTTTTAAAGGAACTAATACACTAGTAAGGTCCTTAATTTGGCATCAATCATCTTCCGACAAAATAACTTCACATGCTCCTATTATAAGATTATTACAGAAATCTTTCAAACTTAAAAATCGTTCTAACATCAAACAAATTGAGGATCAACGTGTTGTGCAATCTAATATTGTCATTGACTTTTTCATAGATTTTAATATTCTTACAATTGTGGGAGTTCTTAAATAATGATAGTTTTAAAGTGATTGTTTCTTAGGCGTCATTAATAGCCAATATTGTAGAGTATGGGCTGCACATCTGATGCAATATATATTTGTGGGGAAATCTATTAATAAATTTACATAATAAAATATTGTTACCTACATTAGAAAATAATTTATGATATCAATCTCTAAATAAAATGGAAGTTCAGGAAGATATTTGAAAGAAAAACGCGAAAATAAAATAAATGATTCCGCGAAATAAAATTTTATATTATTTTTTAAAAAATTTTTATATTATTTTTTAAAAAAATATTTCTATTTTTAAAATTTTTATATGACACTTAGAACCCTTGGACCCTCCACCTTTAAAAGGGGTTCGGGTACAGACAAAATACGAAGGTTCAGGAGGGTCCGGGTTTGGTTCACATCCCTGTTTAAAACCTTTTTTTTAAGAAGATTTTGAATATAATTTACTTTTTGTTTTTTATTATATATAATACAACATTAGTTTACCTCAGGAAAATAGCAGATACCGAAAAATTATACTACATAGCAGATATGCATCGGCTGACAAGCGTGCATAAGAGTAAAAGTGAGGATTGCGCACATATTCCTGATACGGCATTTGTCTTAAAAGATCACATTGAATCGGAAATATTAGTAAAGATCATTTGATCATGTTTTACTTAATATTATAGCACTTTTCAAGGAAAGCACCGTAAATTTAGAACGCTAGTAAATCAGAAAACTTCATAAGGGAATTACGTCCAACATTTTATATAATAATATATTTTTTAAATTTGATGGAAAATTTTTTTATATTTATTTATATATTAGTGGGATTCATTTAGCATTCCGGAGTTGCACAATTTTGTCAAAATTTTAGACCAAGAAGAAAAAGTGAGCATAGACAATATCAAAAAAACATATCTAAAAAAATACCAGGCATTAAAACAACTTATGACAGTATAATAGACGGTGAAATAAACAAATCTTTTTATTTAATTTTTTTTATTGGTTCAAAATTGCTTTTAAATGTAAAATTGTATAATCTATTAGGCGATATTTTGTAAAATTCAATCAAGAATCACTTATATTTAATTATTTATTATTGAATTTATAAACTATATAGCGCTAATGCATTCACTTCTGTTCCCTACATTATCTAAAATGGTTCTCATATTGCCCATTTTTATTAAAGTCATTATGCAATAAAATAATTTATAATAAATCTTAATATCCCAGTCTTTTGTGAATGGGAAAATTCGTTGATATTTAATCATTGAAAAATTTTAGATTCTAGTGCTGTAACGTTACTTCAAAAAAGAAACGCGTTAGGATGCATTCATAGTGGCCCGCTTTTCGCATACGTAAACTATGCGTAAAATACAAAGTATGTTATTTGATATGATGCATTCATAGTGAAGCTATGCGTTTTTGGATCCGATTTATTTGTCGTTGTTTAAACGTTATGTAAAAAATCAAATACAAGTCATTTTGTATTTTTCGTTGCGGCCGCCAAAAATCCGATAAATTTTGAAGCAATTATAAATTGCGTAACTCATAAATGCCTTTATTATGATAAAAGTCCAATGTATAAAAATCATTAGATAAGCCAAATGCACCAAATATGATAATAACTTAGAATCTATATTTGACGAAATGAGTTTATTATGGTATCCTCCTGTTGAGGGTATGAAATATGTTATAACACCCAATACTATATTATGTTTATTAATTTAAAATATTAGGACCCTTTGATTATGAAATTCACTTATATTAAAAAATTCTGAAATTTAAGATAATTAGAATAAGTTAACAAAATATTATATATAAATTTTCTTTTATTTTTATACAAAAATAATATATTAAAGTTCAGTTGGTAATAATTTTTTATTTATTTTTAACAGCAATTATTTTCAAAATTTATCAGATAAACAAATGCGCCTAACAGAGCTTTCATTGTTTTAAGCTGGTGCAGAGGATGGGAAGGCTTTATTTTATTTAATAAATAAACATTTTAATTAGAAGAATTTATTTAAAATATTTCTTATCAGATCATCTCCCTCATCAAGAATCATTTAGATCCTCATCAATTTTTTTTTCTTTGTCAAAATTTAATCTGAATTCATATTTTTAATATTTTATGTTTTTTTTAGATCTGAGCAGCTGGACATCGAAGTTGAAATATTTGAATTAGGGCACAATCTACACTTTTAGCGCCCTTAATTTTTTTTATTTGTGTAAAAAAAATTTCATACTGAGGTCATGGCAGAATTAGATCATCTTCACCTGAATAAATAAATATTAATGATATATTATTATAAAAATTAATTATAAAATTAGAGAATATAAATTTGATTAATCAGTATAAATAAAATAAAAATGAACTTTTGTGACTGATCTGAATTGAAAGCTCGACCCAAATTATTTATAAAAATATATTAAAATTACTACTGTTTTAATCGGAATCATGGAATTTTCCAAAATCTATAATATAGTCTCGAAAAACACTCCCAGCCTTTATAATATCTGGATTGGACAAAACGCCATTTTCCTATGCTTGCCATGAATTTAGTCGTAGAAAATTTTTATTGTTTTTTGGGTGTAAAACCGTCAATATTGGAATTTTTTCATTTCAATAATGTGTTGTTTTATATCAAATCAATTTTTTTATTATCTTAATGATTTCATATTCGTTATTAAGATTATCGATAAATTTTCAAAACATCTTTCTTGATTTTCAATTTTTTTAAAATAGGATATCCTCTTTCACTTAAGCCTTTTTTCTTAATTGTTGTATCGCCAATCAATGGTAATGGTATCATTAATATAATACTTGCTTTTTAAAAAAATTTGGGTTTGGGCCGGGTCGGCAAAACTTTTTTAAAAAAAATTTAGGGTAGGGCCGGGCTTGAAAAATTAGGCCCGATGCAGATCACTACCTGCCATACATTCCACTTTAGGTTGCACACTCCCTCTAAATGAATTTCTGTCCCATGAATAATAACGCGACCAAATTTCAAATTCAGAAAATTAAAATATCCAGATAAATAGTCATATATCTTAAAATTTCTAGTTTATATATATCTGTATTTTCTAAATTTTAAAATGAACTTAAAAAAATGTTAAGATTTTATATTTAGATGATTATGCAAACTCTTCAATTTTAAGTAGTAAAGACAAATATAAGTGTGCCAAGCTTAGGGAGATTTTTTATTGATTAAAATTAGTGGCGAAAAAGTAATTCTTTGCTCATATTCGATTTATTAGAAGCTGAAATGATGGTAAAGCAGAATTTCGACATGAATTACAAAGAGTTCGCAAAATTTATTTCCTAAGATAAAAACTTATAAATAATATAGATTCTTCCAATAAAATCTAATCTTTTTTTTATATTTGACTCTAACTATTCATAATATTCAAATAAAAATTGATAAAATTTACCAATACTGCATTTGTCCTATATAATAAAAACCTAGATTTGTCGAATATTTCAATAAGTTTTCAAAATTTATCGCCATAATTTTTTAAATAAATCTTTGAATATTTTAGTAAAAAAAATTGTGATTTCATCTTGGAAGATTTTTTATACATGAAAATTATAAAAGATTTAGTTATAAAATTTTACTAAACACATTTGGAATTTTTGGTAAAATTTGATCAAATTTAAAGTGATTTATGTGGAAATAAAGTAAAAAACTAAAATCGCCCACAAGAAACATGAAATAATTTTAATATTTCTGAAGTGTCAAATATTTACGATAAATTTTAAATGCAAAATATTTCAAATTATCCAAATAATTTTATTGAATATTGAATAAAATTATTTGACAAATAATATTTTTTTCCTTATTCATATTTGATTCAAATAGTTTTAATTGTATTTGTAACTTTATCTAAAATGAATTAATTCATTTTAGATAAAGTCCCAATTAATCTCATTTTCTTTATCATTGATATAAATCCCACATACTCACTTTTAGAATATGATGGGTCATTCATGACAATCTCCCAAAAATAAGAAGACTGGATAGGGATTGATAACTATTCCCATTCTCCAACCCCTAAGATTTTGCTGACTATTTTTATTGCAATATTATACTTATGAATATTTTCTTCAAGTCCTATACATTTAACATTATGTTTACATTTACTTGAAAAATAATAAAATTTTATTTTTTCAAACTAAATACATAAAATAATGATGAAAAAACAAATGCACAATTTAAAAACAAATAGTATTTATATTGAATTATAATAAGCTAAACTCTAATGAGCAATCAATATGAATTAAAAATATGATTGTCGTTCAGGATCAATCAAGGAGTCTTGCATAAAATTGAAGTTGCTTTGGAAGGAAGCCAATAGATCATTTAATGTACGAGTATGAGAAGAATTTTCATTCAAATGCTTGCTTGTGACAGTTGAAACATATGGCTTGATAACCTCATTTTGTGATAAAAATGTGCCCATGTTTTGAATATGCTGAAAATGGGAAGGTGGTTTCCCATTTGTATTATGCCCATTGTTAATACTATTTATATTATCATTAGTGCCCATTGAAATGTTGGTAGGAATATTTTCAGGCTTCTCAATGACAACCATACCATCATTATCATCTGATGAAGATGTATCATCATTATTATTTGATTGTATATTATTATTTTTGGCTATTGGATGTTTCTGTTCAGATATTGTGTTATTGATATTACCATTAGCATTTGATTTATATGAATGAAGATATGATTCAAAAAATTTAGATTGGTCTATCTTATCAACCAATGCTTTTAATTGTTGATAAGTAAAATTAGTTTCCAAAAAGTTTTTGGGTTTAGGTGTTATTAAGGATGAAAGATGTTCAGATGATTGATTAAGAAAATCAGAAAATGACAATTTAACTACTTTCATATCAAATACTGTAATATAGAATTTTTCTAAAATATTAAGTTCCACCTCAGTTAGGTTGTTTAAAAAATCCTCTTTGACTTTTGGAATTTGTAAAGCAGACAAAATGTAATATATTTTTAATATATAATATGAAATATTTGATTGGTCTTGATCTTTTTCCATTTTTTGTTTTTTAATTTGTTTTTTGGAATTTCGGGATATTTCATTATTCAATGTAATATATGTTTTATGTAAATCATTTAACGTTTCTAATAATACTATAACCTCTGAATAATGAGATACAGCAGTCTTTTGGTCGTCATTTAATTCGGTTCCTGATTTTTGTTTTTCTCTATAATCATCTAATTTTGCCTTTCGTTTTTCTAAATTTCTAATCTTTTTTTCTAGCACTAATACATATTGTTTATAAGTCTCTGTTTCAATATTTGTCTTATTATCTTGAGGTTTAATCTGTGTTGATGCCATTGATTCCTATTAAATTGTTAAGTATAATAAAAGGAATATACAAAATACTTTTTAACTTTTCTAGATTTGATAAGTTTCAAGGAAATTTGTAAAGATAATTAATTTTGATAAATTTAACAACAAGGAAAATAGTTACTTTCGAATATTAAAGAAAAAAATTTATAATAAAAAATTAGTTTGCTTTTTCCGATGCAAATGGATACAGAATCTTTAAATATGGGTATTCCTTACCTTCAAAGTGTGGAAATAAATAAGTGATCGTTTTCGTATTGGTATTCTATTTTTAAGTTTTTTTTAAGTTCTAAAAATTCTAATTAAAAGTAATTTTAACATAGCCTAAACAAAATTATTAGTAATAAAATTTTGGCCAATACGATAAAAAAGAGAACGAAATTATTCAGAAAATTTTATCAGTTTTTACTTCTTAATTGTATATTATTTCAATCCATTTGGTTTATAAGAATATTTATAAAATATAAAAAGATTGCAAAATTGGCGTAATTCTAGAATAAAAGAGATAAATATATGGTGTGCGTTAATATTGATTTTCTTAACTGGTACTGATCTATGTCTCAGTATATTTTCTCATAAAAACCGAGCTATAAATAAAATGAAAACTATGACATCCGTCTTTGAGGGTAAAGTGAACCAAATTTTTTGACTAATTCTGAAACTAGAGTATTAAGTAGTGCTTTATAAGTACATTTTAGATAGTTTTAAAAAAGAAAATAAATAATTCGTAAAATAAGGAAAAAAAATTGTCAAATTAGCATTATGGCAGAAGGAGAATATAGAAATTCCAAATACATCGTTTTCTTTAATATATATTTCGATATTTATTAATCCTTATATCAATTTCGCAAACCCCAAAATATTAACATAATTATAAGCCAAGTAACTATGATTCCCGCTTTAGAGGTGAAGTCAGCCAATCTTCCTGACATTGACTCTGAAACTCATATCAATATTTAGTGCGTATTCAAAAGTTTTCGTATTTCAACCCGTTTAGAAGATAGATTTGAGATAAAGCAATATCGATTAGAAAATATTAGCCAAGATTGACATGCTAGAAGAAAAATTATAGTTGCACTAAATATCTGGATGAGCTAATGCTTGATTAGTGTTTATTAATTAATCAATCAGTTTAGTTAAACAAAAACTAGTCATATTGCGATTCAAAAATTAATTACGTCTAAATAATAAATGCCTTGATGTTATTTTTTCCCTGTTTAAAAATATTTTTCTTTATAGATGATACATAATATTTTTTTTGGGTTTATTTAATAGATATAGAACTAAAATTATATTTTAAAAAATATGATATTGATATGACTCACCACGTCTACATAGCAGAATATTCGCTGAAGGCGAACCCCCGCCCCCCCCCCCTCAAAAATTTATACCTACTCACAAATTTTTAATTATAATGGTAATCCCTTCATATATTTTAAAAGAGTCACTTTAATCATCGATCCTTTTTTTAAGCTATCAAAAAATTGTGAATGCAAAAGAGTTATTTTATAGAATGTGAATTAAATTAAAAACCTCCCCCTCAGTTACGATGAATACATTTGTTATATATAATGATAAAATGGAGCTTATACTTTTATTATTCTAAACATTTCATCTTATTACATATGATAATCCTAAAAATATATTGTTGCGCTATTATAGATTTTTTTTGATGTTATATTTTTATATATATAGTGTTGAATTTTGACAGATGTGTCCCACCGTCTGAGTGGGGAAAACACAGTCCATGATTGGGGGTCCGGGATGGTCGATAAGGGGATCCAGGGGGCCGGGTTTGGGTATCGATTTTGTCATGAGATCACGCGGACAACGCAGTAATCCAAAAGCCAATACCACCGAATTAAGGTTAAACAAATTTTATTTCAATAGTTTACAAAAAAGAGGAAATTAAATAAAATCATTCATCAAAAAAAAATCACAGTCACGAATTTCATTTTTGGTGGTCTTTATATTGATTAATTAAATAATAAAAAAAAGAAAGTTAATAAATCCAGGCTCATCTCGAAAACTGGCTAGAACCAGTTTTGAGGATGAAATCAAAACAAGCTTGGTATACGTGAACAAAGAAAAAAAAAGATATACATGATAATGAGAAAAACACATCACTTTTAATTGAACAAAGAAAACAAAAATATAAATGGTAATATAAAAACATATCACTTAAACAAAAACATAATAACTATTATAAACTAGTTAAAACACAACATATAGCTTATCAAAATTCTATAATAATATAGATTTTTACTTGAAAGTGTGAATTAATAGCACGGTTGCAGCGGAAAGGCAAAAACGACTGAAATTTAATTCAGGAAAATTAGTAAGATATAAATAAAAAAAACATAAATTAAATTAAATTGGTAAGTAAATTAATTCCCTGGAAAAAAAATTCTCCAGTAAGAATATTTTGCGGAAAATAATTCCAAAGAAAAAAACCACAAGATAAATTTTCATTGTTATGATCTTCAAAAAAATTTTTAGCAGAATTTTTCTTTTTGAAGAAGATAGATTTTAATCAAATATTACCTAAAAATTTAAAAAATTTTTAATAAAAGTTCATATATATATAATCAAAACTTTTGCAATTTCTATGGATAAAAAATATTTCAAAATGACAATTTTTTGAGCAAAAATCTTAATTTCTGAAGATTTTTTTAAAACTCAATATAGTTTTAAGTTTAACAAACCAAAAAGACAGCGAAACTTTTATCACAAAACACATTTTCACGAAACTTTTATTGTGAATGTTTATTAAAGCGGATTAATAATTATAAATAAACTTATATCACGAATTCATATTCGCGTATGCTATTCAGCAAAGTCCATATCAAGAATTTTTCATAACAAAACCCTTACAAAACTCTTTAAAGCGAATACATAACATGGAAATTTTCTTCGTGAATATATAGTACATTTTATAGAGAAGGCGAACCCAAATCACGAAGAAATTATAGCGAAAACATTTTTGCGAATCATATATAGGATATTTATTAACGCTAAGTAAATATCGGGAGAAAGCGCGAAAGCAATAAAGCCTTAAATGATAATAGCGACTATTTTCTTAAAATCAATATTACTAAGAATATATCTTGTTTTATATATTTTTCCAAGCTATTTATCTTTTAAACTGTATCCATATTCTGGGCAATTCAGTTTAATATCTGAACTACGGATTTTTTTGAACAATTCAATCTTAATTCTGAGCAATTAAATGTGAATTTTAAAGTACGAGACTCGATAAATCTGGTGGTAACCGTGATACTTATATAATTTCGAGCGATAGTATAAGTAGTCAAATCGATTTTTGTCATTTAGAAAGAAAACGTGATACCAAATTAAGAGCGATTACAATAGATTATTTTTACAATACTCAAAAAATTATAATAATAACTATTTTTTTAAACGGAAAATGATAAAATGAGAAGTAAATTCATATTAAATGAATCCTTATTATTTTCTAGCAGACTGATAAAAAGTTCGTATGGCCAACCATTTTTGAAGGCAATTGTGAAAATCCTCAATTTCCCAATGTGATATTATATTTTATAAAAACTTATTGGAAATGATTAATAATTTCAATATTTTTTAAAAAAATGCTAGGTTCTAAAATTTGTAAAATTTCAAAAATAAATATTTATTTTAAAAGAAAAGAAACTGATGAAGGTATTTATTATAAAAAATTTTCCTGTCATGATGAGCCTTTAAACTTTTTTCCCATAAATATCTAAATGTTGTGGAAAATATTTAAAGGCGAACAAAAATATTTTAAATTTTATTTTAATTATTTGAAAATGTTAACTTATGATAATATTTTATTTAATATCGGAACTAAGTATCTAATAGGTAATTTAGGTTAAGGCAATGATATAGTTAAGCATTAGTTTATTTTATAATAATTGTCTTACTTATTTTTACCAAAACTGGGTTCGGGATAAGGCCATAATGTTACACATTACATGGTTTAGGATTAATTAATAATATTTTAAAAATTAGATTAAGTTTAACATTAACTATTTTTTATTGTTTGTAATTATTATTAACAAATTTATTTGGAAAATCATTTTTCAGGGATATATTTTCCAGGATTTTTTTTTATTTTGTTGATTTTCTCCAAATTTTTAAATATTTTATTTGGGAAATTTTTTTCGGAGATATATTTATAGGGATTTATTCCTCCAATTTATCTATTTTCTTTTAAGGATCAAAAATTGGGGAATTTTTCTCCTGTAAATTATTTTCTGTGTGAATTATTTTATGTGATTCGCATGATATAACTCATAAATCAATTATAATGCCTTAAAAATGATTTTAAATGATAAAAATTTTTATTAATCTGTTTCCTTAGATTTGATATAAAAAATTTATGGGGGGGGCAAAAATTTGTTTGTTTCCCCCCTTTGGATACGGCCCTAAATTTAACCTTTAATTACTTTTTTAATATTATTTGATCCTAATATATTTAAAAGTATTCTTTATATAAAATGATAAAATATGTCATTCGTTACAATGATATTTATATAAATAGTTCGGAAACAATAAAAAACATTTATTCAACCTACCTATTTTTACTGGTAATGATATAACACTAAATGTTTTATATCTGTTTAGATATAAAAGTAAATAAATATTTTATAATTTAGAATGAGAAAAATTTTATATTTTTATAAATAAGGTATTTAAAATAATAAACGTCAATTTGCATATTAAATCTTATCGAATAATATATTTTAGTTATATTTATTTTAGACTATTAATTTATTATTAAAGTATTTTAATTTTTATAACTTGTTTATATCATAAGAAAATGAATCGAAATTAAGAGTATATAACATTTTCTAAATCATCTTGAATCGTTAGATAACATTCTTGATTAGTTGATAAATTATTCCTAATGATAAAAATTTATGCACATTTAAAATTAATAAATATTTTTTCATTATACAAGCTTAAATAAACTCTCAACTAGTGATCTGTATCCGGTCAAATTTTTCAAGCCAGGACATACCCCAATTTTTTAAAATTAGCCGTAACCGGCTTGGCCCGAATATATCTAAATATAGAAAAAATATATTAGGTTATTATTTTTTGCAAATTTTTTTAATATATAAATGATTTTGTTAATACATGTCTCCTAGCCTTTGCGACATGTATGTGCAAACATAAAAATTAGCTTGAATTAAGTTGGGGATTCCCTTTTTTTTATAAACTTAGTACATATATATCAGAGACCTGCAGGCCCGGCCCTACGCCCGGCCCGGGGAGGGCCGTATTTTAAATTTTTTAAATATACCCGGGCCGGGCCTAAAAAAATTTTTTAAACATATCCGGGCCGGGTCTTAATATTTTTTATAAAAATTTTTACATTATGAGTTAATGGTTTATAAGATTATATTATATTATAGTTATGATTAATATAATATTGGGTGATGGTTAACACTACCTAACAACCCACAGATCGATCTAATTATTAATTTCCTGCAAATTTATTCAAAGTATTAATATATTTTTTTATAATTCATATCTAAATTTTTACAACATATTTTACCAAAACAATCAAATAAAGGAATATCTTAAATAAGCCCCAATATTCAAGTATTATTAATATATTTTTTTATAATTCATATCTAAATTTTTAGAATATATTTTACCAAAACAATCATATAAAGGATTATCACTTCTTAAAGTTTATAATTGATTTGTACTTAATATAAAGCATTTTTTAATTGAAAAATTTGTTTTACACAAGTATCATTTTATTTCTCTTTTTCTCTGTCCCAAATTCAAGCAATTACGTATGTAGTCAGGGACAGATCGCAAAATGACGGAAAACTATATAAAAGATTATATTAAATTACAAGAGGCTCGAGGTGAAATACCATCGACCAGTCAAATTACGACTGTTGTTAAACAAATTGAATCGTTTTATGACAAATGGGGCGATGGTAATTCTGGTAATATGTCAATACCCGATGATGAATATTATAATTACATAAATAATAGATAAAACATTTAAGGTGGATAATTTGTTAGAGTGGTGGGCGGCTCCTCAAAGCGAATTTCCAATTTTAGCAAAATTGGCAATTCCTGCTTTAAGTGCAAGCTGTGAGCGGAATTTTTTCACTACTGGGAGAATTCTTGAAGAAAGAAGAAGTAATCTTCAACCTGAAAAGGTAGATATGCTTCTCTTTTTTCATGATAATTTGTGAATTTTTAATATCTTTCTTGAGTTTAGGGTTTCGTCAATCATGCTGGTTTTTTACTTTGCAAACTGTCAAATATTTATTGCATTTATTATATTTACCTTGAGTCATGAAAGTTTTTAATCCAACATTTTTCATTATTTTTCTTACAATATTATATAATACAATTATCTTCTTTTTGTTAAAAATTTATATTATAAAATAAATTATATTAATATTGTGCAATTAGATTATATTTTCAAAATACTATTTATTATACATGCATTTTTTTAAATAGCGATTTATTTTTATTTTATAAATTAAATAGTAAATTAAATACAATATATTATATTCTCAAAATATTTTCCATTTTTATAAATTAAATATTAGTTTTATTTTTTTTAAATGTAATATAAAATATAGTATATGACAAATATTATTACCATTTTTATGAATATTAGTTTTATTTTTATAAATGCAATATAAAATATAGTATATGCTCAAAATATCCATTTTTATAAATAACAGTTTTATAATTTTTATAAATTCAATATAATATTCTTAAAATATTAGCTTTTTACATGCATTTTTTAAATAATAAGCAATAATACTCGCTGAAAAATATGGTAAAATACCACATAGGTGAATTTTTGTATATACCAGGTCAAATATAATTTTAAAAAAATTCCGAGCCATGCCTGAAATTTTTAAATCCGGGCCGGGTCATAAAAAATTTTTTTAAAAAATATCCGGGCCGGGCCTAAAAAATTTAAAACCGGGCCGGGCCGTGCAAATGGTACCTGTGCAGGTCTCTGATATATATAAAGGGTTCGGATGAATGTATAGCATGATTGGAAAAAATTAATTAAAATGACTAGACCCCATTGATAAGCTAAAGAATTCTGAATAAATAATGTATATACCAAGAGCGCATATTATAATCAAAAAATTTTTTACTACCATGTTCTGAATCTCCTTAAAAAGCTAAACATGATCATTTATTTTTTTAAAATAATGTTATTTACCAAGGGCACAAATTTTAGTCAAAAAAAAAGAAAAAAGTGTATTTTCAAAAACCACTAAGTTATAAAAAATTTACAAACTTATTAATAACATTTTCTAAATCCTTTTAATGAGCTTAATATGATTATGCTTTCATTTTCTTAAAAATAATGTAAATTCATAGAGGGCATATAGTTTAGTCAAAAAAAAGTTATTTCAAAAGCCCACTAAGTTATAGAAAATTTTAAAGTATAATATTAGCAATTTTTGATTACTTTTAATAAGCTATATATGATTCTGCATTCATATTTTATAAATTAAGCTTCTTTGATAGGGGGTGCATAGTTTTCCCCCTTTTAGAGATTAAGTTAAGGTGATATTTTTACCAGGTTAGGTTTAGTTAATACTAGTTTAATAGTTCAGTTTGGAACCATGGTTGTCACATGACAGATAAACATCTGTTGTTATTATGAATATTGATTCTGCTGATGTATTTCTAATCAGTATTGGATACCAATTTTTTGATTCCTTAACAAAATATTCAAAACAAGTAATTTCAATTGGGAATGAAATACTTAAAACCCTATATTCCTTAATAAGAATAGCAAGTGAAAAAATATATATTTGAATTGTTCACTAATCAGGTTATTATAAAAACATGTATAACCAAAGTAATATATTTTTCCATTTATTTATGGTTCCTGTTCACTGCTTATTCATGACAATATTAATGTCTCTATATTTTAATAAGGATTAAAGATGGTGTGGGTAATTAAACTTAAATTCTTTTATATACCCTTTATTGCCTTCTACTATATAATTTTAAAACCCATCAACAAGAAGCCAAACAATGATCATAATAGGAAACATTTAATATGAATAGTACATTCATCTTTTTTTAATTATTTCCCCAATAAAAAAATTTTATTAATTTAAAAATTTTGCATGTATGATGATTTGTAGAAAATAGTCTCCATAAAATTTCATTGTAAGAATTTAATAAAAAACTACTTACTTCAATTATAAAGTTATATTAATTAAGTTGACTTATGAAAATAAAAATTAAGATTTAATTTTTACTCTCTGATACAAATTTGATATCTTTTCTTAGATAATAATTTTAAACCATATTATCTAATATTTATAACATAAAATGTTAATATAGGTTTGGTTTGCTTTTTTAATTTTTTTTAGGTTTGGTTCAATTCATTAAAAAAATAAATTATATAGGGTTCGAAGTCTGGTTCAACACTCTGCTTAGATATACATTTATATATATATTAATATTATTTGCTTTATTACTATTGTCATTGAATTCTTTTCAAAAATAACTTTAGCAAGTCAGTATTTTTAAAAAGAAGTATTTAATCTGGCCTGCCTAATAGATATTTTTAAAAAATAAAGGTAAATTCTTTTAGAGCCTTAAATTTTATTATTAATATTGTTTTCTAAATCTTGATATTAGATATAATTAAAATTTAACTACATCATATTCCAAACATTGAATAAAAGTAAATAGGGTATTTTTTTAACCAAAAAAAAAATACATGAGATAGTTTAAAAATAAAGATTATTTTAAAATTTTTATAATTATTATGAATAATGGATACTTTTAATAATAAACTTAAAGAAATTATTAATAAAAATAAGGAGGTTTTTTAATGTGAATTCCATATTCAGATGCAGCAGATGCCAGATCATCAGTTGTTAGTGTGTATTTACCTAATGGAGACAGAGATGAATGTTTATTATTTCCAGTCAATGTTAAATTAGACAAACGCATTTTATTATGTTGTAGTGCATCATTAGCCAAATCTGTTACAAACTTTTGAGCTGCTAAAGATATCAATCTGATTAATCTAATATCATCAATTTCAAATCCTGATCTAAAAAATGATTTATAAAAATAGAATTAGTATACAAAACTTTTGCAAAAAGTAGGTAGAAACTGCATCAGGAATTAATGGAGTATAATCATTAAGTTTGTATAAAAATTCTGATATAGGTTGCTGATTCATCACTTTATTGATATAACTTTTAAGTTCAGCTTCATCTGCTATTATTTCTAAATTATTATTTGGTTGGCTTTGACTCATTGTGAGGTTAATTTAAAAATGAAATAAGGTACTATAAAATAATTTAGATAAAGGATTTAAATTTAAAAATTTACTGGACTTAATCAATGCTACAGTAACAAAAAATTGACCTATAGTTAATAAAACTTGACGATCACCAATTCTTTTTTCTTCAGCAGGATCAATTTTAATTTTTTGCGGACTAATTTTAAACATCGTATAAGAAGTTGCAACTTTAAAAAAACTGTCAGAGTCACGTGTGACAGTTCAGAATACACCAGTGGCCCCTACAACGGGGGGGAGGGGGGTCCTAACCAACTGCTTCAGTAAATTTGAGTGGGGGTACTTTTTTTTTTTTAATTTTTTTTTAAATTTTCTTTATTATTTAATTCTTTTACTGTTTTGTAACATCCATCATGATCAAGTGATTTCTGGTTTATAAATGTAATAATAAGACCCCCCCCCCCTCATAACTTAATATTCAATTTAATATATATTGACGGAAACTTTGGTAGATGTTTAGTAAATTAGGTTGTTATCCGAGATTTCTTGTCACAAATTATTTTTCCAATTTAAAAATATGCCTAAAAATATTAACCAAAGAAAATACAAATGCCTAATTAAAAATTGCAAATCGCATAATATAAGAGATGATTAGAAATTGGATTACTTATAGTATTAAAATGAATAAAGTTTTATGCTCAACATGTCTCTTATTTGGAGGTCTACACACAAATTCAAAATGGACATGTGAAGGTCTAGATAAATGGCAGAATATTAATCGTGATTTCTGCATGAATCTTCACGAGGCACATATGATGGCCGATTATGGAAGACTTTCTCACAATAAAAATTCGATATTAAAATTTATAACACCCCAGAAAGAATGTGTAGATAATAACCGTTCTATCATATGAATTATAATAATATGTTTAGATTATTTAATATCTCGTGACCAAGCCTTCTGGGGAAACAGGCAACAAGAAGGCAATATGATGGCCCTTATTAAGCTTATTTCAGATTCTGAACCTGTACTAAAAATGTATATACAACAAAAGGAAGAAAGAAAAAGAGATTAAAAACGAAATTATATTCAAATCTATTATCATATAATAACATAAATATTCTCATTGAAACCATGAAAAATATGGTTATAAAAAAAATTCAAAATGAGATTACATTTAACAGGTGCTTTAATAGCTTTGATAGTAAATTATGTTGAAAATAGTGAGACGCCGAAGCCTGTTGAAAGACTGATTGACATATACTAGAAATACCACAGGTCTCGATATTAAGCATAATATAATATCCAAACTTGGCTTGATAAATTTACCCCTTGAATTTCTAGTTGGAGCAAAGTTATGATGGCGCCTCAAACATGAGTGGAAGAATCAATGGTGTGCAGGCCTTGATGAGAGCAGAGGCGCCAAAGGCAGCTTTTATTTGGTGTTATTGTCATCGATTAAATTTAATCATTGTTCAATTATGGCAATCAATTAAAGATCTTCGAAATTGATGGGAATACTAGATGAGATTTATATCTATTTTAATGGTGTAAAAAGATATGAGGTACTCAAAAAATGTCAGTGTAATGATCTAACGATTTCTACGCATGAAGAATATCGGTAATAGTATCGTATTTGATTTAAAATGTTTTTTTTATTTAGAAGCTGTCTATCGTCATATAAAGCTATTGTAATTTTTTTTTCTACTTTATGATGCCTTGAGGGCAGCTTTAACAAATTTAAAAGATTCTGAAGTCCTGCCACTTCCACTATGGCTAGTGTTATAGTCTTTAGAATAGAAAATTTTGATTTTATCTCATCACTTTGTGTTTTGGATAAAATATTGTTGATAACAAGTTTAGCTTGTACAAAATTGCAAACCATTTCGAAGGATATAGGGTTTGCAATAAATCAAATTCAATTGGCAAAAGATTGCTTGATTAATTTGATAAGTATAATATAAATTATTGTCTTAATTATTTTTTGATCTAATAAATAATAACACTGAATTTTTGGATGTTTTTTTCAAAGGCACAAAATTTTATGAAGGAGAAAAATCTACCTTGTGATTTTGAAAGTTCTAGACTTCAAACATTACAATCCAAAAGGAGAGGTATATATATAACTTTTATCATTAAATATAGAAATTTTTTTAGCTTAAAATAGGTGTGTTTGCAGTTTAACGAAAGATTTAATGATGATTCGATGAAATTTTACATCAAACATCATTTTTAACGCCAAAGGGAATGACAGAAAAATCAATTTTTAAAAAGATATGGAGGATATCTGTGAATTTTACAATTTAAATTCAAGTCAAATTTTCGAAGAAATGTTGAAGTTCAGAAATATTTATAAGATGGCCAAAATGGGGAATGTAATTATTACTCTTTAGGGGATACTTTTCAGGGGGTATTCTGCTTCATTCGCTCAGAAAGTGTAGGGCCCACTGGAATACACATTGAATAACTAATAATTAACATGTCTAACAGGTGTCTGTTATTGAGCCTCTTATTGTCAAAATTTTTAAAATATTTTGTCTCGCCAGAATTTTTTTTATCTAAAAAATAAATATCATTTTCTTTATTATTCAATATAAATAACAATATTGGAAGCAAAAAAAGATAAAAAACAATTATTGCATAAACGGGATGTTGTTTTGTCCCTATCATTTACAATCTATATTAAATTTTCCGATGTCCTCACTACGTCATCGTGACGTCATGTCACTCGATACGTATTTATTTTTATTTATTTTTATTTGTTGGTTTTATTTATTTATTTTATACAAACAGATGAATGGAATTTCAAGAATTGATGGTGTACACATACCTAACATGGATTGAGAGATTTGAAAAATCGTCTTTGAATTGATAAAAACAATATTCCTTCAACTTTGTAAATATGAATGAAACTTTTTATTTCACTTAATCCTTTCTTTATTTTTTAGATTACCTTATCAATTTTCATCTCATATTATCAATTACACATTAATGAAATCTCTACAAGACTCAACTTGTATATTTATTTTGAACATACTCACATTTTTTGTCAGTACTTACATTACAATTTTTTATACTCACATTTTTCTTTCATAACCAATAATTAAGAAGATAACCAAGTATATTCAAATATTTAAATATTCTTATCTTAACTTATTTATAATCTCCAATCCTTATAAATAACTCTTTCTTTATATTTTCTCCTCCCTTAATGAATTTATTTATCACTAAATTTTATTAACTCATTCTTTTCTTTCTATCTCTATTATCTATTAACCACTATTTCTCAAAACCTTATCAATTCCATTAATTTAATTTTTAAAATATAAAAATTTATACCTCTTTCCCCCCCCTTTTTTAATCTTATTTTTTAATTACCTTACAATTAATTAACCTTAATCTTAATAACATTACATTCATCATGCTATTTTTTAACTTTTAGAATATCATAATAGGCTTAATAAGTATCCCAAATTTTTTTTTTGATGATAGCCAAACCTTATCAATTCCTTTAATTTAATTTTTATTATTTTTATAATATAATAATTTATACCTTCCTTTTTCCCCCTTTTTTAATCTTATTTTTTAATTAACTTACAATTAATTAACCTTAATCTTATTAACATTACATTCATCATGTTATTTTTTAAATTTAAGAATATTATAATAGGCTTGATAAGTCCCCCAAAAAATTTTTTTTGATGATAGCCAAACCTTATCAATTCCTTTAATTTTTATTATTTTTATAATATAATAATTTATACTTTCTTTTTCCCCCCTTTTTTAATATTATTTTTTAATTACCTTACAATTAATTAACCTTAATTTTAATAACATTACATTCATCATGTTATTTTTTAACTTTTAGAATATCATAATAAGCTTGATAAGTCCCCCAAAAATTTTTTTTGATGATAGCCCTCTAACTACTAGAAATATGCATCTAATATTGACCCATCTACTGGTTTACATTATTTTAATGTTTGTTTAATTTCAACAATAGTTTATTTATATTTTTGCCTGATTTCTTTATTTGTCTAGGCTAACCCTAATCCCTCACATTGCTACAAAACATGATGACTCTATTATTAAAGATAGGCAAAGAATAATGACGATTAAACAAACGCCTTATCCGTTCTAAAGTTACTGGTAGACAAAATAATAAAGAACTACGCTTGAAATGATCTGGAGGTTTATTTTGTTTTTTTTTTATCTTATGTTTTATATTTATGTTTATTTTATTTTCACCCAGTTCTCCAAATTATACTATCACCACTAACACAATTCCTATGCCTGCGCCTATTTTTTAACAAATATAAACATTTAATTCTGTACTATCATTCACTTCACTAGGAGTTAATATAAATATTACTTTCGATTCTCTGAGAAACTTTCAAGGATATTTAGAGGAATGTTAAAACTTGAATGTACAGTACGGCCAATTTCATCAACTTTATTAATGGAAAAATATGCAGTAGTTCTGTCGTGACCTTTAAAACAATACTTACGACCGTTTTATGGTTGAGTTAACATTCTAGTTTATGATTCTATTTTAGAAGGTGTTATAGTAAGCAGGGAGTAAAGCAAGATATTACAAAAAGATTTAAAACTTTTATAAATAAATATATTTTAAAAATATTTAACTACAATTTAACTAAAAAACTATAATAAATTTATGCTTTATATATAAAATAAAACTATTAAATAATTAAATGAAACTATTAAATAAAGTTAATAAAAATGGTGTTAATTTAATGAATGTAAGATACAAAAATTTGTGCTAAATAATAACCATTATACAAAATAGTAATCCATGTTTAACAGAAGGGGATACCAGGCTGACATTGACAGAAATATCGTTTTGCCTGTTCAAACTTGAATGTACAGTACGGCCAATTTAATCAACTTTATTAATGGAAATATATGCAGTAGTTTCTGTCTTGGCCTTTATAACAATACTTACCCCCGTTTTAAGGTTGAGTTAACATTATCGTTCATGATTCTATTTTAGAGGGGGATACCAATGCTGACATTGACAGAAATATCGTTTTGCATTCTTCTTTTACCAGTATCCCAAGGCATAGGCATATCATCTTTATCAGGACGTAATGTTTTTTGTACACTGCTTTGTTCATCCGTCATCACTTTCATCTACAACCCTAAATGCATTGGCATACGCAGCGGGGAGGAAAGCCAAAAAATGAAGATGCCGGATATATTTTTCAAAATATATTTTTTGTTTAGAGTGTTGTGCAGATTTAGTTTAAACAATTCCATATTTTTTAATTCGTTTGTAAATAAAAATTTTAACTTGTAAAAATTGATAAGAATATATAAATATGTTATTTTAACAACTTTTTTACAAGTCAAATAATTTTATTTTCAAATAAATTAATAAATTTGGAAATGTTTTGAATTAAATTTACACAGTATATTTGTTAATATTTATTCCTAACTCATATTAAATATATATTTAATTACATTTATTATCACATTCATAAGTAAGTTTATCAATTAATTTCGATTTCAAGTTTTCCGGCGTAATATTATCTTATTATTTTCAAATTTTTAGTGGCGTGATATTTATCTACCATTTTTAAATTTCTAGTCAAATAATAATTATTCTGAAATTGTCCAGAGAGATAGAAATTGCAACCTTGTCATACGAGATAGAGTCTCTGCCATCAAGCAGTAACAGATTTTATGGAGTTAGAAGAGCCGATTATTTGCTATTACTGACATATCACAATGGCCTGAAAGAAATTTTTCCTTAGAAGCAAAAAAATTATTGGATTCAATGTTTATTCAAAATTTTTTTCTCATTAGAATGTACACCATGTTTTGTAGCAATGTGAGGGATTAGGGTTAGCCTAGACAAATAAAGAAATCAGGCAAAAATATAAATAAACTATTGTTGAAATAAAACAAACATTAAAATAATGTAAAACCGGTAGATGGGTCAATATTAGATGCATATTTCTAGTAGTTGGAGGGCTATCATCAAAAAATTTTTTTGGGGGACTTATAAAACCTATTATGATATTCTAAAAGTTAAAAAATAATATGATGAATATAATGTTATTAAGATAAAGATTAATTAATTGTAAGGTAATTAAAAAATAAGATTAAAAAAGGGGGAAAAAAGAAGGTATAAATTATTATATTATAAAAATTAAATTAAAGGAATTGATAAGGTTTTGAGAAATAGTGGTTAATAGATAATAGATAGAAAGAAAAGAATGAGGTAATAAAATTTAGTGATAAATAAATTCTTTAAGGGAGGGGAAAAAAAATAAAGAAAGAGTTATTTATAAGGATTGGAGATTATAAATAGGTAAGGATAGGAATATTTAAATATTTGAATATATTTGGTTATCTTCTTAATTATTGGTTATGAATGAGTATAAAAAGATTTCATTAATGGTAATTGATAATATGAGATGAAAATTGATAAGGTAATCTAAAAAATAAAGAAAGGATTAAGTAAAATAAAAAGTTTCATTCATATTTACAAATTTGAAGGAATATTGTTTTTATCAATTTAAAGACGATTTTTCAAATCTCTCAATCCCTGGTAGGTATGTGTACAGTGTACACCATCAATTCCATTCATCTGTATGAATAAAATAAAATCAAATCAACAAATAAAAAAAATAAAAGTACCGATGACATGACGTTACGATGACGTAGTGAGGACATCGGAAAATTATAATATAGATATCTTAAATTATTTAATTAGATATTTTGAACCAAATTGTTACTTATTATTTATTCGCTTCATTTTTTAAATTCAAATGATAAAACTTTTTATAAAAATCACGAAAGACGATATCGTGTTAATAATTTCATTTTTTTTAATATTTAATCTCGGTACCCAGCAAGTTTATTCGAAAAAATGGTCGGTTTATTTAATAAGCCATTATATTTATAGAGAAACGTAGGAGTGTAGGTTTTTTACAAACTCGGGAGCCAGAGCTAGCCTTTTAGTATTAATATTATTACATATATTAAAAAATGATCTCAATTAGTGCGGTGTTGATCCATAAATATTCTGCGATCCCATATTAATAGGCCATGACAGAAAATAGTATTTAAGGCTTCGATTTACACGATTTTTAAAATGGGTAAATAAGATTATAGCCAAAATATTAACACATATCTATCTGTTTCAAAATTTCATCAATCGATGTTCAAACCTATCTTAATTCGTGGACAAAATATATAAGCTTAGGTAATTTTTTGGATAAAACCTTATGTTATTGCGTAAACATTCTATTTTTTTTTTAGCTATTCTATCATTCAAAATAATTCGATTTTTTTTTAAACATTTAAATAATTTTAGATATCTCTTATAAAAGAGGTTAATGGAAGCATATATTATTATGTAAAAATAGATGAATAATACTCTCGAACGTTAGTTCTTACAATTTAAAAAAATCACATCATGGTAAAAACATTATGTAAAATATATAGATAAAAATAAAATGTTTTATTCTGTACTTTATCTTATAATCAACAAAGTAGTTAAGATGATCTCCCTTTAAAAAAGAGTAATTAATTATATTTATATCTTAAATTATTATTATTAACATTAATAATATTAAAATATGAATTGTATTATATTAGCCAATGACATATAATAATACCTAGACTGACGATGTATTCATAATAATGCATCTGAAAGCGTCGTTGAATGCAAATCTATAGACCCGCCATTTTGATAACCCTTATAGTAATTATTTTCATATTAAAAACTACTATTAAATTGATAACTTGATTTCTTATTATCTCGATGATCAGGCAATTCTTTAATAAAGTTTGCGTCAGGCATAGGAATAAATTGGCCTCTCGTTAAAATTTTTTAATAATGATATAGGTAACTAAAATGGCGTCCCCAGCTGTTTTTAATTGATGTACACTTTAATGAATGCATCTTCCTAGATATTATTATATGTCATATTAGCATATAATAAAATAGTATATCATTTGCATTCATGCATATTCATACATCTAATTTCAAAATCATACAAACATTAATTTTTTTATGGATTTACACGTTTTAAACCCCTAGTTTGTTTATTGTCAGCTCTAATTGATGTTTTTTGAGTATCTTTTTAATGTATAAACTTAATATAAGATTGATATATTAAATTAATTATTAAAATTTGATGATTTTTAAATATCCTTTTAATGTATAAAATAAATATAAAATTTAATAGGGCGGAATTATGTTTTACTGTGAAGCTTAGATTTAAGGCCATTGGTTCTATAGACAATAAAGGAATAAATGATTTTTCACAGGTTAAAATTTATATAAAATTGTTAGATATATAGATTTTAAGTTTTTGTTTATTACAAATATATTTATTTCAAACGGCAATAACATAAAGATTTTGTTTCTTAACTTAAAAAATCAGTTTATATCATCGTTTTTATCGTTACAATTTACATTTTTTAAAATTTTAAACAAAGAACATTTTATTTTCGTTTTGTGTAACTTGATTATTATTTTATTATTTATTTTATCAATTAATAAAATGGGTATATAATCATCATTTTTCTAACAGAGATGGTAATTTATTTAAGGATACAAAGATATTTATGACGAAACATTCGATTTTTTATTTTTATATTTTCTATGATGTATTTTATTGCTGAATGACTTTGTTATAGTGATATAGTTTTTACGTATTTATGATATGCAGAAAATATTACAGGAATTAATCCCGGATTTATTTTTAGCAAAAATGATTATTAAAATAATAGAAATAAATTGAAATATAATAATTGAGTTCTCGTCAGAATTGCCTGATAAGAACCATTAGTCGGTGGATGAAGTTTATTCACCAATAAAGGCGTCTGTTTTAAATCTGATCGATTCTGAATAAATATTCTGTTCTATTACTTTTGATTTATTGAAAGACATTTAAAGCGTCGAAATCAGTGGCGTAGCTAGGAATTTTCCTTAGAGGGGGTCCATACATATAAAAGCCTGGGGGGATTCGCTTCCCAAACCTCCTTATACGGGCCTTTGTCCCTTTTGCGCCGGCCTTCGGCCGAGTTTATCTTACAAATCATAACCATATCTTCGGTAATATATAATAAATATATTTTTTAAATGCATCAATAATATGTTATTATAATTTAGTGGATTATTCTCAATGACTTTATGATAATACTATCCAGAATAATTTCAATAGTAATATAATACCTTCCACAAACATCAAAACCAGAAAAATATAAATATTAATGGTATTTATTTGATATAAAGTCACTTTTAAGTCATTTGAACGTATAATCTAAAAAAATATTTTTGCTCTGGGAGGGGTCCAAACCTGAAAACCACCCCCGTAGCTACGCCACTGGTCGAAATATATCACGTTTAACGTCATTTAAATAAAAATTTTGATTCAAAATATTTTATCCTGGCAATTAGAAACGTAATGCAAAGGCAACTGGAACATTAGTATCTAAGATATATAGTATAGAAAAGGAATTCAATTTAAAAAAAACAATACAGATTGTAACTAATGCTGGGGCTAATGCCAAAAGAAGCATCAGATTAGGGGATGTATGCTTAGGAGGGCATGGACTTCATAATTTAGTTACAGTTGATGGCATATAAAAAGTTGCCAGAATTAGCGTCTACATGACAAGATTTTCGATGCAAATCTCAAAAATCTATGCCTACCCTCCCCCCCACACCCCTATTATTAATTACACCTTTTTTATTATACGGGTGCTCCTCTCATAAATTTAAAGAGAATAACTTAAATTATTTTAGCTCTACTACCAACTATCAAAATATTGTGAATATAAAAGAGTTATTTTTTAGATCATGAATTCAATTAAAAACCCCCCTCATTCACTATTATTATGAATGTATTATTATAGCATATTGTTTGGCATGAATATGAGTTTGCTGAGAATGTCTAACCCTTTTAAATTACATTTTAAAGGATAGCAGAAAGTTTTATTCGGAAAATAATGTCTATGATTGTTTGCAATATATATTTGGTGGTATTAATTTTTAAGCAATATATTTTTCCCTATTTAATCAAAAAATTTAATCCCCCCCCCAAAAAAAAATGTGTCCTACCCCCCTCGATAAAGATTGATGCAAACTGCCACCCCCCACCCCCCTACCATTTACTTTCATGTAGACGCTGGCCAGAATATATTTTCTTATTAAAATTAGAGAAATTATTTCAGCCTCAGATATTGAGTAGCTGATTTGGAATGTGAAATTAGATGAGTATCGTAAATACCTGCAATCAATTTATGAGAGATGGCATATTGTGGATATTGATGATTCTGATCCATATCTTGATAAACATTTTGATACTTCTGATGAAACTATCAATACGAATTGCATTTCACCAACAAATCTAATTAATAGCATTAAGAATTGCCACACCAGCCGGCACCATATTAATTATGCTAGAAAATATCTATAGTGTTAACAAATGGATATAATTGACGATGAAATAGAAACATATACAAATCAATAAATCTGATTGCTCAGATATCATTTGCCTAAAAAAAATATGCAAAAAACATAGGTTTCCAATTACAACTTAAAGTAATTTATTTTAAAAATATTTAACATTAGATATTAGCGACACTACTTGATCCGAGATTTTAAAATTATATTGTTTCAGAATATTTAAGTTCGAATTCTACATCATAATTTTTAATTAGACATTTGAAACTTTTAGAGCATGATAGAAATGCACAGAATGAGATTCAAATGAAGATAATGGGCAACCATCTATATATCGCTAAAATAGCTCGTAAACATTCCCTTCCAAGCAACGATTATAATAACATTAACATTGAGCAAGAATGCCAAATTTTGCTCAACTAACATACTATACCTAATTAGTAGTGTTGTTAAAGTTATTTTTTGAAAATAACTAGTTACAGTTACTAGTTATTGGCAAAAATATAACTAGTTACAGTTAGTTACATTTGTACAGTTATTTTTCAAAAATAACTAGTTACATTATACGTTACTTTGTATATCATTCATATAACGCATTTATTTACTGAACGAATTTATTTAATATAAAAAAATTATGATATACAAATTATAATCATTTGTTTAAAAAAAATATACAACTTATTTATATAAAAAAAAAGTAAACCGAAAAAAATATCGGATAATATAATATTTATATTTACATAGAATAAAGAGCACTTGATGTAATAACAACATTATATTTAATAAAGAGTATTTTTAAATTTACCACGTATCTTGAGAAAAATACTATTTATTCATGATAATTATAATTTTACTAAATCTGATTTTTAATATATTATATTACTTACTTTATATTTTACTTGCATTCCAAATTTATTTTAATTTGTTCTAATAAAATCAATAGAATATTATTGATACTAGTAGATAGCCCGTCAAAAATGACGGAGAATGAGAATTTTATTCGTTTTTTTAAGAAAGATGTTACCTTTTATTTAAAAATCATATCCAATTTATATAATTTTTAAACCCCCCCCTCCCCATTTAGGTCAAGTCCAAGCAATGTCATTGAGTCCAACCCATTAGGACTAAGAGTGGAAACTATTATTTGAGTCAAAATATATTTAAATGAGCTTGTACCCAATACCAAAATTCTTTGTAAATATATTACTGGTTACATAAGACTAACATTTAACATTAAAAAATTTCAAGCCAGGTCCAAGCTCATAATATTTGGAAAAAATTTCCACGCGTTCAAGACCTTATAATTTATAAAAAAATTTCTCAAGCCTAGCTCAACCCATAATAATTTTGAAAATTTTTTCCTAGCCCGGCCCATAATAATTTGTATAAGATATTCCCAAGTCTAGGTGCAAGCAAATATTAATCTTGAGGAATATTTTTCAAGCCCAGTCCATCACATATTAAGTTTCAAAACTATTTCCCAAACCCGGAGATAGTTAAATTTCTAAATAATTTATCAACACATGAAGGGGAAATCTCGGATTTACCAATTAGTGAGTTAACTCCTTTTATCAAAAAATTTGATAAGGGCTATCTATATCTTTTGTTAAGTACAAAAAAATGCTATCTATTTAAATTACAAAAATGCCATTCAATACTAATGAAACTTATATGCAATTTATTTATATATTTTTTAAGAAATTTGTTTTTCTTGCCATATAAATTTAGGTATTTTTTTTAAAAAATGATGAGGATTAATTAATACTCTGTGTGTCTGGTAAAAATAAGAGCAAATCCTTTATGACATTTTAATTTTTGATGGAAAAAGCGACAAAATAAATCTGGGCAGTCGTCTGCAGAAGAAAAAATTAATGTATAATATCATCCCATTTAGGGTTGTAGGTGAAAGTAATGAATAATGACGGATTACCAAAGCAGTGTACAACACCCATTGCATCCTGATAAAGCTGAGGAGAAGAACGCGAAATGATATTTCTGCCAAAGTGTCAATTTTGGTATACCCCTCTAAAATAGAATCATGAACGACATTGTCAACTCAACCATAAAACGGTCGTAAGTATTGTTATAAAGGCCATGACAAAACTATCGCATATTTTCCCATTAATAATGTTAATGAAATTGGCTGCACTACACATTCACGTTTGAACATCTCTCTAAATATTCATGAAAGTTCCTCAGGGAATCGGATAAAGTATTATTTATAATAACTCCTAATGAGGTGAATGATAGTGGAATTAAATGCTTATATTTGTTAAAAATTAGGCAGAGGTGGCATAGGGATTGTGGTAGTGGTGATAGAAATATCATTTGGAGGCAACTGGGTGTATAAAATAAACATATAGATATAAAACATTAGATAAAAAACAAAATAAACCTCCAGAGGAGTTCACAGTGCCTTATCATCTTGGCCACCAGTAACTCTAGAACGGGTAAGGCGTTTGTTGAATCGCCATTTTTTCCTTTGCTTATCTTTAATAATAGATTCATCATGTTTGGTAGCAATGTGAGGGATTAGGGTTAGCCTAGACAAATAAAGAAATCAGGCAAAAATATAAATATACTATTGTTGAAATTAAACAAACATTAAAATAATGTAAAACCGGTAGAAGGGTCAATATTAGATGCATATTTCTAATAAGTTGGAGGGCTATCATCAAATAAAATTTTTGGGGGACTTATCAAGTCTATTATGATATTATAAAAGTTAAAAAATAACATGATAAATGTAATGTTATTAAGATAAAGGTTAATTAATTGTAAGGTAATTAAAAAATTAGATTAAAAAAGGGGGGAAAAAGAAGGTATAAATTATTATATTATATTATATAAATTAAAGGTGATAAGGTTTTGAGATATAGTGGTTAATAGATAATAGAGATAGAAAGAAAAGAATGAGATAATAAAATTTAGTGATAAATAAAAATGTTTATTTTTGTTAAAAAATAGGTGGAGGTGGCATAGGGATTGTGATAGTGGTGATAGAAATATCATTTGGAGAACTGGGTGAAAATAAAATAAACATAGATATAAAACATAAGATAAAAAAAAACCTCCAGATGAGTTCATTTCAAGCGTAGTTCTTTATTATTTTGTCTACCAGTAACTCTAGAACGGGTAAGGCGTTTGTTTATTCGTCATTATTTTCTTTGCTTATCTTTAATAATAGAATCATCATGTTTTGTAGCAATGTGAGGGAATAAGGTTGGGTTAGCCTAGACAAATAAAAAAATCAGGCAAAAATATAAATAAACATTATTATTGAAATAAAATGAAGATTTTTTGGAATAGATATAAAATAATATATAATACTATTTATAATAAAAATAATATACTATGTATATTTTTTGTGCGTTATACAAAATAATCAGCAGGGAATAATAGAGCAATGGTGGATCCGACAAAATGGTAAGCTTTTAAAAAAGTAGGATCCTTAAAAATTGTTATATTCATTTAGTTAAATTTTAAAAATGTACTTTGATATAATTTTCAATTAGACAAAATATTCATCAGAGATAAAAGGGCATATTGAGCGGCTTGACAAATATCTAAAATAGAAACAAAGAATAATATAAAGAATATAAATGCAATGAACATGATCTAAAATAAAAACAAAAGAATAAATAAAAAATAGAGTCAATATTAGGTTAACCTCTCTAGAAATAGTGGGAATACAATCATTAACTGAGGTTAGGACATGGCTTGTTATCTAAAATAGAAACAAAAGAATAAATAAAAAAAATAAATGCATTGAACTTGATGAGGAGTTATACCACCTGTACAATCATTAAATATGGGTAAGACAGGGCTTGTTATCTAAAATAAAAACAAAGAATAATATAAAGAATATAAATGCAATGAACATGATCTAAAATAAAAACAAAAGAATAAATAAAAAATAGAGTCAATATTAGGTTAACCTCTCTAGAAATAGTGGGAATACAATCATTAACTGAGGTTAGGACATGGCTTGTTATCTAAAATAGAAACAAAAGAATAAATAAAAAAAATAGATGCATTGAACTTGATGAGGAGTCAATATACCACCTGTACAATCATTAAATATAGGTAAGACATGGCTTGTTATCTAAAATAGAAACAAAAGAATAAATAAAATAAATAAATGCATTGAACTTGATGAGGAGTCAATATACCACCTGTACAATCATTAAATATGGGTAAGACAGGGCTTGTTATCTAAAATAAAAACAAAGAATAATATAAAGAATATAAATGCAATGAACATGATCTAAAATAAAAACAAAAGAATAAATAAAAAATAGAGTCAATATTAGGTTAACCTCTCTAGAAATAGTGGGAATATCATCCATCATAAGCTAAAAATAGATATGATCATAAAAAATGAACAAATAAATTACTTCTTCTGATTTCAGGAATTCAAATAAAATGATAATCTCTAAAAATTGGTATCTGGCACTCCGATTTCAGTCAAGGAAAATGATAGTCTCATAAAAAATCAACAAATAAATTACTTCTTCTGATTTCAGAATTTGGTATGAACATCTGTTTAAAAAAAATAATAAACAAATAAATAAATACGTACCGATGACATGACGTAACGATGACATGACGTAGCGATGACATGACGTCAGCGATGACGTAGTGAGGACATCGGAAAATTATAATATAGATGTGTTGATTATGTGACTCTGATCTGAATAAAAATTCAATTCCTTAATCAATTTCTGTAAATGAGAAAATTCATAAATTTAAATAAGAGTAAGACAGAAAATAATTTAAGAAATACTCCAAATAAATTATAAAAAAAAATGTAATATAATAAATTAAATTCATTAAAAAATTTTTGAAATAAATAACACGCCGCGCCGCCGCTAATCTATTATGCGGCTTCAAAGTCAGTTACGCCCTGAAGATAAAAAAATCGCCGCCGTCAATCGTTTCGGTGCACAGGTCTACATCTACATTTTGAATGTATGAATCCAATTTATGTTATTTACTTATAGTATTACTAGTGATACATCCAAATGTATACTTATACATTGTGATACAATTATGAAAGGACATCATGATGCTATCAAAAACTCTTTGAAATTAACAAAATTCAAAAGAAAAAAAAATTTGGCATCAAAAAACAGACACTTGAAGAAACATTTAAAAAACATGAACAGGTACAATATCTTAGAAGGATCATAAAATATTTTCTTAAAGATCCTAGCCTTAATAAAAAAAATATCTTGGACTATTTTCAAAGAATATTCTATACCCTGAATAATATAAATTGTCAGATGTATTAATGGCAATATCAGTTACTCAAGTTAGGAAGAATGTTTTTCAAAAATAAAATTTATACTATATCTGTATAGAAAATTTGTCTGATATGGAAGTTAATAAATCATAAGATATTATTTAAAATGTGTTAGATATATATATATCTGTATTTAAAACTTTTCAAAAAAAATGGTGTTTCTCTTAATTTAATTCTAATGTGATTGTATATAAGAGTTCAACTCAGTTTCAAATGGGCAAACTGAATCGATATTATATTTTACGAACCGTAATTCGTTTTGGGTTATGTTCTTTGTGAAAAATAACTTGGAATGTAACAACAAAAATACGTGGTTACTATTAAAAATATGAATAAATGATACGAAATATTATATGTGTATTAGTGTTCTAGAAGGTATGACTTGTTAAAAACTTTTGCACAAGATGTGTATTTAATTTTTTGCCTGGCATGACCCATTATAATTTTTTTTTTAAATTTGCTGGCCCAACCTGTTAAAATTTTACAAAAGATTTGCTCACTCTAGTTAATGTTTTTGTATAAATTTTCCTATTACATATTTTTAATATCTATATTCAATTTCTTCCCAATGTCAATGAAGGCTATTTTCTTTATAACTATTTCTTTCTATAAAAACTGTTTTATAACCAGTAGTTGATATTTGTATTGGTTATTTATAATTGGATCAGATCACAAATATCTTATTTAATTTTAGTGAATTAACTATATTATTTATAGATTTAGTATTTTATTTTGACAACTCTTTAAATATAAGGAAACAAACATATTTTAATTCATTATCATATAGTATTAATCAAAATATTGGCTTAAAATTTAAAAAAATATATAAATTTTGATGCTTATATAAAAAATTTATGAAAGATTTGAAAGACATTGCCTGATTTTTTTAAATATAAATTATCTGATCCAGCTCAGAAACTCTTTAAATATTAATTGCCCACAGTCTATTATATTTGTTGCCCTTTCCCACCTATTATAATATTGAAAAAAATTTACCCAGCCTGCCTTAACCTAAGAGTGGAGATGTAGATCTTTAAGGTGTATTGCCTGATTAATATTATTTCAATCAATCCATGCAATTTTAATATCAAAGGCAACTCAAATTTATGATCAATAAATAAAAGGAATAAATTTTTTGGCAAAATTAGATTTTAAAATTTAAAAAAGCCCTTAGCAGATTGTTTAGCTATTTTTTTATATCTAAAAAAATAAGATTTTGCTATATATGTATTCCAGCTGTATAAAATACCAACCCTATTTCAAATAATTTTATAAGATATTTCACAAATTTATAATAACTGCTTATTAAATAAAATGTATCATTTATTATATCAGGCCCTCCTGGAGGAAGTTTGTTTAGTGTAAGGAATATATGTGATTATCCTTTCCAACCACCTATTATAAATCTGAGCAAAATGGATATAATCAGTGCCATTAAAAGACTAAAAATGTATAAAGCTACCAGAATCGATGAGATATTTGCAGAACTTTGGAAGATAGATGCAGATCTAAGTGCTAATCTACTGCTTCCCCTTTTTAATGAGATATGGAATACAGGCAACTTTAAGAGGAATAGTTGACATCTATAATACTAAACTTCCCCAAAAATAAGAACCCAATTAGCCTAAGGAATTCAAAGGTATTTAACTGATCCTGGTTACCCTGAAAATGTTTAAGTATATAACACTAGTCAGGATCACAATAATCGATAGGAACCTCTCAAACACTATCACATCGTACAGGAATGGTAGAAACAGGACGGAACTAACCATGATGCTTAAGGTTATTCTAAAGCTAGAATGAACTCAACATCAGAAAAATTAATTAAAATTATTAGAGAAAATGATAATGGAAAATAAATCAGAGGAAGACTGTGTCATAAAGCAAAGTATTAGTTATAACCCTGGTTTAAACAATTCTGATTTCATGCAAAATGACCCTAACATTAAGCAATCATTTATACTCAAAATCTTTTTAATAAAGGGTTTGATATTTGAATGTAAAATGCAGTGCTTTACCAAAACATGTTAATTTATTTTTAATATACTTTATATATAAATTATAAAATTAACAAATATATAAAATAGAGGATATAATTAGACTCTTGAAGGAGGAGCAACTAAGACAATACTATCACCTCTAATAAATAGTAATGGAATGTTTCGTTTTACAGTCTTTGTAATATTAAAAATTAGCAATATTTAAAATTTAAATAAACTTTATAATTTTCTTCATAGGTTTCTTCATCAATTTCAATAGAGGTAACAATTTCTTCAACTTCACTCAAAATCATATTTAAATGATTATCATATGCCTATAAATTCAAATAAATGAAATTAACTTTAATGTATATTTACGTGGAGTCGCCCCCTTATTTCGCGGTCATGCCTCATTTTAACATATATTTTTTCATCCAAACTCAATTTAATCAAATCAAAGGGTTCTTCTATAGCATTAGCGGGAAAAGTCTGTATAAATAATTTTTATAACATATCATCATTTTATCACCTCTTCTTCCTCGGCCATTAAAATTTATCAATAAAAATTTTAGCGTGATTAACAGGTGCCTTGTCAGACATAAGGTAATTTTTATAGTACAACATTTAATCATCAAAAAAAATTTCTTACATTTTGACAGAATATGGATGACATCCTATCTTTTGAAATTCTAAACTATTATTAAAAGCAGGTAAACATGTGATTAATATAAAATATGACAAAAGATTAAAAAATCATGGTTTACAATTTTCATTATATATTAAACCAAGTTTATTTAGTTGTCTTTATTTCATAAGATATATGACCCTCTGGATTATGAAATGTTTTTAAATAAACATAAAAAATCTATAGATCATGATGTTTTATGTAAAATATTCAAAATTCCGATTGATAATATAACTATTATAAAAATTCCAAGAAGCAATATGCAATTTAAGTAGAATAAAACATATCAAAGTTTATAACTAGTACTTTTTAGATTAAATTATTCTCGAATTAAAAATTCCAATAATTATATGAAAGATTTGGTTCAAATTTATAAGAAGTAAAATTATAATATATAAAAAATTAATGTGCATCTTTCATAGATATGAAAGATTCAATGCAACATATATAATAAAAATGCAACAATTATATATAATTGAAATAATTGATCAACTTCCTGTTCAAATTTATGAGATAGATATAAAGCTTAGTGAAGTTAATGAAGTAAACATACACTTATTTTATAATCTTTTGGATTAAAATTTATTAAAGATTGTAAATTCTGGTACCAATTTTAACAAGCATATTAATGAAGAAGATATTAGATCTACCTCAGGAGATCCTCTATTGTTAGATATATTAGAACAACATCATAATTTGACTCTACAAGATAGTCAAGATAAAATTAATGAGTCATTTAGAAGCCAAGATAGACATAAAACATTATTTGATTTATATTATCATCATATGCCTGTAATCTATCAATATTACTAAATTTATTTATAGATTATTTAGGGTAACACACGTGGATATTCTAAATTTCTATACACACCCTTTGAACATTTTGGATACCAACTTATTTTTAGATGCAATAATGTTAGTTTCAATCTGGAGATTGAACCAATCTATTGCTCAGCTGCACTATATGACCTGAATTGTAAAAAGAAAGTAAGCCATATTAAAATATGGTGTTTTTAATAAATCATATTTATAAATGTCAGACCTACAGAGGTACCATTTGCACAGTCCAGCCCAGATTTTTTTTAAGTAAATTTTTTTGACCCAGCCTGGCCTGGATTTTTTTTTAAAAATTTATTACGGCCCACTCCAGGTTTTATATTTTAAGACTAAGCCCGGATTTTTTTAAAAAAAATTTTCATGCTTGGCCTGGGTTTTTTTTTAAAAAAAATTTCTGGCCCGGCCTGGATATATTAAAAAAAAATTAAAATACAGCCCAGCTAGCCCAAAACCTGGGTCAAAGGGTGGGCCAGCAGGTCTCTGATAAATGTTGAATATTAAAAAATGGATATGGCCTGGCCTGGATATATTATAAAAAAATTAAAATACAGCCCAGCTGGCCCATATCCCGGGCCAAAGGTTGGGCCAGCAGGTCTCTGATAAATGTTGAATATTAAAAAATGGATATCATTTAATTGAACAGTGCAAAACAATCTAAACTCATTAAATAATTAGTTACACAGTTTTATAATAATTCATTTCACAATTTTTAAATCAATTTGTTCAGTTTTTAATGAATGTTTTCACTCAAATAAAATTATCATTTCTTCTCATAAAATATAAGCACCACCCCTATCTTTGTTGCATAGCCCTAAGCTAACTGCTAACACAATCAACAAACTTATATCTGGCCTTAGCCTGAACCCTGTTGTTCAGTAAAAATTAACATAGACTTATTGACTACTTCATGTTACTCAGCAGCCTAAAAGTGTTTTATAAAATTAGTATATCTCAGCATCTAATATAAACAATAATTCTTATATTTGTTGCATAGTCCTAAACTAATTGCCATCAAGGTTACGGTTGCCAGGTCAAAAATTTTAAATTGCGGGAGAAATTAGTTATTTTGTGGATGAAATACTAATATTGTGGTAGAAATCAAATTTGTGAATTGGCTTAGTTTGCCCCTTATTAATTCTTACAAAAAATATTAACAAAGTCGGTAACATTTTATAATTTCAAAATAAGTAATATTTTTTAAAATAACATCTTTATTTATTAAAATATATTTATTTTATGCAAATGTATAAATAAGGTTTTGTAAAATAAAGAAAAAAATATGGAAAATTAAATAGTTTATAGTTATAATATTAATTTATTTTATTGATATAAAAACATTTTATTTCATCATTAAAATTAAGATTTAAATAATGGAACTGAACGTTACTGTCGTTATTGAGATATTTATAAAATTGCTGGCATACCATATTATAATTTTATTTAACCATTAGCTCGGCCTCTTATGTAGAGCAATCCGATGTTTCTTTCCTTTCTCCATGCAGTTCTCATCAAGCTAAAAATGCGCTCCAATGAGCCATTAGAATGAGGTAAGGAGAAAACATACTCGCATATTTTTTTCAAGCATAGGAATTTATCGTTATTAAGAAAAAACTTTGCTTTTGGACCATCTATCTTTGAGTATTCTAGAGAATCATAAAAAATAGAGAGCATTACAATCTCCTCAAAATAAACATCAATGTATATCGTTAATTTTAATATAATTATTTAATTACAAAAACCATCAATAGATGGTTTCTGTTCCAAGGTAATATATCTATACATTTGTAAATCAAGTTATTGAATCAAATTTTGATTGCAAATATTCTAAAATTGTCTTAATAAAAATATTTGCTTTATTTTAAAATACATTAATTTGAGTAATATTTGAACATTTTAGTATGATATTATTAACAATAGCGCCATCAAATTTATTGTCAATTTTTAACTGTAAAGTGAACACAGCTGCAACATAATTTTGTGAATTTCTATTAAAAAATATTTTTTTGATTGAAACTGCATATTAACAGCTTGTAGTAGATTTCATACATGTGAAACCATTCCTAAATATGCCTCTTGTGTTTCATTCGCGAAAAAATTTTTCAAAATATTAGGAAAGTTTTTATAATCTTTATTTAAGAAATATTTTTTTAAGGGTTCGTAAAATTTTAAAATTCTATCGATGGCGGGATTAATGATAACCACCTGATAGGGGCATATCGCAACAACTCACACCATTCCAAGTCAGACCACTCCACGAACTCTTTTAATTCATTAATCTTTTAGTTGATGAACTAAATTCGTTAAAGCATTACAATTATTTCGACATAGATAATACATACAATGCCTTCTTGCAAGATTTATGTAGTATGGCATATACAGCAAATTGGGATTAAGTCAACATTGTGCTGTCTCAATTCTGTAAATACATTCTGGTTTTTACCAAAATTCACTGATTCAGCGCAGAAAGCTGACATGCAACTCATTTATAATTCCAAATCTGCTATATTTACCATTATATGGTTAGCTATGTCTTTCGATTTTTCACTAGCTGAGGAAAATTTTTTTAATAGGTTTATTGAAACGCCCTTATTTTTGTTGAAATAGCAAAGGATCAAGGGAAATGTTTTTATATTTCTATTAGATGCTGTTAGAATTGCATATGGATGTCCATCTTTCAAATCGTCAAGAATTGACCTCCTGGATTCAAGTTCTAAAACATTGATGATAGATTTTGCTCATTTTTGTTCTACCACCAATAAAGTTTTCACTTATCTTGGAGTCGTTTTGTATTTAAACGTGATACATGATAACGCCTAACCCTACACTGTTATCACAAACACACATGAAATTGAGAAAATATGAATGAATGATGTGATTTATTATTGGATAAAAAATAAAACATATGATTAAGGTAAGGATAGAAAGAAATTTACAAATCAGACATGTTTTTTGAATAAATATTTAAATATATTTTAAAAATATGAAAATAATCAATTAATGTTTCTCAGGGACTATAGTGAACCGTAACGAACCGTTAAACCATTATAAACCATTATAAATATCTGAACCGTAACCGAACCGATATAAGTATTTTTTGAAGGATTAATAAGAACCTTTATAAAAAAAAGATTGAACCGGTTTAGTTTTTATATTTTAGAAATGGAAATAATTTAATATCCAGAATTATATACACTTGCTCTTATAGAACTGGCGGTTCCTGCTACAAAGGTTTCTGTAGAAAGGGCCTTTTCGGGGCTAAAATTTGTGTTATCCTCTCATCGAACAAAGATGAATCCATTTATATCAGAAAATTTATTACTTATGCGTTTAAATAATATATTTAAAGATGAGTTATTTTGAATCTTATATATTTTATATATTAATATAATTCATACATGCTTATAATAAAAATAAATTAGACGATGGTGTTGCTTCAATAAAAAATAACTGTAATAAACCATTATAAACCTTTACAATTAGCTGAACGAACCGAACCTTTATAAATTTTTTCTTAAGACCGTAACCAAAACGTAACCATTATAATTTTTACATACTGAACCGTAACCTCCCTGGTTTCTCAAAAATTATTTACAAAATGCTAAAATGCTGGAAAAAAAAATTGTGCGGGAGAAATTTAAAAATTGCGGGAGTCTCCCGCTAATGGGGGAGATCTGGCAACCCTGATTAAGGTCCACAATATTTGTATCAATAACCTGAACCACATAGTTCTCTAAAAACTAACAGAAACCTATTGCCTGCTTTGCGCTGCTCAGTAGCCCTATGCATCGGTTATATTTTACCGTATGTAGTAGGTTTGGCGCCTAATAAAATAGTAAACCTGCATATTTAATTAAAAAATTGTGAAAATAATTATAAAAGTGTGACGATTTAAAACTGCATATAATTAGTTCCCTTAAAAAAATGTAAGTGAAAATAATAAGGTCTGCAATATCCAAAAAATTAATAGGTTTTTAAAAATACTTTTTGGATTATTGGGCCTTATATTAATTATTTAGGGCTCTGTCGATATTAAAGATCGGATCGGCATCGATATTTAGCGTTTTTAAATATAGGATCGGGTCGATATTATTGAAAACCGATCCAGTTGGATATTTTTTACTGTTTTTGGTTAATTTATGACTGTATAAATAATTTTTTTATTTTATATATAATTTCATTAAATTAATGACAGGAACTTATAGCCCTAATTTTTTTTAAATAAAAAAAATGTATATGAAAAATAAATTCTTAGAAAAATTTTGGTTATTAAAATTTTATTTACTAAATTAATTCGATAAACAAGAAAATACTTATAAAAATCTTAGTTATAAAATATCCACATAAACATTAAATGAAAAAACAACAAGCAATATCAATCTTTCCTCGATATTGGTGAATTCGTCAGTTCCTGTGATGATTCTTCTCAACCTCTTCTTGAACATGGTAAGTCAGTCAGTTAGCAACATTTAAGATTTAATAAATAATTAGGATAAATTATAGATATTACAAAGTACTTCATGATTATCACGAGATAATACCTATAATAATACATGTAAACTATTAATATAATATTTTAAAAAAATAGACGAAGGGAACGAATACTTTTTAAAAATACCTATTTTTGTAGTAAAGTTTAATATATTATAAATGGCAAACTATCCTGCCAATACCTATCAAATAAAATAATATATAAGAAATTTAAATCGCGAATATTTTGGAGTGTAATTGAACCACTCTAAAAACCGAGAGGTACTTAGGCTATCGCCTTACATTATAATTACTTATTTCCACCCATAATAATTGAGTATAACTTAAGTTATTCAATATTTTCATAGTGCTGTACTTCCAATTGGTTAGAGAGTCAATGAAAGATAGACGAAAACAAAATTTAGTTTTAATGGCATATTAAAAAAAAATAACTAAAAATCAAAATCATCGTATTATATTATAGTAAAATTTTATTTCTTTATTTACAAATTTTTAATAAAAATTTCTGAATGCTTAACTTTTCATTTTATTTCAAAAAAATTGGCCCTTCTAAATAAACTGCCCTCTAAACTACAAATTCCTGGCTACGGGTCTGTGCAGACCTCTAGTTTTTACTACTAAATTCTAGACCGTTATAACTTTATAATGTTGTTTCTTTGTCGCTTTCTTAGGATCAAGCCATATTACTTTTTTTTAAATTTTACTATTATAAATCAAATATACCAAAAAATATAATAATAAAAAGATATCGGAAAACTTTTATTTCGACATAAATTCTGAAAATCTCAATAAGCTAACCACAAAAACCTCAAGGGATGGCTCCAATAGCCCCTATAACAGTTATACAAATTACTCTTGCATTTTTGAAATAAGCCACCCATCTCCAGACATTTATCTGGTTATCAGGTTCGAGAAAATTTTACAACAGGGAGAAATATCGGAAGTGATGGAACCATATCTTAAAAACAATTTAGATGAAAAGGTAAACCCATTTAATTTTTCAATCATCATTAATAATTTTGTACAAAAAATATATAAACCTCTATCACACTTTACAACCTATCATATAATACCATTTTTTTAGACCAAGGATAAAATAAGGAGTAACACAAAGGAAAATAATGAACTTTTGGGTAAGTATCGAATGCCCTTTGCCTGGACAGCCATCAATTTAAATTCGTTGATTTTATATAACTCCGGCGATTATACTACAAAAAATATCAGAAATATCAATAACAACAATAATAGCAGCAAACACGTTTCATTGGAAAGAGGGCTTAGTCTAGACCGGAATCATAATAACTATTTGAGGATCATATCATCCAATTTTAGTCTTGGTATATTCCTCCAAATTGAATGCTTATTTCTTTTTTTTTGGCAAAAAATTAAATGATTATTTTAGAACCCTAAAAATGCAATTTATTCTAGGAGCAAACTCTTTTTTAAATTTATTTTTTTGACCCAACATGATTTTTTTTAATTGACCTGATCCGGCCCTATTTTTATGATCAGACCGGTTTTTGTTTCATTTCTGTTTTGGGACGCTCCTATATATATATATATTTATATATATGTTTGCAATATGATTATTAAAAATCTTGAGTGGGGAAAAGTATTTCACAATCACTTTGCTGTAAAAAGTGGCTAGCTATATAAGCCAATTGGATAGAATGTGTTCGATTGATTGAAACAATCCTTTGCCATTTTTTTGGGTAAAATATTATTATATATTCACCATATCTTTCAAGAATCAACTAACTTATCGTAAATACGCAATCCACGCTCAAATTAAATTTTATACCTGTTTAAAACAAATTTAAATAACATTTGAATGCAATAATTTGGTTTCAATATATGAAAATAACCAATTTTTTAGATATTTTTTCCCACTCTTTCTCCACATCGTTCGCTTCATTTGAACGTTTGTCAGCTTTTATATTACCAATTGAAGGCAACTCCACTTTTTGTCCAATTAAGTTAGGGCTTAAATAAGGTTGTCAAATTTAAATCAAATGGTTTTTAATCGCGAGAAAAATCAGACCGATTTTTAAAAAATATCAATGATTTAAATTAATAACTTAGTATATTTACTAAACTATAAACCGCTGTTTTTATATTTTATCTTATAATTAATTAATCTTTAAGTATATTTTAATCATTTAAAAATCACTTAAAATAACATTGTATCACTCTAATCTAATACCATTCTTACGAATCAGTTTATTCATATAAATTAGAGATTTTAAAATACACATAATCACCCAAATTAATACAACATTGAATGATAAATAAGGATCCTTAAAGGGCAAGCCCTTTTTGTAGCAGATTATACTGTAATAATAAGACAATAAATTTACCCCTCATGGGTCTATCATATCTAGTTTCTCAAGCATACTCACCCTGGTTCTACTCATCATTAATATTCATTATTTTACCTTACAAATCCCACCATCCAATACCAATAAAGATAATAATAATGGAAGCTAAGTTTTTTCAAATATTTTGCTGAAAATATAAATTGATCTTTTGTTTTAATAAAGAATTATATATGACTAAGATATTTGTCTTATCACTTCATGCTTTGCCAAGGCTCATTAGGTTGACATCATAAATTGTTAAAGATAAAACATATGTCTTTTAATTTCATGTCCCTTCTGCAAATTTATATTCCTTACCAAATCAGGTAAACTAACACTTTATTCCCAGATCATTAAGATGTCTTGCATCTGGATTTTTTTTCCATAATCCTTCTTTACCACCATCAGTTTCCCAGCCTTATTTAATCCAGTTCTGCCGATCATAAGTAATTGTAACATTGATGATGATATACATTTATCTGATGACATCAACAATTCAGAGAAATGAAAAGAACTATTTAAAATCTCCTTCAGATAAAGATAACTTTTCACGCTAATTTAAATTTTTTTTTGATCCTAATGTCTTACCTTGTTCTTCATTCATCAAAAAGCAAACCATCCAACCTTCAATGTCCCAGAAAGCAAAATTGATTGAAAAAATGACTCAATTTATGCAACATTAAATCTGCACTAAACATTGCAGTTTTAAATGATGTGTTTGCTCCAAATGACCACCTAACAATACAATTGCTTTTATCTAAACATTTTTCAAGAATATATTTCCACCAACACTGCCACCACCATACAACCTTAACTTCTGTAAGGCTATTCGCACCATCATAGACAACATTAACAACAAATGCAATGTCATTTTAAACATATGGTACTTAGATGATGGAACAGTTGCAGGACCATACGATGTTCCATCTATCATTTCGGATGGCACCTTTATTACTGGGCTTTCCCCTCAATTATAAAAAATGCGAATTTTATATGCCCAACAATTTTTGTCTCATTCCAGAAAACTTTTCTATAGTCGAAAAATCAAACTTTACTCATCTTACTCACCTATTGGAGGCTAAGCAGCAATATCCAAATTTGAGAAACCTGATTAAATTTGACCGACTTCAGAAAATCTTAGGATTTTTACAATCTCATCATTCATTTTTCTCCTAAAGAATTTCCTTTACATTCCAAAAATATTGCTGCCTTTCGTTTTGCTCCTCTTTTCCAATTCCCAGACATGTTACTAGAGTTAGAATTTAAAGTTAAAATCTCTCTTGAATCAATACTCAACTCACTTTCTCGCCCATTTCGTTGATGCACCGTTCTCCCAAGCAAATTTGGGGGTATAGGCTTTCTATCCCCTGCCCCACTGAGTATTGCAGCTTTTCTCTCATATATATAATTTTTTTATATAGCATATATCTTAAATTGTAAATTGTAATCATTTTTAAATCAAAATAAAACCTTCATTCATAAAAAAATTATTATATTAGTAATCAATATTTAAATTGGGGAAAAAATTATGTTGCATTTACCTATCATATTAAATTTATTTACATTATACATCGTAAAAGTTATCAATCAATCATTCATTATTTTATTATATTAGTTTTATGCGGGGTCATATTTTATTGTTAAATCAGACAAAATTCAACAATCCAACCATAACTCATCACCCGCCTCTTCTTCTCGTAACTCTGCTTCTAACATCACCTTCGGTGGGGAGGCTGACGAAATCGATTGCGCGCGTTCTTTCGAATTACAGTCCGAATTTGAGTATTGCCCTCTGTGTACTTGCGAACAAGTCCGAAAATATCGGCATTTAGCCACGTTTAAACCTTTCACTATCACGATGGACTCCGTTTTCCGTCAGGTAACTTAATATATTTATTTGACTGCGACAAACCAAAACATTTTTTGGTACAGTATTTATAAAACGTCTTTATAATGAATACTCTGTGGAATATCTTTCACGCTAGTCAGTTTTTCAGTTATATTCGATATAATTTAATTCTAGCAAAATAATATTTCACATTTTAAAGTAAATAAATGTGGGAGAGGGGGAGGCTTTGATTGGATAGCTAAATATCTTCTATAGGCTTCTCAATTTGTTTAAATACGAGAATAGGGATTTTAGCCGGATTTTGATATTATATATAGCGAATTTCACTATACCAGGCTTTACAATAACGAAGTTATAATGTAATAAAAAAGGGTTGATCACAATATTTGGTATTCATCTATAATTTGAAATTGTCAGTTAGAGGAATACATATACCATTTGCACCGTCCTACCATCTCTAATTTTTTTTCAAAAAATTTTTTCGGCCCTGCCCTGATTTTATATTTTCAGGCCCCCTATTTTTTAAAATATTTATTTTTAATTTTTATAGCTAATAATGGCGTTTAAAATATTTGTTTTAAAATATATAACCGCGGGTCTTTTCTTGAAAAATTTTTAGACCCTGCCCGGGTATTTTTAATAAAATTTAAGGCCCTGTCCGGGTATATTTAAAAAATTCGATTTAGGGCCGAGCCTGCAGGCTTCTAATATATCTTTTTAATTTGAATACTTGTTGGGGCCCAATTGAAATCACATTAGTTTAATGCTTTGGCTAGGGGCATAATTATATTTATTTCTTTTCTTAATTCCGTGGATTTTAAATTACAGGGTTTCCCATTAAAAAAAAAAGAAGTGTCAATCATAAAAGGATAAAATCCGATCAAAAAAGGAAAGGGTCCAATCAGTGTTAATCAAAAAAGGAAAAGTCTCAAAAGAAAAGGAAAGGTGAAATCAAAAAAGGAAAATTCCCATTCAAAAAAGGAAAAGGTCCAATCAATGTTAATCAAAAAAGGAAAAGTCTCAAAAGAAAAGGAAAGGTGAAATCAAAAAAGGAAAATTCCCATTCAAAAAAGGAAAATTGTTATTTTTTAAAATAATTTAAAAAAAAATATTAATTTTTTTTCCTGTCAATTTTTCTTAAATTTTTTATTTTTCCTTCTTATCTTTTCTCAATATTTTTATAATTCATTTTTATCTTTTTAAAAATAATTTATTAATTTTCCCTGTTATTTTTCTTCACTAATTTTCTACTCCATGTTTTATGTCATTTTTTAACAATTCTTTTCTCTTTTTTCATCATACATAACAATTTTTTGACTTTTTATGATTTTATTCTCCTTATATTTTTATCTCTAAAATTTCACTTAATTTTTATTTATCTTTTACAATCAATTTTTTTATTAATATTTTTTGCATATCAATTATGTCTTTACCAATTACGATGTATATAATATGTCATAATTCTCAGAAACATCGGAACTATCTGGGATCATCACTGGATTTAAAGGGATCCCATTAAGAATTCAATTTTTTAAAGAATATCAATCGATAGCTAATCAATAGATCTATTCAATTGCTGGAGATCAATCTCTCCCCCTTAATGGGCAAGGTTAAGTCTGATGGGTCAGGAATATTTAATAGCAAATTTGAATATTTTTTGACTGAAAATATTAATTCTTGGCCTTGATAGTTGGACTTGGTCTGGGGGGCGGGTAAAAATATTGATATAGGTATCAAATAAAAGGTAATTAAATATCTTTTGATTGTAATAATAATTATCATTCTAAATGGGCTGATCGAGATATTGGGAGGTTAGGAATATTTTTATCAACACAAAATATCGAGATGATCAAATAAAACCTAATTTAAATATCTTTTGACTGATAGTATTCATTCTTCGTCTTGATAGGTAGGACTATGTAGAGATGGATGGAGGGAGGGGAGCAAAAAAATAAAATTTTTATCTGACCCTTCAAGACCTTGACCCGCCCACTTAGAGTGATAATTATTATTACAATCAAAAGATATTTTATTTACCTATTTGATACCTATATCAATATTATTTTTTTTACCCCCTCCTCCATCTACCCCTTAGACCAATCCTACCCATCAAGATCAAGAATGAATACTTTCAGTCAAAAGATATTTAAATTAGTATTATATGATACCTATCGATATTTTGTTTTGATAAAAATATTGCTGACTCACCAGACCCAAACATGCCTATTAAGGGGAGAAATTGATCTCCAGTTGAATAGATCTTTTGATTAGCTATCAATTGATATCCTTTAAAGAATTGAATTCTAAAAGGGATCCCTTTAAATCCCGGATAGTTCTGATGCTTTTGAGTAGTGTTGCTAAACGGCTCGATTTGAGTCGATTTTTAAAACGGCTAACTTAATATTTTAGCCAGAAAAATATTACACAAGTCTGATGATTTTGGTCATAGTTAGTACAAAAATTTATACATCTATTAGTGAAGCCTCGAAGCTTAGCAATATTTTTTCTTGATAAAATATTGAGTTAACCGTTTTTAAAAATAGGCTCAAATCGAGCCATTTAGCAACATTACTTTTGAGAATTAAGACATATTATATACATAGTAATTGGTAATGAAATAATTTGATATGCAAAAAATATTAATAAAAAAATATTGATTGCAAAAGAAATAAAATTATGTGAAGTTTTAAAGATAAGAATATAAGGGAAAAATAATCATAAAAAGTCAAAAAATTGTTATGTAGGATGAAAAAAGAGCAAATAAATATTAAAAAATGAGATAAAAAATGGAGTAGAGTATACTAATAATTTAAGAAAATTGACAAGAAAAAAATTTATAATTTTTCTAAGGTTATTCGATTATCCTTTTTAAATTGAAATTTTCCTTTTTTGATTGACATATTTCCTTTTCTTTTGAGACTTTTCTTTTTTTTTGTTTGACACTTTCTTTTTTTTATTGGGTTTTTTCCTAATAGTGCGCACAAATTGAACGTTGCAACGCAGCGTTTCGAAACGCATATAAAAAAACGTAAACGCAGCCATGTTTAAATTGATGCGTTAAGTTTTATTTTTTCAATAATAAACATTTAAATTTAAAACAAATAATTACTACAAGACCTTTCTTACCTAGCAGGGAAAATAAATCTTATTCAATAGAATCAAAAATTATTAGAGACAAATTTATAAATTTTATAAATTATTAAATATTTATTATTGTATAAAATTTATTTTTGGAAATATTTTATATTAAATTATGTTTACATATTTAATTTTTATAGACATTATGTTATTAAATGATATAAATAAATTGAATATTAGGAAAAATTTAATTGATATATCCATTAATCTCTAAAATGATATAAATTAATTGAATATTAAGAAAAATTTATTTGATATATCCCTTAATTTCTTGCATGTTAATTTGGACATGATTCTAGATGTAGCCCATTGAGCCATTTTAAAGCTTAGGGAATGAACCTCAAACTTAAAATAATATTAATTGTATTCTCTTTGATACAATTAAAATTTTCATAGAATTTAAGAATAATTTAATTATTTTATAGTGTAAAAACTATATCTAAATGAGATCTGTTGCTTCTCTAAATAGTTTTTCAATATCAACCATAGTAATTAAATGATATAACTAAATTAATTGAATATTAAGTAAAATTTATTTGATATATCCCTTAATTTCTATTGCATGTTAATTTGGACACTATTCTAGATGTAGCCCATTGAGCTATTTTAAAGCTTGGGGAATGAACCTCAAACTTAAAATTATATTAATTGTATTCTCTTTGATACAATTAAAATTTTCATAGAATTTTAGAATAATTTAAAAATTTTATAGTGTAAAAACTATATCTAAATGAGATTTATCTGTAATTCTATTCTTTTACAATACAATTGAAATTTTCATAGAATTTAAGACATATAATTTAATTATTTTATAGTGTGAAAACTATACCTAAATAAGATTTATCTGTTGCTTCTATAAATAGATTCTCAATATCAACCATAGTAATTAAATGATATAACTAAATTAATTGAATATTAAGAAAAATTATATTGATATATCTCTTAATTTCTATTAAATGTTAATTTGAACACTAATATAATTTGAATGTTAAGAAAAATTAAATTGAAATATGAAAATAGAGACAAATATAATATATAAAAATTTTATTAAAAGAATCTAATGTCAATATAAAAATTAATATAAAATATATTTTTATAATAAATAAATAATTTATATAATGCTATTAAATATGTCAATGCAGATTCATTTGTAAGTGTTGGTAAGGTACCATTTGTCTTCAGATAGTGTAGAAATTTTAAAACCTCAGTTTTAAACAGCACTTGGTTGTCTAGACTCTACAAGGCTATTCATAAAAAGTCCAAATAAAATATAAATTAGCTTTATTGCATCCCAGATGGCTTTTCTTCCAAAATTTATACTTTAGGTTTCACATGAAAATTAACATTTCAAATATTTTAAAATTAACTTTTTGAGAATAAAGAAACAAAATACACTTATAATTTTTTATGAATAGTAAAATATTTTGTGGGATTTATTCAAATATAGATGGTAAATAAAATCAATATAAATTTTGGATCAGTATTGTATAGGCTTTGTAGTAATATCAGAACAAAATTTGAGGGTTGGCACAGCCCTACTCTTTATTTTCTAAGTAGTTATTATCAACTTACCAATAAAATAAATAATAAGTAGGATTTCCTATTTTCTCCTTATTCAGTTTATCCTTGAAGTTTGTCAATTCCAATGCTAATCTTTATATTATTATATTTAATATTCTTATATATTTATACCTGGAAACAATAACTGATAAATGTTCCATAACAATGAAACTTTTTTTATGGTAGTCCAGGATTTCTCAAAATCTTTTGCTTATTTCATCGTTCCATATCTTAAAAATATTATTATATCATTTAATAATTATTATTCTTACAATTTAGAAGAATTTTATCAATTCAAAATTTAAAAAGTTTTAAAAAACGCAAGCAAGTTTGTCTTTTAAAAATAATTTAAAATGAAAAATGGAAATGTTCTCAATTTGAACGAATGCATTTAAAATGCATTGTTTGCGTTTTGAAACGCTGCGTTGCAACGTTCAATTTGTGCGCAGCCTTTATGACTTTTCCTTTTTTGATCGGACCTTTTCCTTTTTTGATTGAACCTTTTTCTTTTATGATTGACCCTTTTTCTTTCATGATTGATACTTTTTATTTTTTGAGTAGGAAACCCTGTATTAGTTTTTTTTTCATATAAAAACGTATTTTACTTCATTTTGATATATTTGGCATATATAAGTTTTAATTAGTTGCTAAATTTTATTTTTATAAATGATTTTTTGTTCTGTTTATTCTGAAATTTGTTGTATGTTATTAAAGATGTTTGAAAAATCTCTCAAATTATGTTTTAAAATGAAAGTTTACATTTTTATATTCTTCAAAATTCCAATATTAATTCAATTTCAAATTCTACTTTATTATATTATTCTAACTTTACAATTTTAATTATATCCTATAAATAAAACTGTGCCTTTGCCGATACTAAATCAATATGGTTATTAGTGTGCATATCTCGGAATTGCTACAAGATAAGCAGTAAATTTTTAATGCATAACTATATTGGAATGGTACTAAAACTTTATATTTATCAAACAAAACATCGGAAAATGAAATGAGCCTATGTTGTGGATCGGTTTTTAGCAATTTTTTGCCGAATCGTTTGACGCCTCCTTATGATAATTTTGTTTTATAACAAGTTTTAATTTTATATCGATATTCCAAGATGTTTGTGCATAAAAAATTAGCTGCCAATTCTAAGATATATACATTTATAAACAGGTCATTTTAATGTCGGCGCATCCCTACTTATAAATAATGATAATAGTAAATAAATACCTTTTTTAAGTTTATAATTTGCATATATCCAAACTATCATAAATATTAAATTACGTAAACATTAATGAGAAAATACATATTACGCTAATTTCATACTCTCTAAAATTTTAAAATAATCAAATATTGTTATAGCACAAATTTTATACAGTCTAACCTGTCTAATTTGAGCACAGCTGGGGGCAAAATTTTTGCTCAACTTAGACAGTTGTCAAATTTATCAAGTTTAACTTTAAAAAATAAACATATATATAATAAATTTATGAAATAAGATAAGATGCTTTTGATTTCTGAATATTATGGACAGTTCCTTTATAAATATTAACTCTTCTCACATTCTTGAATATGTTGATTTATAAATCTAATAACTTAAATTTTTTGATTAATCATAATTCATTATATGTTGTCTATATAATACTATGACATGAATAGTTTTAGAAGGATGATAAAATTGTATATATAAATGAATGAATGCAACAAAAAATGGCCACTTTATAGAAGCTTTACGCAAATGGACAAAAAATTAAATATCTGCCCACCTTTCAAAGGAGATAATTTACCAAGGCATTTTCTAATAGTAATTTTTAGGAATTTTATTGGGACTCAAAATATTTATAAAATTAGGAAGTTGTCCGAATTATCAATAGCCCAAATTAAACAGAACCGTATACAGATTGTATTAAAATTAAATATAAACGGTAAATATTAATGCTAACACTGATAGATGGTAAGATATTTTTTATTAACAATGTTAAATTCATAAATTCCACAAAAAAAGCAGATGTTTAATGAAATAAAAGGACTTCATGTGATTTATGACCTTGCCTTAGGAATTATTTTTTCTAGGTTAACTTTTTTAAAAATTTTATTGAAATTTAAAAAAATCGTGATTTAATTAAATAAATCAATTTTTTTAATATTTTTATATTAAGAAATGCGAACTCTAGTTTTATTAAAGGATAAATTTTTAATATATTTTTCAAACTGTTTTAAATTTTATTTAAATAACGGGTGTAAGATCAAAACTTGTACCATGAACTCTTCTAAAACATTTCCTACTTCTATTTAATTCCATTTCCCTATTTCTATATTTCATCCCCTATTGGATTTTTTTTATCAATTGACGGTAAACTGATCTAAACTCTATTTTTTTGAAGAGTATTTATAATACATTATATTTTCAAAGGAATCTGACAAAATTAGCGACGAAGAGTTGTTCAAAAATCTCACAGACCTCAAAAAGAGCAACTCCTACAACAATCAAAAACACTATGGGGACCCAAACTCATCTATTAACAATTCCATCCTATTCACCGTAAAGAAAGGTGTTAACAAATCAATCATACCACTTAACATGAAGATGGAATTCACGCCCGCCCCGGTTACCCTCGCCACCATCGCAGGAGGTACCAGCGAATTTATCGATAAAGACAATTGTTTCGGGAAAATTAATAATAATTACCAGGTCTCATCACCGAACAACTCGTCGCCTTTGTTTAACTCACAAATGAAACGAATAATAGAATTTCCAAGTCGGCCTCTATGCCATCCTCATCACACTTACAAAAACTTGCTTTACGTTTACCCTAAAAGGGTTAATTTTTCCAATTTCAAGTCTGTCACTACCTCTTCCCGCAATATAGGTACCATTGAGAACATTGAGTGTTTGTTTATATTTAATAAATAAAATAAGATAACCACAAATATGTATATGGATAATTTATAATTATAAGATTCACTTACATTTGAAAAAATGTCCAATAGGTATAAAAGTGGAACTATTGAAATGCGAAGGGGTGAAGTTGAACAACGTTTTTGCGTCAAATAATTCATTATCTAGTGATGATCATCCATCGAATGATTTTAACGGGAATCTCACTGATCACTATACCACTACGGTGCTTTATCATAACAAGTGATTTGTTTAATAAAGTTCAGTCAATTTATTTGAAATTAAAATATAAAATTTTTGATTAGGTAATGATGTATTTGCATTTTTTTATAAGCTTTAATTTGTCTATTCATCGTGAAGGTTTTTGTTATGAATTTTGTCAAATTTTGTCAAGTCTTAATATTTTGTTAATTAATAGATTTTTATTTTTAATGATATTTTAGAGTATTAATAAATTTATATTTATTTGATAATTGATTTAGAAAGAAACAATAAGTTAATAAATTATTTTTTCTTCTAAATTTTATTTTTCCGAATAATTATTTTTCTCCGAGTTAATTTATATTTTTCTTCCTTTCAAAAAATTTTTATCTGCAAAAAATTATTCTTGTTGCTAGGGAAAAGGTAAAAAAGAAAATTATTTTATAAAGAAATAATATATAAAAATAAAGGGGAAAAACTATAAAACCGAAAACCCTAAAGTCTTTAGAAACTGTAAAAGAAATCCTAAAAACCGAACCTTTTATAAAATAGGTAATAAATATTATTATTACAATACAGAAATTATAATAATGATGTTTTTAAAAATTTATACCAAAATTTTAAAACTTTTTTAAAAATATATAACAATAACTAGGAACCCCGACTTTTATAATGAGATTAAAATTGTTCTACCGTCAGAATTTTCGGACGATTCCGATTCGTACAATAATGACGACACCCATTTGCTCTTCACCTTCTTTCATGTTCGCTGTAATTTATCTCCATCTTCCCATTCTTCCTCCCAGGTCGTTCCGCAAGAATGTTTAGGTTAAGTTTTTATTATAAAATCATTTGTAGGATTATTTGTATTTTAAATTGTATGTCAAAGTTGTAGAGATAATGTATAATATCAATATGCATATTTTGGTACTATTTTGCCTGGATCAAATATAAAGTGCATTATTTATATTTTCCTTTTTAAATCATTCAGTACGTGTATATAAATTCACTACGAGTAAAAACAAATATTAAATTTGTTTTAGGAAGTCATATTCACTGAACATAAGGTGCAGACGGGTCATTCACTCTGTAGGCCTAACCCCGTCCGGGTTTTAAAATTATTATTTATTCTCAACGTGTTATAGCTAAAGTTTTTAGAAAAATTATTTTTTCCTCCTAGGTTTAAAAAAGTTTCTTCTTCTTTTTTCGTCAAAATATTGATTTAAAAACCTAGCCCATGCTCAATTACTGGCCTCCATTTTTGGGCAGACAAGTATCGCATATTTAAAATATAAGATTATTTTGTATTATAGAAGAGATTTTATTTTTAATAGAATATTATAACTGTCTGAAAATATATTTATACCACTATTGCTAACATAGATATGATAATTTACCTTGCTTTGTTTTCTTTTTAAATATAAAAATCCATTAATGCTTGCATAATATCATTCTTTTTCTTTAAAATATTGGAAGCATTATATAAGCGCACTGTTAATTTTAAAAAATAAGTTATAAATTTTTTGGATTACTATATACTTATTTCCTTAATAGATATAATTATATTTTGTTTTACTATATATTTACTAAATAGCCTTATTTATGTTTTTAATTGCTTATTATTAACGCTAGGCGAAAGAATTCCCTGCACATATAATATCATTAGTTGCAAAGCTATCTAAATAGCATAATCTTTATTATAACAGGAATACATGCCTTTATAAAAATATTATATGATAATTGGTGAGATTGAGATGGATACATAAAAGGGGCATATGTTAATTAAAGCAGCATAAGTTTTAAAAGTATTTTAAGAATTATCATACAATTCTACCTAGGAAACTGAGGATTCTTTTTTTTTTTACCTTGTTCTCGTTGGAGGGTATTAGGTTTGACTTAAGATAAATATTAAAAAAAACTAGTATATCGATTTGAATTCAGTAAGCAATCGTATTTATACATGTAAAATCGGAATTCTTATTATATAAAATCCATCTTTTAAGGGTGGCAACTCCATATTTATCTTTTTATTCTAGGAAAAATATTGTTATCTTAATAGCCTCTCACATCTTTATCATCTTTTAAATTTAATTCAGTGAGCAATATCCATACACCCTACTCCAATAAGAGATTCAAAGTTTAGTATTAATTTTTACGATACTTTAAAATTTTTAATAAAGTATATTAATATTAACATTTTCTAAATCCTCTTGAAAAGTTATTTATACATGAGTATATATTTATTTTTTAATAGGGGATTCTTAGTTTAGTCAAAGAAAAGTAGTGTTTTTTTCAATATCTCACTAATTTAAAAATAATTTAATTGGAACATTTTCTAAATTACATCAAAGAGTTAAACATTTATCTTAATGAAATAATCCTTAATTAGCAAGGATTATTATTTTAGTCATGTAAAAAAATGTTTTTTTTTACTAATTTACCAATTATTTATATTTAACAATCACATTTTGGATTACTATTTAAACATACTATACTTAGGTATAAAATAAATATATTTTGGTGATTTTGATTTAATGATTGTGTTAAAAAAAAAATTATACGATGTCTCTTGGTTTTATTTATCTTTAATATAAATGATATCATAGAATTTTAAGTCGGTTTAATATCATGTATTTATTAGTGTTTTAGTTCATTCAAAAATATTTAAGATAGTTCCAATTTCTCTGGAAGAATAAACCACAGAATTTAATATATTTCTTTGGAATTTATCTTTCAGGATTTGAAACAATCAACATATACACTCTAAGTAACTCTGTTGATTGGTTTATATCTCCATTTCCAGCTTTATTGTTGGGATACCCACAATTCCTTTATTATATTTGCTTGGGAAAGTGACGATATCGATTTATTTATTTGTCGACTTTATAGTTTAATGCAAGGAATAGATAAACTTTTTTATAAGAAGTATCTTATATCAAAGCTACCCCTATTTCTATATTTTTTAAGATGCTTGTATCTAGTGTTGTTAATTTGCTTGGTTGTAAAATTTACGAACCAATTTTGTGCTCAGGCCTGCTCGGAGCACAGACCCTTGGTTCAAACCCGTGGTCGGACCCTTGGTTCAAACCCGTGGTCGGACCCTTGGTTCGGACCCGTGGTCGGACCCTTGGTTCAGACTCGTGGTCGGACCCTTGGTTCAAACCCGTGGTCGGACCCTTGGTTCAAACCCGTGGTCGGGCCCTTGGTTCAGACCCGTGGTCGGAGCCTTGGTTCAAACCCGTGGTCGGAGCCTTGGTTCAAACCCGTGGTCGGACCCTTGGTTTAGACCCGTGGTCGGACCCTTGGTTCAAACCCGTGGTCGGACCCTTGGTTCAGACCCGTGGTCGGACCCTTGGTTCAGACCCGTGGTCGGACCCTTGGTTCAGACCCGTGGTCGGACCCTTGGTTCTGACTCGTGGTCGGACCCTTGGTTCTGACTCGTGGTCGGACCCTTGGTTCGGACTCAGGGTTGTTTTTATTGTTAGATAATATAGATAGCCCTGCAAGCAAGTCAGTTTCGGGATTAAAAAATTTATATCTGGTCGAGTTATGGTTTAATTTATAAAATCCAAAATTATAGTTTACTGAGAATAAACGGAAGAAGATACTATAAAATTTAATATAAAAATTAAAATGCTTTTTGTTTAAATAAATTTAAATATTTTCAGACTCAGGGCTAAAGAAAGGAGGAAGGTGCTAGTAGTGCCTAAAAATCCAATAACTGAGATAGGGTTTTAGAATAAGTTACAATGGGCTCTAGCTAAATAAAAATTTAATTTGCATAGCCTCTACTTGGGTAAAAGAGTAAACATGTTTTTTTAATCACAGTTAGTGTGGTGATTTTGTAGCGAAATATACAAAAATAAAATTTTTATAAGGAAAACTAAGAAAAATTATAAACCGTATTTATTAATCTTATTCTAATTATAAATAAAAAAGCAATAATTTTTTTTAACCCATGAAAATGAAATATTATTATAATTTCTTATAGCGTGGTGTGTTATATAAATACAGATTGTAAAAAAATAATCACATAATGTAATAAAATATTAATATACAATATCTTTAAAAAAAATATTTATAAAAAGTTTTATTGATGATTTATAAACTGAAAGAGAGAAAGAATTAATATGATTTGTTGTAACACATTTTCATAATGTGAAAAAACATTCTTATATAGATTGTAAAAACATTTTGATAAAATTTTTTTAATAATAAGATAAGAAGAGTTTTTAAACTTTAATGAAGATTTACGTCAAAGTTATATATCGAATATAATTTTTTTATGTTTTGGACCCAAGTTTAAGTGGGAAAATGAGAATAAAAATTTTCTAAGATTTTTAGAATAATTTTTTTTTTAAATGCACATAAATTTTTTTAAATTTAAAGTATTATTACAATATATTAATGTTACTTTTAGTTATCTAAAGAATGGAAATCAGGATAAGAAATTTGATAATTTATTAATAAACATAAGTGAAAGAAAATTCGAATTTAGGGTTTTCAGATAATTCTTATTTTTTTTTGGTTTTAAAATTAAATAAAACTTAAAATAACGCATACCAAAAATCATCGAGATGTGCCACCAACCATTCCATAACAGAAGCCCCGACACTTCAATTTAACTTTCCGTAATTATTGTAAAAACTTGTTGAGAAAAATACATCATTTTTTAAAAAAACTTTTGAAAACTTGAAAGAAAATTTTGAGAAACACATTATATTTTTAAAAACTTCCGGTAATTAACTTACATTAAAACCTATAATAATTCTTTCTTAAATTTGCGACAATTTTAATTTTAAACTTCTATATTTTATAATTTTTTTTAAAAAAACTATATTTCCATTTTTTTAAATGTCAAATTTTACTATCGCTAGTATTTTGAATCTATCTCCAGTTTCAGGTGTTAATATAATATTCTATTATTTACTAACCTAATATATTTTAGGCACTACTAGCACATTCCTCCTTTCTTTAGCCCTGAGTCTGAAAATATTTAAATTTTTTTAAATAAAAAGCATTTTAATTTTTATATTAAATTTTATAGTATCTTCTTTCGTTTATTCTCAGTTAACTATAATTTTGGATTTTATAAATTAAACCATAACTCGACCAGATATAAATTTTTTAATCCCGAATCTGACTTGTTTGCAGGGCTATTTTATCTAACAATAAAAACAACCCCGGGTCTGAACCAAGGGTCCGACCACGGGTCTGAACCAAGGGTCCGACCACGGGTCTGATCAAGTGTTCGACCACGGGTCTGATCAAGTGTTCGACCACGGGTCTGAACCAAGGGTCCGACCACGGGTCTGAACCAAGGGTCCGACCACGGGTCTGAACCAAGGGTCCGACCACGGGTCTGAACCAAGGGTCCGACCACGGGTCTGAACCAAGTGTTCGACTACGGGTCTGAACCAAGGGTCCGACCACGGGTCTGAACCAAGGGTCCGACCACGGGTCTGAGCCAAGGGTTTGTGCTCGGGGTTCGTGCTCAGAGCTGGTTTAGTCGATTTTTAGACCAAAACCCCGGGTCTTGGTTATATACAACCAACCAATTAACAACACTACTTGTATCAGTATTTGAGATATTCTTTAATAAAGAATCTGTAATTTGATTCTATAGCTGCCCAACTCTGATTGGTATAATGAATGGGCTTGTGACTAATACTATCCTATGCATGTGGGTGTAAGAGTTTAGAGCTAGATCAATAAATACATCACCACTTTCATCATGAAAGAAATGAGTCGCGTTATTACGTTATTTTAGCCACTTATCGCATTTTGCAAGTATTAATAAAACGTCATTTCTTTTTATAATTCCACTTTTTTGAAAATCATCAAATGGGAATTTTTGTTTAACATAATCATATCTTAAGGTTACAGCTGGCTCCGTTTAAGCGACGCCCTTAATTTCAATTCAGGGGAAGATTGTTGTTTGCCCGTGTGTTTGGACCCAACACCACCGCGCCACTATCCGTCAATAGGGCCTGAAGTAGCTTTACCTCGCGTGCGCTGGCTCGATAACCACAAGCCCGCCTTCGAATTACGATTCGAACATAAATCAACCCTAAGATCGAAAGACGCTCGCATTAATAAAGTAGTTTTGGATGATAAATACAATAACTCTGCGTTGAGAGGAGCAGGTGCCAGATCTGGAGTGGAAGAGATTAAGGTAAACTGTTTTTCTATATAATTTAATATAAAGTGGCACATCAATTATACCACTTCAATTAAAATAATTTCATTATGATATTATATTTATATCATTCATCAAATAGTTTTTTTTAGTTATGGTTCAAATAAAAATTAATTTGAATTAAGTCAATATTTTTAATATAATTTTTATTTATAAAATTTAATCAGAATAGAAAGATAAAGACTAAGATTAGTCTGAAATAAAAAAAAATTCAAATGAAATATTAAATTGCACTACTATAAATTACTTTTTTAAAAAAATTATTTCTATTTTTGATATAATGTATTAATATAAATTGTTAATTATATAATTTTAATCTCAGTGTAGTAAGAAATCATTAAATATTTCTAAATTTAAAATATTATACCTAAACTAATATTAAACTTAACATTTTTTTTAAATATTTATATATGTTGTTAATTGTTTTTTTTTACAATAAAAAAAGATTTGTTTTTGAAATTAAATAACAGCATTCCAATAATAATGGATTGATAATCACAAGCATCATCCATGTTCCCGATATTGGTGTTTGAATTTAATTTCTTAAAAGAAAACTAGTTTTCCTAAAGTTTGGAATGCACTATGGAAACACTTCTTCTACTGAAGCTGATGATGTAAATGTTTGTCTTAATAATGTAATTTTATCTTAAATTAAATCATTTAGCCACTATTTTTTTTTAAACTTTCTTTATTATTTCACCTGTAAACAATTTTATTAAACGGATCAGGTGAAGCTTGAAATCTTACTGAGAATGATAAGAGTTCAGTGTTAAGGTATAAAATTTGACACGTTTCGTTGCTACTTCAGACTTATCTGTTAAATTTGAAACATATTTAGAGAGTAGATAGGACAAGAAATGTGTCGGTGAAAATAATTATAAAAATAATGATATATTTTATGGATGATGGACTACAAAAACCACAATATAATAATTAAATTATATATTTAATTTTGTCAAATCACCATATTTTAAAAATGATTTATTAATTATTTGATTTGTGTCCTCAAAAAAATTTATTAGAAAATATTTTTCATGATATTATTTAAAAACTAATCTCTAATAGAAAGAGGGAGGAGAGTTAGTTTTCTACAAATGTTTGATTTTAGGAACACGCCAAACAATTGCCAAAAAACTCATAATCAAGATTTTTTAAAATTAAGGGTATTATTGAATGAACAAATATTTTCTCAACATTTTAAAATGGGCTAATGCACCAGGACACCCAGATGAGAAGTAATTATAGCTAAAATTAAAAATAATAAACCACCGTTATTTCTTTATTTGTTTTTCAGTATGCACATTAAAATTTTATTTAACAAACATCATATTAGCTCATGACTTTTTATGTATACAACAATTTCTTGACCGGGTCTCCTGAAACATTAGCCCCTTACTTGCAAGGTAATATTATAATGAGGTAAAAAATTATGATATATTTTTCAGTCTAAATCCGTACTTCTCTAATTATAATATTAGTATTTGATTTAAATCGCGATTTATATGATAAAAATATTTTTAAAGTTACGAAATATGCCAACCCTATTTTTAGGTGAAAATAATAGATTTATGTTTACCCATTAAGTATATTTGAAAAATATATTTTGAATATTATTGCTGGATATTATTACTATATTTTCGTTTCTTTTAATCAAGGAAGCCCTGTTGGCTTTAGCGGCTGTACCAGCTATCGATCTGGCTCCCTTCATCTATCCCTTGTTAAATGTTATATTGAAATGGTTTGTGACGCCTTTAATTAATAAGGATCATTGTGTTAGTCTCACGCCAATCGCCTTTGAAGCCCTAACAAACATACTGCATAACCTTGCTACCTGCGTATATTTTATGCTTAATGCAACGGACGATGAAATTGGCCTTAAAAATATAAGGTTATAGATAGTTATTTATGATCAGCTACCAATATTTTAAAAAGTTATACCTCCTTAAAACTTTTTAGGATATTAGCACTTAGGAAATAGATGTGTTTATAATATATAGATAGTAGGCAAGAAATAAGATATATTTGTTTAATTTAATATATATAAATATATACATTTAAGGTAGAAGGAGAAATAAAGAAACCAGAGATTTAACATTATAGAATTTGAAAAAATTTCTGTGTAAAATAAATATAGAATTACATTAAATATGTATGTGAAAATTTTAGAAATGTTTTAATTGCAACTTGCAATCATTATTTATACAAGCCATAAAGAATCTGTTGGCACTCCCGATAACCCATGGTCACCCTTGACAGGAAATGATAAATGTGATCTACACCACACAACAAATAGGAATATCACCGGATGTTCTTTCGCGTTAGACTTGTTGAATTGTTTCCTTAATAACTTTTCCATTTGTCAAGATAATGCCGATTATCTAGAAAATAACATTTTTCTCAATTCTTTTTCTCCTCAAGGTGACTTCAAGCTCGAATCCAATATACCAACTTCTCATTCCAACAATGCTTTCGGTGGCCCATCTTATGGCACTCTAGGTCGCAAAAAATCATCAAATAGCAAACTCTCTCATACCACCAATCTAGAATGCGAACACTTCCTATACTATCAAACTAGTAAATCCAAAAGCATTAGCGATCCTGATCTGAATAATCAAATGTTGGTTCCAGAGGTAAACAGTCCTAAAAAACGACTACTCCACGAGGAATGCTGTCTACAGTTTGTGGTATCCAGCGGGAGGGTTAAAGAGAAAGCTCTATCTAGCGCTTACTTTTTCTTTGGTCTCATTTTCCGAAGCATGGCCGAGTATTCTAACTATGTCACGTCTAGCTTTCCAACCCAAAATCAGAGAATAGAGATTGATAAAATAATGAACAGAGAAGACAAGGTTAACAAAGACGTCAGATCGAATATATTTTCTCAGCCATTTCTGGATGATCTAGTTTCCCTGGTTAACCTGGTAACCGTAGACGTGTGCACGCGATCCCCTTTAACAAGTGCCCGGGATCTGAACATCAATTTGGCCTATTTTGTTAGAGACCTTCTTTACTTGGTAGAGCCCGGCTTTGTTGCCAACCTCGTTAAATCTTACCACCGTCAAATAGGACTCAAGATACAAACCATATCGGATCCATCCTTTTTGATCGGCGCGAAGCTTGATTTTCTTGAGATTTTGTCAGAACATGAGCATTTTATTTCCCTTAATTTGCCCTTTCATGTGCCCTGGGCAAATGAACTAGAAAAAAAAGTGCCCCCTTCTACGACCTCTTTGTTAGAAAAAGAGTCTTTCTCAACTCATATCTCTTTTTTTAGTAATAATAAAAAGATAGAACCTTTTAATCGACATCATGGAAATGAAGAAAGTGCCCATGATTACAAGACTGAAAATTCGACTTTGGATCGAATGATTCCACTCGAATTTAAGCAGCAACATTACTACATAGGTCTAATTTTGATGGATCTAATGTCCGTGTTAGAGATTAGGTACTCTCACTGTCACAACAAAGCTATTCTTATCATGTTAAAGCTGTTGGCGGCTCACGACTTTGATAAACGATTTCACGAGAATCTTACAAATGTGATGAACGGTGATAATACGTATCCAATGATAGGCAAAGGAATGGGAAAGTTGATAAAAACTCGACTAGCTTCTTTGTATTTCCCTTTTCTGAGTAAATATTGTCTATTTATTTCATATAGAAATAATTTGGTCCTGGCTGAGTCTTTAATTTTTTTTAATATGTGTATCAACATTGACTTAACCAAGCATAAGGGAAAGCAAAAAATTCCTTCCCTCTTAGAAATTTTTTGGAATAATTTTAAGCTAATACATTACCCCTTCACCCCGCCCCTTTCTTAAAAATTGAATAGCTTGACATTATAAACAACATTTTTTAAAAAATGAGTATAAATTAATAATATTTTCAAATTTTGAAGTTTTTCAAGAAAAATAAAAAACCAAAATTATTTCTGACTAAAAGGCTTCAAAAAACAAGCCTAATCTAATATATTTTATGGTAAAGGGCACTCTCTCTCTTAAGAAAATATCTAAGTGCATCTGGTCGAATCGAATTTTTTTTTTATATTGCAAATAATACCATTATTATTATTTTGTCTTATTACTCTTATCCAGATTTATTCATTTATATAAATCCTCTTATACTAAGATTTCATATACATTTTTATTAAAATAGCTATTATATTGAATTCAATTTCTCAATTGTGCGATAATTTTTCCCATTTACCAAATGACAGAACAAAAACCACTAAAAAAACATCAAATCGAAACTCACTCACAAGTAAAGTTCCTATTTGATTATAAAAATTCAAATATTTTGAAATGTACACTTATTCTCTAAATCAAATAGCATTAAACGTTGATTTATTTATAAAATATTTATTTAATATTTACATGAAAATTGTTCTAATTTTGAAATTTACACAAATATTATTTTGATTCAATATGAATTTTATTAATTTAAATTAAAATGTATAGCTTTTTATAATCATTTAATGTCATAAAGTTGAAGGTGAATCTCAGTGTAGCCCTCTTGCCTCTATATTTTTCTCCGATAACTCCAGGCATAGCATGTCAGACGAAATCTTGGAACAATTATTTGCAGGCCCTAAGATAGCTTTAAACGAAGAAAGTACTAAACACATGCTAATATGTTTCTTGTGGATTCTCAAAAACGTTGATAAATCTTTATTGAAAAACTGGTGGTCTGAGCTAACTTACATACAACTGGGGCAGTTTTTGGAATTACTTTATCTTGTTATTCAGTCTTTCGAATACAAAGGGCAAGAGATTGTTAGAAGTCATTTGATCCATAACACGGAGAATCTGAAATCCCGCTTAGAAGATGCTATCATAGGCACACTTAATGCTCGTTCCGAAATGATGGCTAGAAGGAAAGATAGCTCTTGTATCCCTAATTCTTGCATTAATGATCATAATGTAATCTCAACTACTCCTGGACAACTTGAACTTAATCTCAATCCTTTATTATTCAATAAGGTGTCTTGTAATTCTCCCAACACCACTTTACTTAGATGGAGAAAAGATACTTGGAGATCATCGAACATAAGCGATGGTTCTATGATAATTAATAACACCAATATTGTCAACGGGTGTAATATGCTTAACTACGGGAACCTAGAATATAAAACAAACTCATTGTATACCTCTCAAAAAATCATACTCGAAAAAAATTTGTGTGCTGAAACGGCCTTAATAGTATTGGACACAATGGAATTGTTTATACAGGTTGATTAAAATTATTGTGCATTAATATTTTTTTTAACCTTTAGTTTTTGACGCATCATGAATACAATAAAACGTTGATTATGGGGTTGATTAGAATAATACTAAAAATGTTTTCCTGTAATCAAGGTGTCCAAGTCTTGGAAAATATATTTGCTACACAAAGATCCATTGTCAATAAGGTGCAATTTTTTGAAATAAATTATTATACAAGGAGTTTATAAAATATGATTCTAAACCTACATTTATTAAACTTACATAAAGCGTGACATTTTTAATAGTGTAAATTAATAAATATTTCTGTACAACTTTCAATAAAAACGATATAATTTTAATACTAAAATTTTATATGTTGCATTCATAGTATTCGGAACTATTGTTCGAAGAAGAAACTCACACATGTCGCAACTTGTGCAGCCAACTCTTAACTCACGCCTGTTCAAGTATATCAGCCATACGTTCTCAAGCAACTGGTTCGCTTTATCATTTGATGTTTAAAAATTATGAAACGGGGGGTAACAGTTTTGCTTTAGTTAAGACCCAAATAACCGTGTGCCTTAGTTCTCTCGTTGGTGGAGGAGATAGTTTTGATAAAAGAGAATGCAGTGGATTATTATACCCCAGCAATTTAGATTCTTATCTTAGGCGTTCGCTAAAAACACTCTTGACTTATGCGGAACAAGATACACACATGAGGGGAACCTCTTTCCCTCGTCAAGTCCAAGCCCTTGCCTCCACCCTGGCTAGCATTCTGACTGACACAGCCAAAATAATCAAATATCGAACTGATCCCGAAATGCTACTTGATTGCATGCACCGTGTAGCCGATGGTTACAGAGACTCCCCAGACCTCAGGCTGGCTTGGCTTCACAACATGGCGGCTGAACACAGCCGACGTTCAGCACACTCAGAGGCGGCACAATGCTTAATTCATGCAGCAGCAGCGGTAAACGAACGCCTGCAAGCTGCTCGAGACAGATTTTACCTTCCAAGTGGAGCCTCAGCTTATGCTTCCATATCTGACAACGTTATTGCGGATGAATCCGTCACGTCCATCTTCGACTATAACACATCTAATTCGAATGGGAATGAATCTACAGCAACAGATTCTAAATACTTTTCGGAGACCGGGCTTGTGGGTTTGCTTGAACAAGCGGCTAGTTCTTTTTCCATGGCTGGCGAATATGAGCTCGTTAACGAAGTGTACAAGTTAGTGATACCTATTCGAGAGAGGTACGGTGACGCCAAGAAGCTAGCTGGCGTTCATGGAAAGCTTCACGAGATATTTAACAAGATAGTTTTGAGAAATGAAGAAGAAACTAGTGGTATTGGAAATGCGGGTCCTAAGCGTGTTTCTGTTCAATATTTTGGGGCCACTTATTTTCGAGTAGGATTCTACGGGGCTCGGTTTGGCGAACTTGATCGTGAAGAATATATATACAAGGAACCAGCTGTTACTAAATTATCAGAAATAACTGACAGGCTTCTCAGTTTTTATGGGGCGAAATTTGGAGGTTCTGGATTTAACCAAGTAGATATCGTAGAATGTATCAAAGATAGTAATCGCGTTGATATTTCGACTTTGGACCCCGCCAAGGCTTGTCTACAGATAACGTATGTTGAGCCATACTTCGATGTTTCAGAACAGCTAGTTCGTAAAACAGCGTTCGAACGCTGCTATAATGTCAGACGTTTTGTTTACGCAACACCCTTTACTTTAGACGGAAGGTCTCACGGTCGATTGCAAGAGCAGTACAAGCGGAAAACGATACTCACGACTCAGCGCTCGTTCCCTTACATCAAAACACGAATCAAAGTTGTGGATAGAGATCAGATAGTCCTCACTCCTATCGAGGTAGCCATTGAAGACCTGGAGAAGAAGTGCAAAGAATTACGTGAAGCTACTCGTAGGCAAGACGCAAAAATACTGGCGATGGTTTTGCAGGGTTCTTTAGGCCCCACTGTTAACATGGGACCTTTGCAAATGGCTGAAACATTTCTAACACCCGTCATTAAGGGCCTGACAAGGCCGACTATTCACCACAATAAGCTTAGGGTTTGTTTCAAATTGTTTATGCTATGCTGCAAGGATGCCCTTGTACGAAATAAGGCCTTGTGCGATATAGAACAGAAGGATTATCAAAGGCAAATTGAAATCAACTATCAACAGTTAAGTGGGCAGTTGAGTTCAATTATTAATAATAAAATCACTCAGAAATTTGTATAATTATTTTATTAAATAAAACTTATTATTTTCAAACGTATTGGGCATTTAAATTTTTTACATTTGATGTACTATTTTTTTAAAATGTGTAATATATGCACTACCATATTTAGCTAAATTATTAAAATTTAATATTGTAACATGTTAGGAAAAAAAATAAACCATCTAAAAACTTGGTATTAAAAATTAAACATAATTACATTTCAATTTACGATCTGTGATAGCATACTAGGGGCCAGAAACGAATATAGGTTCGGGTTAGGTTTGGATAAAAATAACGGTTCATGTTCGGTTCGTGAAATAAAAATATCGGTTTGGATCGAACCTCTAAAAACCTTTTTGAATTTTAATTATATATTGTTAATTTTGTTGAGTTTCAGAGGGCGTAAAGAAATTGTGACTGACACTTTTCAATCTAAATTGATTGTTTGATAATAATCCATAAAATTTTAACAATATACTAGTACACGGACTGGCGACGCTATGGCCTCGTGGGAATTTTTTTATACCGGCCTCATTCGTTTTACATTTTTAGTAAAAAAAAGAATAGCAAAAGAATAGTATTATACGATAATCATATATTTTATTTTAAAAAAATGCACATCTAAAATCATATTCATTACCTATAAAAAATAATATTCATTGAAAATATATATTTTATATTAGATTTACAACGATATTGCACTATAAATTTAAATCATACATCACATGTTAAATATAAAAAAAAAATGCATACTCAATTGATTAAAACAATTAATTATAAATATAAAATTATTGCAGTTATAATTACAGAGAATAAAATTGCTGCACTTTTATAAAATCAAGCCCCGATCATATTGTAAATAAGATTCTAATAAAAGAATTAAGAAAATATGTAATTTTTACGTTAATAAATCTCTCATTAACTTTGAACCTTTGCGCAAATATGCAGGAATATCTTCTAGTTCAATCTACGCTAATAGTTCTCGTTCAACTGACATCATTAAAAACGCTTCTAATTTTTTTGGTCAATATTAGCTCTCAGCTTATTTTTATAATTTTTAATTTACTAAATGCTTTCTCGCAATTAACCTGCGTAAATGATAAAGTTAAAATGTATTCATATGCCAAAAATAAATTAGTGTCACATGTATGCATATTGTATCTAAAAATTTCATACACGCATATTAAACACTTGTTACATTTATTATCACACTCTGATTTATTATCATATTGTAATATTCCATCTTCTTCATTTGACTTCTCACTTGTGCATGCGATATCATTGTCAGTTTCATTTAATTCTGCTACCAAATCTTTGAATATGGCAAATGAACATAATTCGTTATGAAATTTAACACTCAATATGCCAATTGTGCCAGTCTTTCCAATGTCTTTTCAGAAATACCTTTACTATTTATTTCATCAAAATGTCTTGGATGCAAATATTGCACATTCAAGATAAGCTCTCAATTCGCAGAAAGTAGTTCCGACAAGCTGCTTATAATTTGATCAATTATAGGACGAAATAGTTCGAACCTATAAAGGTCAATCGATTCTTGAGGACGTTCATCTTGGCATTTGTCACTATATATTCTTTTCGCTCGTCCTATTCGATTTTTTAGAGAGCATTTTATACTCAGATACTCTCCGGGAGCTATATGAAAATGTTTAATTTAATTTAGCAGCCATTTTATTGCTTTATTTTGAATCGATGTAATAATCGATGACACAGAAGATTTAGCATCTTATTTCATTTTGCATGCTGGCAAAGTACTTAATTTTTATGAAGATATGACAGTGGCCCCATTATTTTAAAAATTTCCAAATATATTATAGCTGTACTTAGAGTCTTAAATTTAATAAATTACCAAGTTTTTGTCCCAAATTTTGAAGTGCCATTATCGTTATTGGGAGCAAGCTCTCTTTACCATATATCCATCTAAACATGCCAACCACTTTATCTCACCTGTTTTTTGCAGCCTTCTCAACTTATTTTGGCCACATGTCACCCAAGCATCCATCCTTTTATCTGATTCACTGACCTGGATTTTATTTGTTTTCAATGAATTAAGAACAATTAATGTTGGCTATATTATTTCTACAATAAAACAATGTATAAAAATATAACATAATAAAATAATCAAAACTTGATTTCACTCTACTCAAACGGAAGCGTTTTCACTTCATTTATAAAAAACAAAGAAAAGAACGTGGTATTGATGTGTAGCATCAAGCGACGTTATTGATATATTATGCATTAAAATATAGTAAACGACATGACAATTCTCAAGGAATGTGATATTCAAATCATAGAGATATCATTAAAAATAAATAAATGATAAGAGAGAACATAATAATAATTTTTTTCTAATCGGCCTCTACTTTGATATTTTCCTCTGATCGGCCTCAAAAATCGACATTTTCTCGCGGCCTCATGGGCAAAATGCCTACTGGGTCTTATGGCCAGTCTAATAAGGGTTGGGCAGTATCGCGGATATTTGTATTATCTTTTTTAAAATTTTGGAAAGTATCTTGTATCCAGTATCTAAGATACATATTATTTAAAAGTATTTGTATCTTAACCAACTTTGTATTCAAAAAGATACAGATACTTTAAAAAAAATTTATATTGGTTAATTTAAATAGTATTAAAATTTAAAATGATATTGTTTTAAGATTTAAATGAAAAATTTAATCAAAATTTAGATATTTTAAGATAATTTTTGATATATGACGTTGGTCGTCATATAGCAATTTGCTTACAATTAGAACTACCATATTTGAATCGTTTTATATCTCTATTTTAAAATAATGGAAGAATAAAATAGAATAATATGTTTATCTTCGTCTTCAGATGAATCTTCAACCGAAAATTATAACAATAAACTTAAACTAAGCATACTTAATGGCAAATTTTTTGAAGTACTTCAAGATGATAATAATAAAGAAATTCATCGTGACTTTGGTATTGACGAAAAAGTTATAGCAACTGTTACAGATAACGGTTCTAACTTTAAGAAAGCTTTCAAGTAGTTTGGATATTCTATGGAAGCTGTAGATAATGACTTTGACATCAATGATAATGAATGTATAGAATTCGAAATCATTGAAAGTATCATTTAATACTTCTTTAAAATTTATTATGATATTGTAAATTTAGTAAAAAAATTTATTCAAATAAAATTATTTATTTATTTAAGGGTCTAAAGAAGCCTCAATAACATTGTCTCAACACATTCGTTGTTTGTGCCATACGATAAGTCTAATTGCCACAACAGATGTCGAGAGAGCTATTAAGGATTCTCCTAACATTTCTAAAATTCATCATCCTGCAATAGCTAAATTTACTAAGCTATGGAATGCAAATAATAGGCCTAAAACTGCAGAACTTATCAAAGCAGTTTTAGGAAAACAATTAGTTACACCTTGTTGCACTAGATGGAATAGTTTGTATGATAGTCTTCATAGTTTATTAAAATTTAAAGGCGAACTTCCTAAATTATGTCAAAAATTAGAATTTCCTAAATTAAGAGATATTGAAATTCAATATTTAGAAGAATATTGCAATATAATGGCCCTATTGGCTATAGCGATTGACAAAATACAGAGTGAAAAGGTTTGGATCTTTTGAATATTCATAGGCTAACGGCAAGCAAGGATGAGATAATTGAAAAATTAGCTCAATCACAACGAAGATTGGATTTTACATTGTAAATATATAACATACAAAATGCAATTATTCCTAAGAAACTTTTTGTGTAAAGGCTCAAAAAATTCATATTTCTATTTTGGGTCATTTAAGTGATTCTTTACATAAGATTTTTTTATAATTTACATTAATTTAAAATTGTATTAGAAATAGTTATTAGTTAGTCCTAATAAATTTATGCTTAATATTTAAAAAAAACAATAATATTCTTAAATGATAAATGTGGCATACTTATTCATATAAAATGCTCAAAATTATTTCAAGAAAAAATGAACTCGTTACCTCCCAATGTTTGATTTTTATATTCAAAAATTTTGTTTTTTCATTTATATTTATTTGTTAATGGCGAATTAAATTCAATAACAATTTTTTAATATTTTGTGGCCATTTGGGACTGAAAAATAGGAAAGGGGGCTGACATCCTCATTATTACTGGTTTGAACATCGAAATCGTTAGGATTATATTTAAAATATAGGAGCACTAATTTTAACGTGAGAAGAGATTCTGTGAAACTGTGAAAAAAAATTATCATATCTTTTTCTAAAATTTTTGAAATATATAAAGAGATGTTTCAATAAATTACAAGAGTTTAATGTTTTGTCTTATCAAAAAAGTTTCCGCTATCTATTTTTTAAGGGAAATAGGGTATCCTTGATAATCTGAAATACAGGAATAAATAGACACAACAAAGATTTTTTTTGACGTTATTTATGATGTTGGCCTATAGTAATGTATAGTATAGCTTAATGAACCTTAATCTACCAACATTCACTGAACATATGATAGAAAGAAAACTTAAATTATTTTTACATCTAAATCGTTATTTTACATATGTTCAGGGGCAGGTTTCACATGCTAACATAAGAGAATATTTTTATTATATAGATCATAATGGACAAGTAAATTTTTTTAAAATGATATATTGCTACTTGTTTTTGTAGCTATTTTTGGATGATTCAAGAATGAAAAATTTTACATCTTGTTTCAAAGGTATTATTATATTCTACTGATTTAATTTTCAACGATAATACTTATCAAATTTTGCAGATTTAAATATTTATATAAATATTAAATTTACAAAAAATTATTTATAAATATTTAATTAATTCTTGCACTTATCTCATTTCATAGAGTTGGGCAGCTCCTTAAAAAAGGATCCTTAATATAATACAGATTTTTTATATGTATCTTATATACAGAAGGACAATATACCCCCTCCCACAAAGATTCTTTTTAAATGTATATAGATATATAGCCTTAAAATATATCTAGTAAATTTTTATTAATATAAATTTACAATTTTCAACTGTTAAGTTTTTAAATAATTTAACTTCCAGGTCATATGTAACAATTATGTCCACCTTTTTTGCCATATAAATATTTTGAAAGTCAGACATTTTGTTGAAAACTTGATTCAAATAGTTAAATTACAGATAACCTTAATATCATCTTTAACAAATGCCCTTTTAACCATTAAGTGCAAAATTGAGGTTTGATTTAAAAATTTCATAGATTTGTCATTAAATATATTAAACTGCATTATTAACAAATCAATGCAGCATAAAACTTGCTGATTTAAAAGCTTAAATAAAATATTATATTTAATAATGAAAGTATATATACTAGTGATCTGCATCGGGCCTAATTTTTCAAGCCATTTTTTTAAAACAATTTGCCTGCCCAGTCTGAACCCGAATTTATTTTAAAAAAAATTTACTGGCCCAGCTCGAATTTAGTTATAGAAATTAATTTTTATAATTACTCAAAATAAAAGACATATGTTATGTGGCGTTTAGTTTCAATAAATAAAATCAAAAATTTTTATTTTACATAAAAAATTCAATATAAAATTGATAAATTTAGATATTTTTAAAAAAATTTCCAAAATCCCTCCCGACCCAGCCCGAATTTATTTAAAAATATTAACTTTGCAGATCTCTAATATATACTCTCTCTTTTTATGAATTATTTGAAGCCTAGTACTTTCAAAATTATTTCTCAAAAAAACATTCAAAAATTTAGACAATTACTTAAATTATACTTCTCATCTGAATACAGCAATTTATTGCCAATTGAAATTGATTCATTGTAAACCCTGTTTCTTTTGACATAATTTGCATTTTTATAAATAAGCTTGTCATCAATATATCAAAAATATAAGATGATGAAAAAATCAATTTTTTTAAATAAATGATAAAAGTGGCAGGATCTTCAGAATCTTTTTAATTTGTCAAAGCTGCCCTCAAGGCATTATAAAGTAGAAAAAAATTTATATGATGATAACCAGCTTGCATAAATATAAAATAAACATTTTAGATCTAAACAAATAAGATAATAGTACCAAGTGGTATTCTTGAGCATAAAAATCATTGTGATTTTGTCAGTACATTACTCTGACATGCTTTGAGCACTCCATATCATTTCACCCCTTTGAAATACATATGAATTGTCTAAGATCCTAAAATATTTTTTAGTTTCCCTTTCCTTACAGATTGGCATAATTAAATTTAATCGATGACATTAGCACCACATAAAAGCCACCTTTGGGACCAGGGCTCCAATCAAAGCCTATACCCGTTGATACTTTCCTTCATGATCGAAGCACCATCTTGCCTAACTAAGAATTAGAGGGGTAGATTAATGTAATTAAGTTTGTATATTATATTTTTTAAATACTATTACCAATCATGTTACCCATACAATATATAAATAAGTCTTTCAACTGGCTTTGATGCTTTGCCATTTTCAATATATCTTAGTATCAAAGTCATTGCTAGTGACTTAGAAACATCATATATACCATCTATTATATTCAATTTCTTTTATAACCACATTTTTAATGGTTTCAAGAAGTATATTTATACTATTATTCGAAAAGATTAGAATATAATTTGATTTTAATCCAATATGTTTTTTATCCCTATTTATTTTGTATATATGATTTGAGAACTGGTTTAGAATGAGCAATAAATTTTTAAAGACCATAAAAATGAAACAACCAGACATAAATACATTTTTATAAAAGCATCCTGTTATCATTTTTCTATAGATATATTTATCAACCCTCCTATCCCCTTTTAATTTTAATGATCACCTTGTGTTATACCCCCCCCCCCCACCCCCAATGAATCCTGACGTATCGTTTATCAAGTATTTTATTAAAAAAATATACTTGTATTTTTTGCTAAATTTTAACTACTTGAATAACCATGAATTTAAATATAATTTTAAAAATGGGTATATTGAAATTTTTTCATTGGCTATAAATACGATAGAAAGGTCAGGATAAACTCTTTAACATGTGATTCACAAAACAATTTGTTTTAAAATTATAATTACCTAGACGTTAATGAAATATTTTATACGATACCACAAAATAGATAGCATAAAAAGAATTATTTTTTTTTATACACAGTATACTGAGCCCAAGGATCAATCCAGAATGTTGGACAGCTAAATATATAAAAATAATTTTATTCCTTCTATATAAAATAATAATTATTATTTAAGTACAATGATAATTCATATAAAATATTTCAAATCATCGATATTTGTAAAGGTCATTTATGTATAGCATTAAACAGGCAGACTAATACTTTTTATGGAGTTAAAAAATTTAATTTATAAATAAATTTTCAAAAACGTATAAAATGATTAATATAAATAATGGACAATTATAAAATTGAATTGTCTAATTTTCATACGATAAAGTTGATATGTCAAAATTATAAATGAATATTAATTCTAAAATACATGGATAGGAAAAAAACAACAAAAATTGAATTTTTTTAAACAAAAAATAAAAAAAAACTTTATTTTTTAAGGAAATGAAAACGATATAGAATTCATTTGAACAAAAGTATTTTAAGTTTCCTATTAAATATATCAAAAAGTTACAATGTACAAGATACAAAACTGCCCAACTCTGTCAATTTTTTAATATTAAGTTTATCATACTGTAATTTCTGCTATTTTATAATAATTTTTTATTATACAAAAAAATATAGATGTCAAATTTTTAACTTTATTCTTTAAGAGACTTCACAAAAACAATACAGGAAGATATGAGGCAGACTTTCCTTACCTATACATTTGTGCCAACGAACATAATTATGCTAGATGTGATGATATTCCCATAGTTTTTACAGAACTAATCACTCTACCTTCAAATAGTAGCACAAATAAATATGGGTTAATATGCAATAACACGGGTAAAAATTTATGTCAAAGCTTCTTACCTTGTGACATATATGTCCATCCTCTAACAGGGAGGGTTTATCATCCAAGCAATGACCCACCTTTGGTATCTGGAGTTGGTTTGATTAAATCTAGCTTAGCTCAATCAATAAGTCATCATTTTATTCCTCAAGATCATTCATATGATGAAAAGAAAAACAAAACTAGTGACGATATACCTATAACTTCAAAATATTTTGAATGGGAAGGGATCAAACACAAGATGACAGGATCCATTGCTAATGCAGTTGAAAATGAAAGTTTTCACGTAAAAGGATATAGGATAAAAATCGTCAGTTAAAGAAATATAATATTTTTTTAAACCAAATATACAATATCAATATTTAATTTTATATAATATAACATATTTATATAAAATTAATCTTGTTTATTAACTATGTCTTTATTAATTAAACAAACTTTATATATTTTTCAATAAAATGGCTACATTAATATTTTTGGATAAAATAAATACCCTATTGCTATGACTGAATTCAAATATATGGAAGGAAAAGTAGTAAACACATGATTATAATCTCATAAAATACAAACAAATATTTAAAAATAAATATGGGAATGATATATAATTCTTTGAATAATTGAAACTTTTGATAAATTTTACGAACGCCTGAAAAAATAACATAAGAAAAAAATTGGTCAATATCAATAAATATTTTTTTGTATCACATGATGTATAATCAGAATTAGTAGGTCTATATATAAAAATTGAATTATAAAAAACGGATTTAAAATAAAATTTTGTATAAATTTGCTCTATATCGTAGGAATTCGTGTGGTTACACCATCTGGTATCTATTTTTGGAGGCTAAACCCTCATTATCTAAAACCAAAATCCTGTATTTCCTAAACAAATTTTTAGGTAAGCTTAATACATCTCGTAAAAGGCTCCTATTAGATTCCACATCATGGTTCCATTCCTCGGATTCTAATTTGGAATATTTAGATCGCTTACTTATGTGAGATGGGACTAACGAGTGTGAGGATAATGTGAATTGGGGATTCTTTGTTGAGTTATGTCTTTCTATAAATTTTTTGATTTCAGAGATCCAAAAAACGCTGGAAGATAAAGCTACCAAAAATATCCAATCTATTAATAATAGTTTAAAATAAGAGAGTTCATTTTCAGACTTATTAATTAATTTTTGCCAGAATTGCATTGACACTCGGTCAGTATCAGCTGATGCCTTTGATTTTAACCGTTACCCAAAAATGATAATTACCCCTCATAAATTTATGGCTATAAAAATGGATCCGATATTATCAAATTTGTTATTTTATGATTATATATATTAGAGATCTGCCGTGCCGAAAAATGATTTAATCTTTAAAAATCCGATAGGGCTTTAAAAAAATTTAAAATTCGGGCCAAATTTAATTTTTTTTATATATATTAATATCAAGTAATAGATTGGAAAATCATATATAAGGGAGTGTTTACAGCTCATATTTTCAATTTCCCTTTAAAACAATGCAAAAATATAGCCCAAATTATTCAAAATAACGAAATTTTAAAAATTCCAGGCTAGGACATAAAATTATCAAATATAAAAATCCGGGCCAGACCTAAATTTAAGGTCAGACTTGATGAAATCCGGGATTAAAATTTTGATCCCTGCAGGTCTCTAATATAAAGTTATATTATGTTGTATTATTATATAATTTTATAATAAATAATAGGAACTAAAACTTGAAGAAAAGAAGTAATAGCTAAAAATGTGATATTCTTTTGTTATATTATTTAGAACAAGAAAAAAATTTTAAAATATTTAACGAGACACATTCAGCCATAAACATTGCCCACATTTCAAATAAGATGATTAACTGGGTAATAAAAAGAACAAACACTTAATCATTCGTGACAATACACTAAATATCGTCTTGAGCATGAGAAACTGAGATTTTCCAAGTGTTTTTTGGTCATGGTTTACAGTTAGTTATTTTTTGCATACACATTAATTTTTTTATTATATTTGTTGAAAAAAAGATAGACGGTAATTAAAAATCAATGCAAATATCGGATCAGGTTTCAATGAATATCGAATCGGTAAAATTTGTTAATCAGCACAGCCCTAATATTGATAAATTTTTATACCTTCGCCATTTTTCAATAATTATTGCACATAATAATATATATTTATTTAGGTGCCAGTAGGTTGAAACCGGTTTGGGTATCGGATAAAAAAAGTATATCAGTACATTTCTGATTTTTGCAAGGTGAAATGGTACCTCTAAATATATAAAATAATTGGAAAACATGATTACATTATAATATAATACTATTTATAAAAGAGTCGTTTTTAAACCATTAATTCCGATAGCTTCGGTTTGGAAAACCCTTTGAAAGAAAGGCGTGTATATAACGAGTATTTGAGCCAGTATAGAACCCATAACGGAATAAATAAAGATGCGATTGGTAAAAAATCCTATCGAAAATATCGATCTAGTCTAAATACGATATTGATTATAAATTTCTAATATGTATAAAAATAAAGTATATATTGAATAAGGGACACAAAAAATTTTGTTTCTTGAGTTACATGAAACCCTTTGAAACAAAATGGCGCTCTAATTAGTAACTCTCTAAAAGACACTTTGCATAGTAGTAGTTATATAATGATATGTCTTAATTTAAACTTGAGATCGGCAACTAAGTGCATTGAACATATCGAATAATACGAAACAAGTAAATGTCATGGTAGTATCCCGAGGCGTAATCATACCATCCCTCATCTAAATATACATAAAATATTATTGATTTTGAAAATTTTTATAGTCTTCTTTTTATTTAACTAATAAAAATGTTAATCTCAGAGAAAAATTATCATAAGAATATAAATGTAATTTCACTGAAGGCGCAATGTCAAAAATCAGTAATGGATAAATCATGCTAGTAAAAAGCTATGTTAAAATAAAATTAATTTAAAAAAACATTTGCCGATTTTTGAATGACAATGAAATAGGCCCCAATCAAGAGCGTCGGTAGCCTTTTTAAGTTAAAGGGGCTTATTTTAAGAAAAATGAAACTGCAATTACTAAACTATTAATTAATAATAGTGGACATCACTCAAAGTCAGGTGTTTAGAAGTATATAATATGAGGTTACCAAGTGTACATTTAAAAATAAAATTCTCTGACTATTTGATATTATTGGAAAGAAATAAGAAAAAATGATTATGATTAAAATGTATTATGTAAAAAAAATAAAACTTCTCGTAAAAAGACCCATATGGTTCCCGTGACTATGGTAAATGCTGATAGAATAACGTTAAATAAAAGGGCTCTTGTAATCATAGGATCATTCACGTCGCGAGGTGGTTGATTTATGATATATTCGTCGGGAGGTTCGACGCCAAGACTATTAGTAGTGCATGTAATCAGATATATAATGTAAATAAATCAAATTATTTTAGACACAATATCTAATTTTATGAAATAAGCTTAACCCTAAACAAATATGTTTTTGGTAAAATCAAGCAGATCAGATAAAAAATATTTTCTTTAAACATATACAATGAAATAAAATATTATACTTTTGAAGCAAAACCCTAGTCATCTTCGGGCCTTCGCCTATATCTAATCTATAATCTCCACTCCCCCAAATATTAATTCCTATTATTTACAACCCCTCATTATTATATAGGAGCAGTAAAATTATCTGGAAACCTTTGAGCTGGAGGTCCATCCATTATTATATTTATCCATAGTATTTGCATGGCGTTTAAAGGAGATATATGGATTTTGTGGTGCGTATTCGGTGAGCTACCACCATTGTGATAACTTCCTACATAACCATGGTTAGCGTATGACTCATTTCCAAGGGTTAAACTAGAATACGCGAGGGAATTTTCTGGAGATTTTTTACTCATATTTATGAAATAATAATTTTATATAAATAAAATCTTCGGTCCGGATCTTCGAAAATTGATCGGTATTTTTTTGCCGGACTGGTCTCGAAAAATAAAGAGATGAAACAATGCAAAAATATTTAAGTTTCTTTAAAAAAAGTAGCAAAAATGATATATATATAAAATATTAAGGCTAATAAAATTTTGAAAAAGGTAATAAAGTGAGTGGATTGAAAAAGGCGATGTTACCCAGGAACGTCCATAAATAACATAGTTGACAATGCTATAAGCGCCATGGCTGATATCGAAGTACTAAGCTGAAATCGCAAAAAGTTTCTGATATTTTCATATATGGTTTTACCTTTCATTTTTATTTTAAATAAAATATTCCTTATTAAAATTAAATCTTACATTTATTTTGGTATAATATATTTTTAGGGTTATAACTCGTCTAAACTAAATTAGTTGCAAATTTATTGTCCTTTTGTTCAAGCATATCACAAATTTGGAATTTTTACGTCCGATAAAATTTTTTTTTTTTTTAAATTAAATAATAAATATAAATATATGTCATTTATTATCTAACACATTTCATCATTAAAATGTTAATCAGAATAACATGTCATTTTCAATTAGCCTCAAATTTTTAATATTTAAAATAGTTTAACAAATCTTAAATTGGTGGGAAGACCCATCAAAACGACTTTCCCAATTTATGTGTTTTGGTTCTTAAATTCCTGAATATTCCTGCTCCCTCGGCTAGCAGTGAAAGAGCGCTTTCAGCCACTGGATATTAATATAATAATATTGATATGTCTTTTGTTCATCATGCACATTATTTTTATATAATCGCAATAATTTTTAAATTAGATTGTATTTCAACTTTTTTAATATTTAAACTGAATAAAAGTATATTTCCCAATTTAAATATAATGCAACTTAATATAAATATTGATTATATAGTGGCGGTCAAATGAACTTTTATTTAAGGCAATACACATAACTTTTAATTGTTTTTTGGATATTATAATATTCACACTCAAATTTAAAATTTTTTAGTCGGGTTAAAAAATAATTAGAATTAGAGGTCGGGCAAATTTTTTTTATATTTCGGGCTCGTGTTGCGAAAAAATTACTTTGCAGACCTCTTTAACATATGATTCCGATTTAAATAACCAAAATTGATAAAACACAACAAGTATATAAAAATATTTAAAATTACTAAATAAAAATAAATATATATATATTATAAGTATCGGAGGCTCTAAAAAGAGCTAGAATTTAGACTTGGATGCTCGTTTACACAGCCACATACTTGCCACCAATGCAACTTGCCCGTTCAACCTAAACTGCACCCGCAGCCAAGGTCGCCATCTACGGCATAAAGCAATTAATAAAATCATCCATAACGCTTTTTAAAGGCTAAAATACCCAACATCTCGAACCAACCAACCTTTCATTACAGGACGGCTTCAGACCCGAAGGTTTAACCTGTACCCCCTGGCCCAACGGGAAATCCCTTATTTGGGACGCAACCAGCGTCTCCTCCTTTCCTTCATCAATTAATTCAAACCCTCTTACTTGCGGGAAAATAAAAAATTAATAAATATTTAAAATTAAATAAATTTATATTTCAGCTAATAGTCATATCAACTAACGGCAATTGTTCACAGTCTACATATTTTTAAAAAAAAACTTTATCGTGAAAATTTTTTAGCATAACAAACGAAAATCGCGAAACAATATTTCTTAAACAAAAACGTCAACTAGAAATTTTTAAACACAATTATACTTGTTTTTTAGGTACATGTTCATTATTAAATTAAGCTCTTTTTAGAGCCTCCGATACTTATAATATATATATTTTTTTATTTAGTAATTTTAAATATTTTTATATACTTGTTTTAATATTTTAGTGTTTTATCATTTTTTTAAATATTATATTGCCAAATTTGATTAACCAAAATTGGTTACTAATTTTCGTAAGATATCTTGGAACATTTGATAATATTATTTCAAGAATTTGTTGACTAAATTTGTAACTAATTTATTCGAGCTTGGACGAAGTATTAGGAAACAAAGACAAAAAAATTTTTAAAAAAAACAACCAAAAATTTGTAATCAATTTTAAAATATTCAAAGAAAAAAAACAAAATCGATATATTATTTATTTCTCAAAATCATGATTTAAATTTCAAAACAACGTTTTTTGTTATTGATTCTCCTAGTCCACATTATTTCTTTCCAACTTCCCTTTTCTTCCTCTTAATTCTCATTATCTCTCCAATTTAGCTTAAATTGGTAAACATTATTTTTGTTAACCTTCTTCGACACAAATAGTCAAAGTGCTTAGATCACCGTCTAACAACAACATATCAGCGGCTTCTTTGCAGGCATCATTCGTGTTTACAAGAGTGTCTTGCAAATCAAAATTATCCGGTCTTGGCTCATTATAGGGGATTGAATTATTTCCGAGAGAGATATCGGCTAATAATGAATAAAAAACACAATTTTGATAGTTTTAACTAGAGATATAAAAAGCTTGGCCCATGAGCCTAGAAATTTTAAAAAAATATTAAAAAGGGATGACAGGCAATTTATATGTAAAATATCATGCAGGACTTTAAGGTATGAAAGTTATGCAAAATTTTTATAGGTCAGCTTGGTTATTAAAATTTTGAAATATTTTAAATTTCAAGCTAACATTTTGATTAATATTATTTGATAACAAATTATAATATGCCTATTTTCTTGTATTTTAAGAGCTGTCTAACTACTAACTAAAATACTAAATCAATTAATAATATAGTAAATTCACAAAAAATTAATATTTGTCACAGCATTGTCATATTGAAAAAAAATTAAATCATTAACATTATAATTTGATAAGAATTATTCCATTATTTATTAACCATAAAAATAAAAAGGGAGATATATAAAAAATTGTTATAAATAATTAAGGATATAAAAGTTAGGAATTAATGTTACTAAGTGATTATTTTCTCAACAAATAAATCCCTCGATAAAATAGGGGGAATAGAAAACACTCACAATAAATTTGTTATGCCCAAACTAGTGTTAAAAAAAGAACTTACATGGATTAGAAGATACCCGAGGGGAGAAAGACATGACTGCAATACCTATATCAGCCCGCTTGAGAGCCAAGGCATCGTTGATACCATCTCCAGTCATGGCCACCACGTTGCTTTTATGGGTTCGGCCGTCTTGAAGAGCCTTTTATAAGTTTAGTAATAAACTTTTAAGATATTTGGATAATATACATATTGGAAAATTTTGGGGAGAATTACAAACCCTGCCTGAGAATGCTTAAAGTTATTTTTGTAGTTCCAAATAAATGTTTCCCTTTCAACCTCTGATTTTTATTTAGATCAGAAAAAAAATATAAATGCTTTATTCGATGACTTTAAATGAATACAAATAATTTTATGTGGATGATGTAGATTTTTTTCCCCATAGATATTATTCTAAAAAAAAATAGGACAGATTAATATAGGAATCGGATCAACATGAATCAGAATTTTGAAAATATATTAAGTAAAAGTTAATAATCGACGCAGTTTCTTCCGAAAATCTTCCATTTATTCTTTATCTACAATTGTAACACATGATTGTCCTAGAAGTCACCGATCAAAAGGGTTTGCTATATATTTAAGTGTTTATTCTTAATGAGACACGTGTTAACTATTAAATATAAATAACTCCTAAAAATGGTTCAGATTATTAAATATAATATAATTTAAAGAAATAAACCTTAACAATCTTGATCTTATGAATAGGAGAAGTCCTGTAAAATACTACAATTCTTTCAATGCATTCCGCTAATTGTTCGGGCATCAGTCTATCCAATTCAAAACCTGAGAGTAATAAGGAATTATCGTATTGGTTGAAGATAGGGTTGTTTGATAATAAGCCTATTTTAATATACAAATGCATAATTTGTATAAAGATTATAATATCGAAAATATGGTTAAAGGTATAAAAAAATACCATACTTTTCAGTGCACTCTATGACATAGCAATTTTGAAATCATTAACATATTATTTATTACCTATAAGGAATCAGAGATCTTTATAAGCCGGGCCGACCCATAAGCCGGGTATGGGCCTAATTTTTATTTTACTAGCGAGTCTGGGCAGGGTCTGGAGTTTTGATTTTTTTTTAAAATACGCATGGGCCTAAAAAATTTTCAGTTAAATTTAGATATTTTAAAAGAGTTGCTAAGTTAAAAACATATTGCAATTTTTTTTCCTTCTAATAATAAATTTTAATATTGCAAGCAAAATAATTGCCTAAATATACCAAAATATTGTTTATTTTCAATAAATTCGATTTTTTGGATATGGGCTTGGGATAAATTTTTGAACTAATTATGGGCTTGGGAATTTATTTTAATGTTAAATATGGGACTAAATTTTTTTTTATACTGCGGACCTGTAAGACGCATGAAGATATCTGTAAGATTGATCATAATTTAATTTTAAAAAAATATTTAATAAACTTTTAAAGGAAAAAAAAGCTTTTTTAAGGGTTGTTTATAACTGACCATAAACGAACGTAGATTGTTTTCTTTTTCATAAGAAAGAATAATAATTAATGGATAAATAATTTTGCTATTATATGATTGTAGTTATATCAACAAATAAATTCTTAGGTTCCTAAGGCTATAAATACTAATGTTGTTAAACGGTTCGATTTAGTCGATTTTAAATTTTGATCTTAGCCAAAATAATATTATGCAAGCCTCGAGATTTCATTAATAGATGTCCAAACCTTTCTGCTATCTATGAGAAAAATCTCCAGGCTTGCGTAGTATTGTTTTCCTTAAGATTTTAGAAAAACGATAATTTAAATCGATAGGGATAATGGATCTCTTTAAATTTTTTTACAAAATTTAAATTATTGCTTACTAACAATTTATAATGCATGATCTTCTTTTAAAATATTTTTAATGGGTTACGAAAATTATTTTGAATAAATATATTTTAAAAGGTAAGGTAGTGTGCTTAACATATAAATAATAAAATTTCAAACTTTAATTTGCTTGTAAATATAGTAAAATATTATTAGACATTCTATATAAATGTATACATAACCTATATTCCTTGCGACAGAACATGCGGTTTCTTTGGAATCTCCCGTTATCATTTTAACCTATATTGTAATAAAGATTTATGTTTAAAACACCATAATAAATCCACATAATAATCCTTAAATCATTCATTTGATCTTAATTAAGATAAAAAATATTTGGATTCTTAAAATAAGTAATGTAATTTATGATTCTTAATCATCCCATCCATATTTATACTAGGGCTGTGCCGATCCACATATTTTTCACCGATCCGATCCGATATTGCTTCAAAACCGATCCGACACCGACCCGATATTTATACTGATTTTTAATCACCCCCGTTTGAACCAAATATAATTAAGAAATCAATATTTTTTAAGCAAAAAATCGAATTATGAATTTAATTTTTTTATTTCTACAATTAAGACTGTAATAAAAAAAAATATATTTAATAATATATCCATTTTATGTTGGTATGAATTATAAAATTGTAATATTTAATATATTAAATTATAATATATTAAATTTTTTTAAAAATATGAGAGCCTCCCATTTTCTGGGAATAAGCTTCTGCGATATGGGCTATCTATATCTCCTGCCGTACTGAAGGCAGACTCAGATGATTCCGCAAATAACGCATTTTGAAAAATTATCTTTGACTTTTGTAAAATATTTCTATAATTCAGATACCATATTTAAAAAGATTTAAAATAAATAAAACTTTGGGTGTAACTTTCTATTTTTATAAAAAAAAACTTTTAAAATACTATAAATCTATTTTAAAAAAGAAATAAAATTTAAAAAAATTATTTAGAAAATATTATAATACCAAATTAAATCCTATGCAATTCTATGCTGACTAACTTCATAGTGGCTTCGAATGATAAACTTAAAAAAAACCTTGATTCCTATCTTTTGTAGGCTCCCTATAACACGAGGAACATTGCTTTTCACGGGATCCTGTATACCAATATAACCCAAAAATATGTTATTATTAAAACACATATCGTCTTTAATTTCCGATTCGAAGTCAGGATATTTATGAGTGGAGTGACAATTAAAAGCAACACCAAGCACTCTCAAGCCATTTAAAGCCATAGATTGAGATTTTATTGTGAATTTCTGACGGTCGGAGTCTGTCATCGGGCATATTTGGTTTTCATGAAATGCTTAAAAAAATGACAAGTAAAAATAAATTTTTTTTAAAGACGCCAATTAGGAAATGCGATAGTACAATATTTTTCAGGGAAGAGAAAACTCAACTGGGCGTTAAGCGTCCATTTAGAGATCTACAAGGTCAAAACCGTTAAGATTTTTGGAAGGTTTTCAGCCCGGGGTGTTAAGCTTTTTTTATCCGGCAAGTTAAAAGCTTACAAAGGAAATAGTAAATAAATTTTCTTAATTCTGTTATGAAATAAAATATATTTTTATCCGTGGCCCACCCATACCTTAAAATACTCTTCATGAGTTGCTCAGCCCGTTAAGCTTTTGCCCAGCATGATTCATTGTAAAAATTTTTAAAATTTAGTCCAAGTCCTAATTTCTTACCCTTTATAATAATTTTGCAGAAAATAAAAAAAATTTTTATTGCTAATGATAAGATCTTAAAAATAAGATTTTATATTATGCTTTTCGTTAAAGATACGCTTAGATTCAAAAGTCTAATGTCATAACAGTGTGAACCATCTTATTAGAATCTATTGTACTTATTAATAAGAATCCCCTGCTTTGGAAATGCCTCTCTCACATGTGAAAGACAGAGGCTTGTTATGTTTTTTAAATTTAATTATGAATGGTAGTTATATATTCGATATTATGTATCGTATTAATATTATAATGATGATTTTTTTTAAAGCATGTAATTCTACAAAGCTGGAATCCTGGGATGTTCATGAATGGGAATTCATGAAAAGGGACACGTTCTAAGGGTGTTATATCTTATCAATTTACTAAGAATAATTTGACTATTAAAAGATATAGATAAAAATTATTCAAAGATGTCCATATTTATTATTAATAAAGTGCTGTATGTACAAATTTTACCAAAAAAACTGTCTGAAAGAAGATGAGCATCATTAGCACCGTGGTGGGAATTATTGCAACGGTAAAATCGATCGCACTTGGTTAAAATAATCTCGGGGGCACCTTTTAAGGCGATTATTATTATCGGTATGTTTGGGATAGCGTAACTATCTGATTAACAATATTTTGTAATAAAACATGTTACTATTTAAAGGATATTTTTGTGCGATGACCTTTTAAAGTTGGTTTCTTCAAACTATTATTAAAATAGTCCATATATTAATCATCTCTTATATTATGCATTTATACTATAATGATAATGTTTAAAACTTGTAAATATTTACCTTTAACACTGCAAATAACCTGCATATATTTGCGTTCGGAACTGAATGGTATTTCCCGTATCCTTTCATACTTAGCCCTAATGTCGGCCCCATTCAATTTGCTAATCCTTTTAGACAAATCTAAGATGGCGGTCTCAGTTGGGGAAGCGTATGATTCCGAGAAATCGGAACATATGGCGGCGGTCGTGGCTAAATTGCGGGCGGTTTCATCTCGGCTTGTAATATTAGAAAAGTCTTTATTGTCATTTTGTTGTGGTTGGAGGAGTATTTGTCCTTTATCAAGTTCAAATTTCTGATTGCCATAGTTTAGATATGAGTTGTTTGGTGAGTTTGAAGAAGTAAAGGGCGGAATCAAATCTTTTACCTATTTAGTTAAATGCGATAAATAGTTTATATGCCAAACCTATTGGGGCCCTGAAATCAACATGCTTAGATATTAGACTTGCAGGTCCCGGGCCAAAGATTTATAAATCTAGACGGATTAAAAATGTTAAAATTAACTAATCAGTTGAAACCTCAAAATAGCCTTCCAGTAAAATTATCAACTTGGTATTATAATAATTTGATATAATGCAAAAAAACCATAGATTTTATGAATAATAGTTCAGTTAGTCACCTAAAATTATTATCATAATATGAAAGTTTTTTTTAAAGGTTAGAATCATAAAATGTTAATGCCTATGCATATTTCATTACAAAACACTCTTAAAAGAGTTTATTCAAACTTCAAAACAAGGCTCATCTGGCAAATAAATGTCGGTAACAGTCATTCTATTAGTTGTTAGAGTCCCGGTTTTATCGGAGCACAACACATTAACCCTGCCTAGGGTTTCGACAGTAGGCAATTTTTTAACTATGACCTTCTTTTTGGACATCCTTAACACGCCCAGGGCAAGAGTAACCGTAACGACTATAGGCAGACCTTCTGGGATAGCTGCTACTGCTAGGCTAAAAAAATAATATTTAAAATTGAAATATTATTGATATAGGTAATAAGATAGAATGGGAATGAGAAAAATTTAGCAAAAGCTTTTATTTGGTCCTAAAAAATCTCATTGGAGCAAATTGAACATTTTTGGTGCCGTTTAACGCTTAACTTATTAAGGAAATGAGCTGGTGTAATTATTTTTTCATGATAGCAAAAAAAAGTTAAAAAAAAAAATAAAGATAATAAAAAAAGGATCACGTGATCTAGGGAATTTTAAATAAATCGATCAATAAAAGTTGAAAGCAATCACCTTTTTAAACCAATTCTTAATTTTCGTTTGTGATATCTTCGCAATTTATCACCAACATAAATTTTAACTTTTTTTCAAAAATATACGGTAAGATTTTAGCCAAGGAATTTCGAAAAGGGTCATGACATAGAGGTGGTCACTTTAATGGCTTCAGTACTAGTAAGTTAATATATTCTTCCATTTTTGATGGTGGCCTTGAAGCACTATCGAGTAATTTGAAAATGGAAAAAAAATGAAAAGATTAAACCAAAACAACTGGGAAAAAAACGGTAATACTATAATATCCAATTCAATTTATATGATAATTTTCTTCTGGCCTAGAATGGAAATTGGTTTTTTTATTAATACTAGATTACGTTTTTTTATTTATATATAGTATTACATTACCGACTATTTATAAAAGTATTAGTACAGCTATAATATAAAATGAAAATCGAAGCCATCAATGTAAGTGAGAAGAAAAAACAAATAAGCCTATAACTTACAAAATACGGTGGCCTTGCCTTTTAAAAATATTTGGCATGAATAAAGGAAACAAAATACTCTCTTATTTATTTTATTTATCGCATTAAAAAATGGGGAGGAATAAAATTTGTTTAAGCTTTATATAACTCCCATCTCGATTAGATAATTTATTAAAAATTGTTGGAAAGTTAGAAAATATTTAAAGATTACAGTGGCCCCTTCTGAGCGATAGAAGCAGAATACCCCCTAAGAATTCCTCCCCACCCCCTCGAAAAAATGGTTAATAATATATTGACGCCCATAAATTTCAAAAATATTTTAATCCAACTGGATTTTCGGAATGGCGGGGGGGGGGGTTAAGTACTTGAGAACCCTGAGTTAATGGGATAACCATCGTCTAGAAAGAAACTATAAATACCAACTAAAAAAGGTAAATTAATAATTAAAACAAATTAGTGGAAGAGAAAGCGAAAGAATTTATAATTTCATAAATATTTAATTGTTTAAATAACAAAATTTCCATTGATAAAATGGTTAAATTATTAAGAAATAGATTTTTCATGGTAATACGAAGTCTTGTTTTAATTAATTTAATTTTATTAATGACCCTTTCGGCAGTATTGAGATAGTAGGAATGGTCAATAAATATTTATATAAAATTGTTAAAGTAGGGAAAACAGAAAAATTTTAAAGTAGACGATAGGTAAAATAAACGAATAGTTTTTCCGTCTGAATCATAAGTCTCAGAATTATTATTAAAAGAAGAATGCATCAGTAAAAATATTTTAATTAAATAAATTTACAATTCTCAAAATCTGACAAATCTATATATTCTTTAACCTCTAGGTCACGTAATAATTACATCCCCCGTTTTAGCCATCTTATAAATATTTCGAAACTTCAATATTTCTTCAAAAATTTGACTTGAATTTAAATGGTAGAATTCAAATATCCTATCTTTAACGATTAACCTTTCCATCATTCATTTTGGTGTAAAATAATGATCTTTGATTTAAAAATTTCATCAATTCATCATTAAAAATTACTTTGCTAATCGTCTAATTTTGAGATATATTCTTAAAAGCTACCATTTCAAAGCTTATCATTAAAATTAAGCCCAATCTTTTTCTAATGTGGTCTGTCCTTTTATCATCTCTTATAATATATGTGAAATTTATAATTAAACATTTGTATTTTTTGGTTAATATTTTTGAGCATATTTTGAAATTGGAAAAATAATTTTATGACAAGAAATCTCGAACAACCTAATTTGCTAAACATCGACCAAAATTTATTAAAATGTAATAAAAAAACCCCCCACCCCACTTATTATATAATTTAATATTAACGGAATCACGAGGTCGAGTCCGATATCATAAACCAGAAATCAATTGGTTATGGATGAGTGCAGGAAAACAATAAAAGAATTAAATCTTTAAAAATAAAATTTTTTAAAAAAGTACCCCACTCAAATTTTTAGAAACAGTTGCTTCGGACCCCCCCCCTCCCCCCGTTGTAGGCACCACTGAAAGATTATAATAAATTTGGTAAGACAATCTTATAATTGGTTGCTTCATTTTTAAGGGATAGGCGAATATTTGAATAACCTTGAAAGTTCATTTTTGTTTATTGTAGAATAGTGAAGTTCAGGAGTTCGGGTTTCTTATTTAGAATTGGTTCCATGGTTCAGATTAATAGAACTAATCTTACATTTTCTTTATAAGTTTTCAAATAAATATATGCGATATCAAGAAGTTTTCGTTCACTGATATATTATAGACCCTCTTCTTATTACATATTATTTACCATTAACGACGTTAAATTTACAGTATAAGTTTAAACTGTGAAAATATTTAAATGATAAGTTTAAGAAATCCAAATTAATATTTTTATTGTATGTGGGTTTTTATTTTTGTATATTAATAAATTATCTTGACTAGCTTTAATAGTTATAGCAATGCAAATTATTTTATAAAGCACGTGACTTAGTAACTAAGGGAAATATACTATTATGCAAAATGATAAAATCGCTCATGTGTTTTGGGCATATTTTATATTTCCTATATTTACAAATAAATGGAATTTTTCCATTTTATATAATGGTGTTTTATATAGGTATTCAAAACGAAAAAAAATAAGTATGGTCTTTATAAGGACCAATGTTCAGTTTGGTCTTTAGAATTGGTTTCTGGTTCGGATAGATCTTAAACCTGGCGCCAAACCAAATTGGACCGAGACCTTCAGTAATATAGAAATATGAATCAAGTAAAAAATATATTACAATGGCATTACATAAATAAATTGTGCTCACCTTACGCCAATGGTAAACATTTCCAGTAGAGCTCTGCCTCTTATATAGCCAAGTACGATAATGAGTGATATTATTATGATGGAGTAGAAGGATAGCTGTTTGCCGAGCCTATCCATAGAACGCTGCAATGGAGTCTTTGGCACTAGTTCGGCCTTCATGAGTTTGAATATCTCGCCGAATTCAGTTCTTTCCCCCGTTCCTATCACTATTCCCTTAATGGTTATAAAGATTATATACTAATAACTAATTTAAGAAAAGATATTTTAAGGGGCAAACCAATCAATATGACTGGCAGGTTAACAGGTATATGACACTATTTGAAATTTAATTTCTAAGTATAAATCTGCTCAGTGAGGAAAAAATTGATTATATATTAGCCTTTTTACCATGCCTTTCCCGCTCCTAACCAATGTGCCCATAAAACCAATATTTTTCATATGAACGTGGGAAAAATCTGAGGCATGATATTGAGAATCAGCTAAATAGTGTTTATTTAAAAATAATAAAAGCATAAGAAAATTATATAACGAATATAATTATAATACATAAGCGAAAGCGAAATTATATAACGAATATAATTATAATACATAAGCGAAAGCGATTCCATTATTCCAATACTATGATTAATAATAAAATTTTAGAAAAATATTTAATTCTGTATTACAAAATAAAATCGGCTACTAAAACCACTATTAAACCTTCCAATAAAGAAATGCTTAATAAATCTTTTATTCTTTTGCAAAAAGATATTAAACATTTCGTTTATCCATAAATATGAACTTATTAAAATTTAAATCTATAGAATAAAAAAAACAAAACCTTCGCTTTCCACCTCTAGGTGAATGTTCTGATTATTAACCACGTCGCTAATTTTTTTGACGGGGTGAGCCTCTCCAGTGAAACCGCTCTCGTCGACTCTTAGATCTCTGACTTTGACAAGTCGAAGATCGGCCGGGATTCGATCTCCGGCCATGAGCATCACAAGGTCGCCTGGGACTAACTCCCGAGCGGGTATTCTGAGCGTTATAACTTCCGGACCTTTTTCAAAAATAAATGAAATAATAGGGCTAATAAACATATTATGAGCTTAATTACCGAGTTTTATGTTTAACATACAAGGAGGATAAGAATACAGTTAGGGTCAGTGGCGTAGCCACGGGAATGGGGTTTGCACTCACCCATCCCGCAAATCAACAAATACCAATTATACTTTAAAAAGGTTCAAAATAATTTTTAACATTCAAATAAATACCTTAGCAAATAAGATTTTTAATAAAAATTTAGTTATTGTGATTCTGAACATGGATTAAATTTTATTAAGAACTCTCTTTAATATTTATTGCCTTTAACCCATCTCTCAAACCTTTAATTAACCCCCCATCTTAATCCTACATGTTTATATGTATTTCATCGAATTAAAAAATTTACCTGAGTTATCATTAAATGTCATACATTTATAAACATTTAATATACTATCAGAATTTTGTAGCTTTAAGTTTAATTTCTTAGAAAAGGGTATATATTTAAATTTAAAATAGGAACTAAGTAATGTAATATACTTTTGAGTAATTCAAATTTCTTTCATCGATATTAATATTAAATGCTACATAAAGTAATACAATATTATATAGTTATATATTTATCATAAAAGAATGCATATGATAAGATTTTTGTAACATTTTTGTTTATTTATAATCAAAATTTATTTTATTGTAATTATTGAAATATATTTTTAAATGCTGCAATTTTTCAAAAATAATAATGACTTTATGAAATATATTAAACATTTACTTTCATTTCATTCCCTATTATATCCTAAATAACTTAAGCTATATGTTTTTATAAACAATGATTTTTCAAAGTATATTTATCTTTGTCATTTGCAATACATAAACTTGAGTCTATATAATCTCAACTCAATTTATACTTATAAATTCTTAAGAAATTTTGTATTAGAAATCTGTTTTTAAGTATTCTTCTGTTTTCAAAGTAGTTAAGAAGCTTGTCATATTTTTTTTTCTAAAATATAACAACTATATTCCTATAATATATATGGCAATATATCTTAATATAGATCCTGCTTGATAATCAACTTTTAAAAGGATAGAATCCTATCACAACCTTTCTTTAAAAAAGGGATCGAAATCCAGGATCGACCTTATTTAAAAAAAGGATAAATTTCTTTTTTTTTTATTCTCTATGCAAAATTACTCAATATAAAAATAAATTAAATATAGTGTAAATCTTTTGTAATAGAATAATATAACAATATTAATATCAAAATTAGCTTTTAAATCTAAATTATTATAATTCAAATATCCACGTCTTTCACTAAAAACATCTACACAGGAGCACTGATCCTGCTTATGAAAAAGAGGACATCTTTTTTTTTTAATAATGCATTATGAATTTAAAAATAATTGATTTTAAGCTGTCATTTAATAAATTGCATTTATATATAAATACATTAAATAAATAAAATCGAATTAAATTAATAAATCTCGTGAAAATTTTTTTATTCTATATTTTTCTTAATGTATTGGCCCTTTTTCTTTAATTTTTTTAAAAATCTAGACAAAACAATTTATGATAGTAGTGCGTGCACTTAATTGCTTTTATAGATTTAAATTCCACTTTCATTTGTCCATTGATGATTAAGAAAATGTTCTTTTAATGTTAACATTGAGATTGTAAAGGGTATTTGAATATTGTTATAATTAGCAGTTCACTATGTTCAAGTATTTAAATATCATAGAAGCATTTGACACATTTTTGGTATAGTGAAAATTTTGTATATTCCCGCACCTCATTTTATTTGTAATAAATATTAAGGTTGCAAAATAGGTAAAACAACTTTGGTGCATTGAAAGAAACATTTATATTTTTCAAAAAATCTTTTCTAAATCTGACTAGCTGGCATTTTTATTTCCATCCATTGAAAACATTCCAATTCTTATTGAGGTTCTGACATAAGATTTATTAGAGACAATTTCTATATATACATCTTTCATTGCATTTACTAATATTTTTTGTCCATTTTTATTATTTGCTAAAATAATATTTTTACTTTTAATGAAAAATGTTTCATTTTATCTTCTGGTTAACAAATATTTTAAATGGTTTAACATTTCAATAACTGAATTATTTTATTCCTCAATTGATTTAATTTTTTAATCACACATATACATCAAGAATGGGCAGATATGAGTCTAATCATTTCAAAAGCCTTCTGATAATATTTGTAATGTTAATTAAAAGAAGGTACGATTTTAACTTTCATACATTTATAAAAATCATTGGAAGGAAATAAAAAAGCCATCGTATTTTTATTATAAGTTGTTTATAATCAGGTTCAACGAATTCAGAAAAGTATATGACGAGAAAACATTTTTAAAAAATTCATTGAAAATAATAACATGATTTAAAAATATAAACAAACTAGGATGTAGTACCGATACCGCATCTTAAGCCAATCCGATATCATATATGATTTTGCATTCTGCAAACATACCAATCGTTAATCTGTAAAGCATATATCTAGTGTTGCAATCAAAAGTATAAATCTTCATAAAATATATTACGGTTGTTATTATAATTTTTGTCCAATGGGCTATGTTAAAACTAATATAATTATCAAATTCGCAACACTAGATGTATGCTTTAAAAATTAAAAACGATTAGTATGTTTATAGAATACAAAATCAGATATGATAGCGGATCGGTAACCAGATATCAATTTAATACGGAAAACGATCACCTCTTGATTACGGAGATTATATATTAGATATAAAAAATAATAAATTATATATATTTTATTGATAATAAAATTATATTTTAAAAAAATATAAGGCATACAAAAAAGTTGACGTAAATCAAAATATATATTCTGAGCATATATAAATTATCAAGTGGTACAAAATTTTCATATACTCAAATTCACTGCTCCGGGAGATTCGGGTCACAAGCTTGGATAGAATATCGATTTGTTGTTGTAACAAATAAAGACTTTATAAATATCAGAGACCTCTATGATTATAAAAATCTGGGTCAGGCTTAAATATAAAAATCTGGGTCAGAACCCTGGGCTGAGGCAAATTTTCTCAAATAAATTTATAATTATAGAAATTACCATTCCTTCGCCTCTAATATTCCAAATTTTCCTTTAAGAAACCACACAAAATTATTTAAAACCCATTTTAAAAGACCCGGATCGGGCGGTAAAATAATTAAAATTTTAAAAACATGGGCCAAGTTGGGCCTAAAAAACTTTTCATTCCTGAACAGGGCTAGGTCCAGAAAGTTGAAAAGGCAGGTCTGATAAATATGTAAGGCGGTTAACTATTAACTTCCGTGTTTAAAAATATAATCTATAATTTAATCATATTTTTTTATTACATTTCAAAATTAAAAAATAAATTCCACTTAGAAACTATCTTTTAAGTCATATTTGATTATGATTAAGAATTATTTATATAATAAAATTATATTGCATAAAAAGAATTAAGGCATGCGTGGGTTTTAATTCAATTATAACATGACGTCACTTAAGTGGTATGCGCCATTTTTAAAATTTTGGAGTTAACATAACAGTATTAAATCGATAAACAAATACTAGGCATTTAAGAGTTGTTGTTTTGATATTAAAAAAAATATAGGCTAAAAAATTATAACTTCTGTAATTCAACTAATTGTCTATCCATAGCTTAATCTGAAACTTGCAAGATGCGAACTAGTCATGGGTTCGCATCCAGTTTATCTAAAAGAAATGTTAACCCTTGCATCGTCAGACAGACTAAATTAGTATTTTACAACCAAAATGCTATTAAAATTTTGTGAACCACAACACCAAGTGGCACAGCAATGAGATAACAGTCATTTATTTGGAAGGGTAATAATTTTTTTATATGTAAAAAAAAATCGATAATAAAACTTTAATAAAAAAATTTGAGAAGGAGTATAACTTTTAATATAGTTTAAAAAAAAATTTCATATAATCGGACGATATTTTTTAAATTTGCCGTTCCGATATTATCAAGAAAGCGGATATCTATTATTTATTAATTATTAAAATGTTTATTAAATCTAGTAATATAAATTTATTTATTAAATGGAATAGTCGATTTTGTTTTAGAAGGCAAGTACAGGAAAGGTATGGCACTATTGCGAAATCTTGTATTTAAAATACTAAATATAAATACTTTTTTGTATTTATTATGATTTAAAATTACAAATATTTTTAATTTTTTTTAAAATTAGATTATAAATTAAATTATAAAATCCACAAACATAATTTATTTATTTTAAATATTAATATGAGTTAGGGAGAAAAAAGTCGAGATTTTATCTATTTCATCCTATTTTATTAAAATGAGCGACGTTCATGCTGAAAAAGAAACTGAAGAAATAAAATTTTTTTGAAGATGATATTAGATTTCAGTTCTGTCGAGTATTTTTTTTAAATATAATATTATATTTATAAGATATTTTAAGCAGTGTCTGAAGAGCTGAAAATTTGTTTTTAAATATAATATTATATTTATAAGATATTTTAAGCAGTGTCTGAAGAGCTGAAAATTTGCTAAAAGTCGATATTTTTTATTATCTAATCGATGCAGCCTCTATTATTTTGAAAAATCGGTTAGATCGTAGTCTTAAAATAAGGTCCTAATAAAATAATTATCGATGAAAGCGGGTGATTTAAGATAAACATGTATGCAGGACTTTAATTTGTTTTCTAAGTAATGTATATTTTATCGACATATTTAAGGTCAATTCTATTCTCTATAGTAGATATTTTCCTTATAATATTATTATTTAAAAAATTGGATCAATTGATTTGATTCATCGACCAATACCTACTTGATATTGGTTGGATAGGCATATAACATTCTGTTACAAGTACACCTGTACTTAAAACAGTGATTGCAATTTTTATAAAATTGTGTCTAACAAAATTTATTTAAAGCCAATTGTGAATGTGGCGAAAAATAACGGTAAAATTTCGCAATAAATATATATTTAGTTTCAGACACTTGTGGATCATTTGTACCCCAAGCCCTAAAATTATTTAAAACAATAGGGCAAAGGTTACGTTTAATCATAGGTGATCAAAAAGAGGGTTTCTACTACAAAGAATATTGATAAAAATTGCCTATCCAATTATGGGTCATTAAGTCCGGCCGACTTCATCTAAATATTTATTTTTTAAATGATTTTCTTTTTAAATAATTTTTATAGAGATGGTATGTTATATTTTTAATATTTTTTTTATAAACAAAAACTTACCTTATTGTAATCTTTTTAATATTGAATATGAAAAAGATTTTAAAAACAAATAAAAATATTTAATTTGAATTTAAAATAAAAGAGACGCTTATAAATATTTAATAACATTTTTCTGACTTGTATCGATATTTAAATATTTATAAGCTTATTTCAAAAAAAGTTTTTAAAGTATAATCCAGGTTTATCCTATCTCATTAACATTCATAATATTATTTTATAGTGAAGCCTCTAAAAGTGATCCCCTCTACATAATAACTTTCCCAATATCTAGACCTTGTTAGAATCCACCCCCAAAATCATACTAAAATATTCTATATATTATCATTTCTCTATGTTGACTAAAAGCCGTCCTTGGATATTCACTTTTAAAAGGTTTCATTGTATTTCGTCTTATTTTCTTAATTTTAAATCTGCTTTCTAAATCTCATCCCGTCTTCTTGAATAAATTATATTATTTAGCTCATTTCCTCTCTTAAGATTATCGAACAAAAAAATGCCTATAGGCAATGGCAAAACTGAAGAATATTATTTATTAACTTAGATCACCATTTTAAAATTTTTATAAAAATAATCCTCTCAAATTTTTATAGATCCGATATTTTCAGATATTCATATAAAACCGATTTGAAATTTAGATTTTTAATTTCCCATCAGCCTTGAAGTTGAGCCCATTTTTAAAAAATCAACATTTATACAAAAAATATAACTTGAAATTTTCCGTTATTTTTAGCCAAGTCGATATATGGTGCATTATCAAAAATGATTAAATATATTTTGCCTTTTTTTATTCCCCAGCCAAAAGTTGACTCTTAAATATTTTTAAACCATTTCTTTGTTGCATATTATTATATAACAAAAAATGATATCACATTTTTACCTATTATATCTTTTAAAATAAAAAGAATTTCTTTTAAACATAACAAATAAATTGAATTTAGGTTCCTTTTATTCATTTTTGTTATTATTAGGAAATTCAACTTATATAAAAATAAAAAATATTAATGATAATATCGGATAGAACTTTTTTGAAAATATTAGCGCACCCAATATTTAATATCGACAGACAGGTTTCTATTTATTTAAAATCTTTTTACTAATTTCATAACATTGAATATTTTATAAGTTTAATTAAATACATTTAAAATAAATAAATAAAGAGCTAAACCAGCCATTAAAATAATATTTAAACATCGGAAGGGCAGGTTAAAAATTTAAAACAACGCGTGGGCGGACTTGGCTGTTATAACTCTCCCATTGAAGACCTCTAATTTGCACAGTACTATCTCAAATATATAATGATAATCGCAAATTGATAAAAGTAATTATATACAATAATTGTAAAGGCTTAATTATTTTTTTTAAATAAATACTTTAATTAAAAAAATTTCAGAAAAAGTCTTTTCTAAAAATAATAATATTCTAAAGAATATTATTCAAAATAGAGAGTTTAACCGGGCCAAGATAAAGGAGAGGCATAGATCTGCCATAAATAAATTATTACCATTCTCAGTTGAAGGAAAGGTAGATGAATGAACTTTTGTGTAAGATCTCAAGCAAGTGCAGTAGTCAGGCAATAGCTTTGACAATTCCTCCAGGGATTTTTCTGACCTGTACTCTTGAACGAAAGCCACCGTGCTGACTATGATAACGGCGAGGGCTATGGAGACTGCGTCGTCGAACTGGGACATGCACACGCTAACTAGTGCCGAACACAGCAGGAGCAAGATTAAGGGGTTCTTGAACTAGAGAAAAAGAAAATGTTAAAATAAGATGACTTGTTTAGTAGTGGTAAATAAAAATATCATTGGTAAGCACAAGAAAAACGGAAATCAAGTAATGCTTATTCTACTTATTTCTATCTCTAATTCTTTCAAACTAACGTAATAAAGTTAGTAAGAAAAATTATAACCCAAAAAGGTTTTTTAAAATTCCAACGGAGAATATTAGAAAACAATTTTTTATTTATTTTTAAATATACAATACCTGCTCCAAAAATTTTTTCCACAAAGGTTCGGGATCCCCTACGAAAAATTCGTTGTACCCTTGGCTTTTTTTCCTAATTTCGGCTTCGATGACAGTCAACCCCCTGTCCAAATCGGCGTCCAAGGCCGTTGCCACCTGCGAAACACTCATATTGCTAGCCTTTTTGGCGTTCATGTGACGCCACATACTCGGTTCTTTGTTGGTGGGGTTGGTTTGAAACTTGAAATGATTATCTTCCGAATAGTCGGCCGAGTTTTTAACCAGTAAGGATGAAGGTTCTTTGATGTCTCGTTCGATAGATTTGTAGGTTTGGACGTCATCCATCTATGGTTAACGGAGTATAGTGGTGGACCGAATTAAAACTTTGTAGCGTAAAGACGGACAGATTGTTTAGAAAGTTCTGAATGTCAAATTTAAAAAATTCATATAGGTAAATTTTTTTTAAAAGCTTAAATTAGTTTTAAAAAATATATATATTTCTAATAACCATTACAATATTTTATATGTTTTATACAATTTGTTGCTTTTTTAAAAAGTATAGTGTAAAACAAATAAATCGATAATATTTTATTACTTTATTTTATAAAGGGTAAATATTATTATGTGTATATATATTATTTTTAAATTAAAAATTGAGAGCCATCAAATTAAAATTGATTTTAATATAAATAAAAAATTTTACAGGCAATGTTTTACCTATCCATACAAGGTAAAATCATTATAATCTATTGTTGTAAACGACCGCGTTCAAAATTCGTTTGAAAAAAACATGATTTGAAAAGAATTTTGAACCTAAACGTATTCATTTTTTTCTGGACACGCGCTAGTTATTTGCGTTCATTCCATTTTTTAAAATTAAATAGATTTTATTTCCTTACTCAGTTGTTTCCTTCAAAATAATTTCATGGAATCCTTTTCTCTATATAATATGGTTTATAATTTATTATGTTTAAGTTTATAAATTATTTTATAGATAGATCAATGATGTATATATACTACTAGATTGGCGATTCGTCAATTAAGTGTCCATGCATAAAAGAACGCCATTTTGTGGTTGCATGTCGACTAATTGTCTTTATTTATTATTATATGAATGCACATTAATGTTTAATCGACTTGCGAAACAGAAAATGGCGCTACAGTTGGTTTCTATGCATGGACATTTTTAAATGCATTTAATGAATGAATCGCTAATCAAGTAGTATATACTACAACATAAAGATATGTTATATCCTGATAATTCGGACTAAAATTCATGACAAAAACCATTCGCAGCCTTTGCTCTTCCTGTCATAAACCCTCCTCTTTATTTGAAAATGGTAAAATGTGGACTCATGGCCTTCCTTCCAATAGATGTTCCTTGTTAAAAACTTTTCTCTTACCCTCAAATATCTGCATATCCCACTCCAATATTGGCAATACAATTAGGCACGAATGGAAAAAAAATATAATATAACAGCGATAATTAAAGTTGAATGAGCGAAGGCAAAATATAAAAGAGCGATAATTGGTACTGAGAAAAAAACGAATTCATAGTATATCCAATAAGAATAGAATGAATTGAAATGAAAAAAATAGCCCATGAATAATTATATATATATCAATGAAATACCTCATTACCAAAATAAAAATCGAACGCTTAACATGATATTATATATTATCATTTAATTAAATGATTATTTAAAAAAATATATTTTTAGATATGAATTGAACGAACGCGAATGAACAACGAGCGAGCTAAAGGTCTGCAACGGAAGAGAAAAGATTTTAATCAATGGGCAGGTGAGGTAAAATAAATTTAAAACAATGGGCGGGTGTGAAATATTTTTTGAACGAAATGAGGTAACTAGTAGTGTTGTTAAATGGCTCGTTTTGAGCCGATTTTTAAAAACGGCTAACTCAATATTTCGTCAAGAAAAATATTACTCAAGTCTCAGGATTTTGCTCATAGAAGGAACAAAGGTCTAGGCATATATTATCAAAATATCGAGGCTTAGGCAATATTTTTCTGGTTAAATATTGAGTTAGCGGTTTTAAAAAATCGGCTCAAAATGAGCCGTTTACAACACTACTAACTAGTCTATTTATTAAAAATTATTTTTTTTATTTCATAATATTGCATATTTTAAAATAAAATTTAAACTTGGAGCTGACAAGTTAAGCAATATCTTTAGAAAATGGGCGAGCGTGAATTTTAAAAAAAACCACGAGCGACTGGGTTAAAAAATTTTAAACAATGGGCGGGCGAGTGTCCCGGTTAAAACCCGCCCATTGCAGACCTATACAACGAGCATGAACTAATTTTTTTTGAAAAATGTAAAATTATTATAATCTACTTTATTTTTGAACAAAATAAAATCGAATAAGAGTGAACAAAGGTAATCATTTTTTATTGATTAAAGAAAAAAACATTTAATAAGACTTTTGCATGGAGGTGGAGTTATTATCATGAAAATGTGCTTACCTTTACCTTAGCAGGTTCTATCGTTATATAAACTTATAATTCAAACAAGGAAGTTTGAACAAATCAATATAATATTAAAAAAACTGTAGTATCATTTAAGGATTATTTTTAATTTCTGAAAAAATAACAAATCTAAAAATAATTATAGGAGTGATTAAGAAAACATGTAATTTATCAAATCGTAAAATAAATTATTATGCCGTAAGCTAAACATACTCTATAATTGAATTTCATGCGCAATTTTAATCAAGAACTAACCATTCAAATAAATGTTATAAAATGAAAATAGTGTTGTTAAATGGTTCAATTTAACAGATTTAAATTACGATTTTAGCAATATTACGCAAGATTTGAAATTTCGTCAATAATGTGATAACTTTTCTACCAGGAAGATCAAAATTTCTAGGCTTGCAAAATATATTTTGGCTAAAATATTGGGTTGGCTGTAAAATGAGCTGTTTAATATATGTAAAATTATAAGACTGTCCAAAACAAAAAAAAACATTTGATAACTTTCAAAACTTATATGAAAAATAATAAGTAAGCTTTTTTAAAAAGTGTACAGTAGTGCCCTAGACTTATTACTAAATAATGATTGTACATATCAATATAGAATATGAGGCAAATTATATTTTAGATGAGCAAGCATGAAAATCCACCGTAGAGTATAGCCAGTTTTTTTATTGCAAATTTTATGTCTCATAGATTTATATTCAAAATAATTCATTTATTTGAGATCTCTTGTGAATCAGCATAGGCTGCTAGAGCATAGATATCAGCGGTAAAGATTCCATGAAAATTATTTTCTACTTTAAGTTATAAAAAAATGAGTCATTGAGAGTAAATAAATTGAAAGTATTAGTTATTATAAACAAAAATTTATTAAATTATGATAAAGCAGACGATAACATTTATAATGCGAACTAGAATTATACATTAATATTTAGCAATGATTGATTTTTATTTTGGTATCTTTTAACCTTATGAACTAGACTGATCTGGTATGACTATTAAGTTGATGTTATGTTTAAAAAATTTTTTTCAATGTACAATTTAAAAATAAGATAAATCAAATTTAAGTATTATTAAGAAAACATTTCAGCAAAAAAATAATTGGAATGGACATGTCACGTCGGTAAAGCGTCTTAGTGACTCTTTCCCATCCCAACCAATAGAGCATCTAGGTGAAAATATAATACTTATTTGTAGGGCTGTGCCGATATTAAATATCGGATCGGTCCCGATATTTGGCGTTTTTCAAAAATATCGGATCGGCCCGATACCTGTAAAAAACCCGATCCGATCCGATCCTTTTTCTAAAAATGCAATTCTTATAAAACTTTTGAGTAATGAAACTTTGAATTATTATTTTTTAATAAAAAAATTTTTTTTTAAATATTTTAAAAAAAAATAAATTTTTTCGAGTTTCTATTTTACATTAATAATATTTTATAAATAATTTTTTTTTAAACAATGCAAATGTTATTTATTTTTTTAAATAGATTTTACAAGTTTTTTTATAAAAATAGAAAGGAACACCCAAAGTTTTATTTATTTTTAATTTTTTAAAAAAATAACACCAATTTTATTATTTATACTTTAAATAAAAATTATTTTAAATATGGTTTCTGAATTATGGAAATATTTTGATAAAGATGAAGGTAATTTTGCAAAATGCGTCATCTGCGGAATTCTAATTTCACCTAGAGGAATACTGAAAAATTCGTTCAATACAACTAACATTAGGAAACATCTGAAGCGTTGCCATCAAAAGGAATTCGAAGAGCTAACACAAAAAGAGCGAGAAATATTAGAAAAAACAAATCAAATTTAAAAAAAAAAGAGCCCTGAAAGTCAGCCAACAATATCAGCCATTCTTAATAAAACTAATATTTGGAAACATTCTGATCCTAAATCAATAATAATTTCTAAATTTATAGGGGAAATGATAGCGTGTGACCACCAGCCGATTTCTATCTTGGAGGATATAGGCTTTAAAAGGCTTTTACATCATTTATGTCCAAATTACAAAATTCCCAATAGAAAGTATTTTTCGCAAGGAGTTATTCCGGATATATATGAAAAACTCTCCGAAAAAATTCGTAAAGAAATTTTGGTTGACGATTCTTTTTTATCCTTTACGGTAGATATATGGACTAGAAATTCAGGTGGCGATTCTCACATCTCATTAACATGCCACTATATGAACCAAAATTTTCAACAAATTAATAGAGTTCTAAATGTTAAAACATTTAATGAGTCGCATACAGCAATAAATATTGCTCAAATTTTAGATGAAATTATTATTTATTGGGGTATAAAGAAAAATAAAATACACCTAATCATTAGAGATAATGCACCCAATATAACTTTGGCCATGAAAAATGGGAAATTTCAAAGCGTTTCGTGTTTTGCACATAGTTTGCAATTGGTTGCACAGGCAGCAATTTTATCACAGAGATCTATTATTGACATGCTTGCCCGGGTTAGAAAAATAGTAGGACACTTTAAACATTCTTCTATTGCACAAAATTGTCAAGAAATACAAATTCGATTAAGTCTAGCCCAGCACAAATTAATCCAGGATGTGCCCACCCGTTGGGATTCTACCTATTATATGCTCGAAAGATTGATAGAACAAAAAAGGGCGGTACAGCTGTTCATTATCGATAATCCTAATTTGGGAAATCTCTCATTATATGAGTGGGAATTAGCAGAAAGGGTAATTGATGTTCTTGAACCAATTCAGAGAGTAACAAAAGAAATAAGTACGGAATCATGTTCAATTAGCAATGTTATACCCTTTGTTGAAATTCTGAAAAGTGAATTAACAATTAATGGGGACACAGATAGAGGTGTGCAGACTATGAAGAATACCACTAATAATCAATTAACAACTCGGTTTTTTGATATTTATGATGATGACAATTATGTTGTCGCAACATTACTTGATCCTCGATATAAGGATTTCTTTTTGCCAAAAAACATATCATACATAGAAAAGCTCAGGACTGCATGTGAGTCTTTTTTTAAAGGTGATGATAATGTTCAACTTCCAATTTCTAATAAAGATTCGCCAGGTTTTATATTTTTTAAAATAAATTTAGATTTTATTGTTAACTTAGGTAATGACAATGAGAAAAATGTTCCACATAACATTAAAAAATGCAAATTTAATTTAAGGGATGCTTATAAATTGAAAATCAAAGAAAAACTAGTAATAAATGAAATCGATAGTAATGTAAATGATGAACTGCCATACCTAATAGAAATCAAGGAATATTTAAAAGAATCTTTATATATAGAAAGTATAACAACATATTTTTCATATTAATTTAAATATTGCTTGGTTGGGCTATGATTGACCCATTTTCTAAAAAATTCTAATTTTTAAATTTCAAATAATGTGCTCAAAAAATGATTTAAAGTTAAAAATAAAACATTGCTGGAAAAAACACATGAGGCTAACATTGATATAAATATTAAAATGTCTGAAATAAAAAAATTTAAGTATTTAATTTAATAAGTACAAAAGCAAACTTTATAAGAATATTATATTTAAATCTATAACAATTCATTATTGACATGTAAATATTTAAAAATACTCTCCCTTTTCCCATTATGCTGGAAAAAAAAATCAATAAAACTATAACCTTAGCTGATAATTATAAATAAAAAAGTGTAAATTTAAAAAAAAAACTCTATAGTAGAGTATAAAAAGTAGCAAATCAAACTTTTTGGGAATCTTTAGGTGTGTTACATTTTTTTTTAAAAAAATAGAGGTAGCAGTAGTGTGCTACTGCAAAGTAGTGATAGTGTAGTGGTAGCACATTAATTTTAAAAGTTTTATTTAACAACTTTGATTGATATCCAAACTGATACTTACACTATATTGACCAATACCATTGATATCCAAAATAATAAGGTAGTATATTTATATTTATTGAAAATCTATAACTACTCATCAATAATATTATTTTTTATTTATTTATCCTTTTCATAAAATTAAATTTAAAAAAATAAAGATTGGCAACACCTTCTTACTTGTTGGTTTATAAAATTTTTTTAAAATTATTAAGGTTAATTAATATTTTTTAGCTTTGGTCAAGTATTACATCAGTATACACCTCTATTATTCATGTTCATAAATAAATTGAGTCTTTTATATAAATTTTAGGTAGTAAAAAAATACAAACTTATAAAAAAAAATGCAAAATAATTATCACGTTTAAAAAAATAATTAATTTTAATTTCAAAAGGAAAAGATGCCAGAATATAAAGGAAGGGGATGCCAGAAATTTAAATTAGTGATACACAATATTCCATGTTTAAAATAAATGCAATAAATTAAGTAGACATTCCAACATGTTTAGCTTAATGCAATATATTTCATGTCAATATGTTAATAATCGGCCAATATTATCTATCAACATTCAAAAAAAATTGATAAAATGTTATATTAAAACATTTATAGTAAATATCAGTAATTTATAAAACCTTAAATATGTTATCTTTTATCTTAAAATATTTCTTTAATTTATATAAAATATGGTAAACTTCAAAAAGCAATGAATATTAAAATTATAATAGCAATTTAATAATAAATAAAACATTTGAACAAATATTAAATATAACACAGAAGCAATATTTACTTTAACGAATTTGTTTTTACGCATATTAGTTATTATTAATTTGCTGGAAATATTTGGCGTCAATTTACCTGACATTGACATCTGACATAATATATTCTAATCATATAATTTACCAAAAATTTCAAGTATAAAAATTAATACACAAAAGTATTCTCTACTATGCTATGCATGTTACATTGAAACACTTAAACATTGATAACTTAATGCATTATACAATTCACTAAGTTTGTTATAATGTACAAATCAGTCGTAGCAAGAGGGGGATGAGGGGAGGGGCATAGAGAAATCCCCCTATCTACACTCGTGAATATTATTTTAATATTAAGCCAATGTTGCCCCTCACATGTCCCACAACCCCTCTCTTTAATAATGTAGAAAGATAAACAAGGAAAATTTAATAATTTTTTAAACAATTGACTATTATGCAAAATTTTTAGAAAAAAAATTTAAAACCCAATATTATTTAAAAAAATATAGCATATTTAACAGTCCTAGTCCTACAATAAATGGATTTAAAACTCCAATAAAATTTATATAAAAAAGTAACTAAGTAATCCCATTGGTAGTACCCCCCCCTCTATAAAAAAATCCTAGATATGCCTATTATGTAAATTAGCTCACTGGATGTAAATTTTCTAATTCTCTATATAGTTTGCGATGCCTATTATTCTAAAGGAAAAATATATTTGAAATGATAAAGAATTTTTGGATATGAATAATTTTTTGAAGGCAGTTTAACATCACGAAGAATCAACCCCTCATTTGCATTCAATGATTCAATTAAAATAATTTGCAAAAATTGAATTAAAAATATGCTATATTCGATGCAAACCAATTCCGCTTATTTACAAATTTTAATTTTCGTGTGGTGTGACTAATAAAAAAAATAATTAAAACCCAATATTCAAAAGGAAAGAGATACTTATAAATTAAAAGAAATAAATTATATAATAAAATTTGAAACATTTGTGATTATAGAAAATAAGGAAATAAACTTTAAAGAAAATAAGGAAATAATCATTAAAGAAAATAATGAAATAAAAACTTGTATAATTGATAAAAAATTAAATAAAACTGTGAAATATAAAACAATTAAAAAAGTTTTTAAGAATATGATATGGAAATCATATATTAGATATGGAAGGCGAAATAAAATTCTTTTTAGAAAGAACAAATTAAAGATAATTTATTAATATTAAATTTTTATTATTTTTATTTTAAATTTTACTCCCTTGTTTTTCAATATAAACAACTTTTTAATATCATAAATTATCTTTAATTTGTTCTTTCTAAAAAGAATTTTATTTCGCCTTCCATATCTAATATATGATTTCCATATCATATTCTTAAAAACTTTTTTAATTGTTTTACATTTCACAGTTTTATTTTTTTATCAATTATACAAGTTTTTATTTCATTATTTTCTTTAATGATTATTTCCTTATTTTCTTTTAAGTTTATTTCCTTATTTTCTATAATCACAAATGTTTCAAATTTTATTATATAATTTATTTATTTTAATTTATAAGTATCTCTTTCCTTTTGAATATTGGGTTTTAATTTTTTGATACTAAAAGATTTACAATTATAATGAAAATTTCTTTTATAATAATGTGTTTCCTTATCTAATGTGTTTCTATTTTTATAATAATTCTCATTATTAGATTTACTAAAATTTTTATTAGAACAATTTTCTTTTATTTCTGTAGCCGATTTATAATTACATAAACACTTTAATGTATATAATGTTTCATCATAACTTGAATTTAACTCTCTTGGAAACACTGCTTTCATGACTAAATATAATTCATCTGGTAAATTACCTATTAAGCTTAGAGTATTCTTACTATCATGAAATTTTAAATAATCTTCTAACTTGTCAATGGACTTTGTTTTATTATTATTGTCCCATATAGGTTTATTCATAATTTAGAGATTTATCATTAAAAATTTTTAATTATCCTCACTCTTTCAAATAAATCATTTCTTACGTGTTTTTAGAATGATATAAATATTACATTCCAGAACTTTTTTTATCTAGTTGTCTAAGTTCCAGTAGCTAAAATCATATTGTCTGTGGCATTATAGCCCAATTTTATTTAGTTCGTCTAATTTGATATATACCTCATCTGGTAGTCTTCTCGTAAAGGAACCTGCTTTTTCAATGTCCGAGATCTGAGTGTCCTTGAAGATGTCTTCGAATCTACTCAAAAAAAGATCTCCATTGCCTGAGTATATTGGAAATTCAATTTTTATATTAACGTTTTTATTGGGAAACTGTTTAATATTTATTTACGATTTCCTCGAATATGTAGGAACTGCCACCATAAAGTTTTCTAAAATAGATGATTGGTACGAGATTATTTATTTTATTTTATTTTAAATTAATAATTTAATTTTATATAATATATTTTAAAATTTTACATTTTTCTATCAAACTAAAAAATCAGGTTTATATAACAATTTTAATATTAATATATAAAAATTTATATAAAAAAAATCAATCTACACAATTTATAAAAAAATCAATTTATATCATCATAAAAAAAAAGGTTAGTATTAATCGGTCATATCAACAGTCACTAATGTTTATTATATGGAAATCGATAATAAATTTATAAAATCAGTGCATTTCGAAGGTATAGTGTTTATAACACAATCATACTACTTTCTCTATTTGCGTAATTCATAATCATATAAATTAACAATTATACATTATTAAATCCATATAAGAGTCAGCCATTACCAGATAATTCGTTCATCCCCATTGGCTATATGATTCTTTCAAAATCCTAGTAGGCCACTCAATACATTTTTTTAAACTCATACAACTTACCGCTGGGAGAGGGGGAAACTAAAGATCTGAATCCGCCCGAAGTGGCAAGCGGGCGAGCGGGTTAAATTTTTTTAAAGAACGGGCGAGCGGTTGGGCCGGTTTATTTAAACTAATAGCGGGAATGGGGGTGAGTTAAAAAATTTACCTTTTATTTATTATTTAAAATCATTTATGTAAATTTTTTAAAAAAATGCTGCATGAAATTTCAACATATTTCAATCGATATCTGAGGATGTGTTGATGTCGAAAACATGTAGCTTGGATCCACATGGATGAAAATCTGATTTTGCCCTTTTCTCCAAAAGTAAAGAGAATTCAATTAAAGGTATTAAATTATAAATGCAAGTTTGAAATATATAGTATCCATGTCAAAATTAAACAACATCAAATGGGAATTGACTGTTACAGAAGAGAGCACCTTAAATGACATAACAAAATATTTACATCTTAAAGTAGCGATTTTTGTATAATTTAGAAAGATTTTAGACCACTTAGTTAAGTATAAGTTTACCATTCATAAACAATTAATTTAAATTACTTTTTTAAATTTATTATTAATGGTTTCACTTTTTATTTAAATATCTCATTTAAGTAGAGGATATGCTATAAACGGACACAAGAAAAAGATCCAAGCTATCAAGATTAATCAGTGCTTCTTCTGAAAGAGGAATTAACATTGCTGGAAGATTTATTATACATAAAAAGAACTTATGTGAATCCAGAAAATGTGGATTCATTATTATTATGGCATTATAATTATAAATAATATCAATATTAATTTTATATTTTTTACATAAATATTTTATTATATCAAATAAATTTCTTATCCGTAATTTAAATTGAATAATTTATTTTTGCTTAATATAACAATTTCCTAATTTATATAACTTTCTTTGTAGGGATGTAACGCTGAAATTGAAACTTTTTTTAAAATTATAAAAAAATTGAAAGAATGAGCTTATTTAAATATTATGGGCAGATTGGTTTAAATTTTTTTTTATATAATGGGCAGAAAAGTGAAAAAATTTAGACCAATGGGCGGGTAAAGAATTTTATCATGGGCGGGCAGGTATATTTTTAAAAAGGTTGGGCTGGCTGGTTAAATTTTTTTTAAATATTGGAAGGGCGGGCTTGTAGGGAAAACAAATTTAGGATGTTGGGGATTAGGATCCTAACATCCAGATCGGCCTTTGATCTGGTCCCACTTATAAAAAAATTCTGATTAGTTATTTCTTCCCGTGCTTATTTTTATTTTTCATTTTTTGAAATACATAATATCTTTAAATCATCTACATAAATGTTGGTTGAACAATTGGAAACACTAATTCTAAAATCTATGGCTATATATCATGTTTTATTATTGCTTACGAGTGCTTTAACCTGAATGTTTCATGTTTTATTAGTGTCTATGAGTGCTTTAACCCATCTAATAGCAAGAATAGAAGATTAATACTAGAAAATAAATTTTGGCCAACTTACGGTTAAAAATCGACTAAAATTTTTAGCAATATCTTATTGCCTAATTATATATTATAGTCAATGTCTAATTTGGGCATCGTTGGGACAATTTTTGCTCAAACAGTTACCCAATTTATCAAGACTTTTTACTTAAAAAAACATTTTGCCATCTATTATATTCTTAGTCTAGCAAAAAGTGTGATTATGTTAAACCAATTTAAAATAATTTTTTCACTAGTATTAATTCATCAAAATCATGAGTTAAATTATATATGTATATATAGACTTATACAAAATTGAATGTATAAAATTCGTATAAAATTGTTATATACAAAATAAGAATAAAAATATAAAATTAATTTATAAAATCAAATATTATCTTTGTTTATTTAGTTAATATATCTTATTTGCATGGCATTTGATAATGTCTACTTTGAATTTATGAATATTGTGAACATCTTTTAGCAAATTCATTTGAGTAAGATGATTTAGAAATTTAATAATTTAACTTTTTACAAAACTCGTGTTATTTTTTTTCTTTATTAATTTTATTATCTGACCTGAATAGTTTTAAAAAGGTGATAAAATTTTATAATACAAATGAATGAATGTAATAAAAAAATAACAGATACCAACTTGTTAGAGGTAATACGCAAATGGGCATAAAATTAAAAATCTGTCCACTTTATAAAATAGTTGCCCAATTTATCAAGGCGTTTTCTAATAGTCAATAGGAATTGGATTGGGACTCAAAATCTTGAGTTGCCCTTATTATCAAGAGCCCA